ACACACACACACAAGTAAATAATCCCTGCCTGGGCCCAGAGACTGAAAATTCACGTTGGACCCAAACAGGAAACACCACGGAAGAACGGAGGTAACACCGCGGAAGAACGGACATAAGCGTTAGTGATGGCTGCAGTACGAAGGAGAAAACCAAGTGCAGGACCCGTACGATTTGGGATTTTTGCCCCAGGAGACAGAATAATAGGAAATCGCGCAGATGTGTTATCTAAACACAGGATTCATAAATCTGAGGCATATGGATTTTTCTATTATAGAAAACACTTTACTGTTCAGACAAGTGAACAAAACGTATCAACAGCACAAACAGTGAAGAGCGACACTTCCCTTAACGATCTACGTAAAATGGTGTCATCTACTCAATGACACACTCAGTTGCATACCCGGAACTTAAAAGCTATTCAATGACTACTTGAAGTGAATTTATTCTAAAATCTGTAAAAATAGTGTTTCCAAAATATTTATCATTTTGAAAAACTGAGACAACATCCTTCAATAAATATGAATCCAATGCTTATATGTCGCTGAGCAAAGGTGCAAAAAGGTCCCTGTAAATGGAGATGGAAGGAGACTCGACATGGTGTGGGGACCACACAATGAGCCTGGATGGTGTGGCTCACTGGACTGAGTGCAGGCCTGGGAACCAAAGAATTGTGGATTCGATTCCCAGTCAGGGCACATGCCTGGGCTGCAGGCCGGGCCCCCAGTGCAGGGCGAGTGAGAGGTAACCACACACTGATGTGTCTCTCCCTCTCTCTAAAAATAAATAAATAAAATGTTAAAAAAGAAAAACCATGCCACGCAATTATATAATGCCAATGGTCTATTATATAACAGAATTGTACTCCTGAAATCCATACAATTTTATTAACCAGTCACCCCAATAAATTCAATAAATAAAAGAAAAGGAAAAATAGGTCCCCTATGCTCTTGGCAAAGAAATGAAGGACAGCGATAGACAAGGCACTGGGGGCCCCCACGCATAACGTTACACACGTCAATAAGCCCGTGGATGGAGTGCTGTCCGCCCCCGTGGGGGAGGCCTCTTACTACACCATCTTCTAGTGCAAAAGGAACCTAGTGATGTCAAGTGTTTCTGTACAAGCAGGTTTTCAGGTGAGCGCATCTCAGCATCAACAAAGGGGTGTGGAGGATTTACATCTTCACTGCAACATGCTCATGTCTTAAATTATAAGCCAAAATATTGTTGGTACAAATACCCTGACCACAGTGAAAGGTTAACCAGAAGCCCATGAATTAAGCTGATAAAGAAGCTAATAGTAACTCCCATGAAGAACAGAACAAACAAAAACCACAAGAGGAAGCACAGTGGAAAAATCAGCACCCTTCCTGGTGACTGCAGGAGTCCCGGTCTGCACAGGACCCAGCTCTGCACTGCGCCCAGGGTCTCAGGACAGACTTCCTGGGAGAAGGCTGTCAGACAACAGTAACCTCTACCGTGCTAGTTTTGGTTGATGAATACCATGTTTTAGTAATCCTTAATAATTCACTTGGCAGGTTGTGAATCAGTAGCCCTTGGGCATATGTAAGTATGACTAGCTATGAAGCAATAAGAATGAAGAAAAGGAACTGCATTTCCCACAAGGTGGGGCAGGGCAGGAGTGTGACACTGGGGATCACTGTGGGGATCATTGTAGGGATCATTGTAGGGATCAGTGGGGATCTGTGCCTAAAGGGAGCAAGCACAGCAGAGGAAACACAATTCTTCAGAAGGCAGAAGGGGTAAAAACGCTCACACTGAAACATGAAACTATGAGGTCATAAAAAACTGGCCAAGTAAGGTATTTCAAACCTTCTATTTGATGTGTAGAGGACCCATAAAATTATGCCTGGAAGCCATAAGTTCAAGCAATAAGAAAGATACCAGCAGGGTTCATTCCTTAAGGAACTTAAGGAATGCATCAATTCTTTGCTATTTCAAATGCATTCTTAGTTTTTAAAAGCTTAGAAAGAGAGAAAGGAGAATATTCTCTAGGGAGCCCAGCACTATTCATAAGATTTACCTCATTTAGCCTTGTATATATCACACAGTTATCTACAGTTAAATAGGCTTTTTTAAAAAAACACATTTAACCAGTGAGCATTCCCTTTCAGAATGCATACTGAGAGTAAAATAACAAATATGTACGTTTTCTTAATCAGGAAGATTGGCACGAAAACTATTTCAAAAGCTGACTTATTGAATAGATAAACCAAAGGGAAAACATTCTTTCTTTTACACTCTTAAAAGTTGTTAAGTCTCCTAAAGCTTGCAGCCCAAGTTTGGCATTTACTACTTCCTGAGTATTCTGTTTTCCATTTCCTAATTTGCATACCAGGGAAAAAGAACTATCCAAATTCAATGGTAAATGCCTTGAAAATGTCAAATATTTGAAAGAAGCTAAACTGGTAGTTTACTACCCGCAAGTAAGTCTTGTGAAAGAGAGGACTGGTTCCGTTGTAGCTCTCAAGCCCTCCTTTTACAAGGGTCCCATCACACAACAGAAAATCTCTGATTTAGACTAGTGTAATAGTGATTGCTATCCTCAAGAATTCCTAACAATTTCTCAAACTATATAGTTGTTAGAGTTTTGAAGGGAGAGCTGTATTTTAAAGGATGCAAAGTGACGTCTCAGTTCATGATAACAAATTACTTCATTATTAGGGAATGTACAGGCAATTCTTGAGACTAAACTAAGCTCATGAGTTGAAATAAGCTGTTGTAAATGCACTTCAGGAACACAAAACGATTTTTTTTATTCTCTTGCCAAAACATACTTCAGAGTTCTTGTTTCCCCCTATTCACTATAGAATAGGGGAAATGTTTTTATTTCCTCTTGATTCTTAGCCAACTTACTAAGGGCACATTTTGCTGACAAAGCAGAAAAAGTCTACATAGCATATGCTGGCACACTTCCTATAATCAATAATTTAAAAATAATCATGGAGTACAGAAATAATGAAGGGTTTGGGAAAACAGCAAAAAGCAGGTCACGGACATTAAGCAGCAGGTCAGGACAACATGAATCCTGGGAAGACAGAAAGCTCACAAAAATCCCCGCAGTGATTTTTTTTTTTAAAAAAAGACCCATGAAATATAAGCTTAGAAAAACAGGAAATACAAGTCAGGTTTTTGTTAAAAAACAAAAAAACGCCAAATTTCAAACATCATAAATTACCTAATATTTGGAAAACCAGCTAATAAGTGCCACTAACCAAACAGAATAATGTCATACCTGGACACAAGCATCTTTATAACCTCACAGAGGATGCTACAAAGCAAGATGTCATCCCAGGAAGTGCCAACTCCACAAATGATGAAAAACCATGTGGAAGAGGAAGTCAAAGGCAATCGCTACTCTGTAGTGTGGAACTGCTATAGGAAGGCATAATTCATGGAGAAAAAAGGAGGTCTTGTGTACAAAATCACAGCTGAGAAGACAGATATTCAGTACCTGTAGACAAAGGCCATATACATATACAGGAGAGGTAGTTTATATTATTGAGATGAAATTACTTGGGAGGAAAATTTCAGTTGTCAGGGAAAAACTTCCCGAAGGAAACCATTATATTATAGTGCTACCTCCTGCCAGCCCGTCAGAATTTCCAATTAAAACTCCGAGAGCAAAAACTGGACATCCTTCCACCCACCGAGGTAGGGGTTGACACCCATGGGTTTAGACCATAAAGTGACCTAAACGGCTGTGAGCCTTGAGGCTTTCAGTCTAACACAGCTCCCAGCACTCCAAACGTGAACGACAACCACTGTTAACACCAACCCCTTACATCGACGTACCGCTTTATGGTTTAGATTAAGTGCCTTCACTTTTACTCCCTAACAGCCATTTGGTAGTAGAATCACATACTTCACTCTCACACGGCTTGTAATTTGGAGAGTACTTTCCACACTGCGCTTTTTTACAGGAGAGACCTACGTTGGTTAAGTCACTTGTCTAAGGATGAGTAGATGGTGGTAGGTGAGGTGCTGGGACAACTGACGGACTCTACTCCGTCAGTAACAGACACTTCAGCCCTTAAAAGTTCAAAGTACAACGCTCGAAGATCAACCTCACTGAGAAAGGAAGAAGTGCAGTCTCAGTGGACCATCCCTGCCTTGATTTCCCTCCCCAAAGACAGAGAAACTGAGGCAGTCGGTAAGGGCAAAAGCCTGATCTAGAGTCACGCAGGGAGTGTTGCTGGGATGGACTTCCTCCCCCCCACCTGCACTAAGCCCCGAAGCAGCTGAATTCTGTGTTTAACACACCGGGTTGGTCTCCAGAGAGAACGGTCTTGCCAGTCCCGCTACCCTCTCACTATTCCTCACTGGGAATTTCCTACGGATGAAGGTCTCTTCCTCCCAGAACCACCCCGCAATCCCCTCTCCTCAAGGCCCTTCACCGTTTTTCACATCGGGCCTCCGGAGTACCGGAATCTGCTGGCTCTGGCTCCCAACTCCTATCTCCTCTCTCCAAGGCATCTCTCTACCCCGAGGCGATTTTCATGTCTCCCGGGGAAATGTCGGCTTCCCACCCGGGCCACCTAAATCTCGAACTCCACAAAAGGAAACCCCCCCAAAGCATCTTCCCATCTATCTCTTCCGCCCTGGACACTGCCGAGAGCTTTCCTAAATATCACGACCCTCCCGAGAGCTACCTGCCTCTCACCTGGGCCGCTTTAGCTGCGGCCTTCTCAGAAGAGCAACCCCTAAGAATCTCCCGTCAAGAACCCTCTAAAGCGAGAACCCCTCTTCCAGGAACATCTTCAGGCGCCTTCAGCACGGGCCTCCGTGGAGAACCTCAGGCTGTTTCCCAGGCTCTGCCGAACGCCACCCATCCTGGAGCCTCCCCTGACACCAGTCAGGTTCCCCGCCGCAAGCTCAGGGGACTGTCCCCTCCCTTACCGATGTCCCCTGCCCTCGGACTTCTCCCCCACCCTGTCCCCAGGGGCTTCCCGGAGCACGGCGGCCGGGTTGCGGCACTGACTTTCTCCAGCTCCAGGATCCACTCGAGAGGGGGAGGCAGTGGCGGCGCTACTCCTTTGTGACAGGTCCGAGAGAGCGGTAAAGATGGACGCGAGGCCACGGCGCTGCCTTTACACGCAGGGCCCACCCCCGCTTCGTACTGCCCCGGCCCTCGACAGTCCTCTAGGAAACGCCCCTTCCGAGGTGGCAATCCCTCTCCCTGACAACCAATTACCTGTCCGGAACGTTGTCACGTGACCATACGGTCTGCCCCGCCCTCTAGGCGCGAATTGGCCAATCCAGGCTGAGGTGTGAATGGTCCAATCGAGGGTCTCCCGCCAGCTTTTTGGGGAACCGGATTTCCATCGGACTCCTGGGGAGAAAGAGAGGTGCGGATTGGGTTACTCCACCGGAAGCGGGGCGGACTTTTGTTGTGGCGGTGAGGAACCGGAAGCCCCAAAGGGTCAAAAGGAATACAAACGCAAAGACTGTTTTCTTATTCTTTCCTTTTTTCCCCTAAAGATCGAGTGGCGTTTGCGGTGGCGTGGCGGTTCGAGGTGGGCGCTACTGAGGAGAGGGTGTCCCGCCTCCCGCACGTCGGTAGGTGAGTGCGGCTCCGGCCTTCCGTGGGCAGGTGGTGAAACCTGGACTCTAGCTTCTTCGCCGAGGAGATGGGGGGCTGTGTCTGACTTGTCGTTGAGGGCCAGGCCTGTTCTCGGTCCGTGTACTCGCCCAGTGTTCTTAGTCCCCGGGGCCAGAGGCTTGTAGGGCCCAGCCTGAGATTGGGGGGTGGCCGCTGAGGGAGCCCGTGGGATGGCCTCAGGGTTGAATCGCCGAGGATGCCAGACTCTTTTCAGCGGAATGAGGACTTCAGGCTTCTTGCCGGCTTCCCTGCGCTTCATCTGTTAGGTGGGGCCACCGAGGCTCCTGGCGAGGAGTCGGCTCCATTCCAGAGGTCTTGGGACAGCTCCAGGCCACCCAGGAGATGCGGGGATGCCTGGTTAGAAATGGTTGAATCATAGCATGTAAGTAAGTGTAAGATAGAAACCACGTTTCATTCTGTACCATGTACCCGTTGCCGTAGCGTACTCGTTTTGCACAAAACTTAGGAAACAAAGACCGAAAGTTGAATCGCCTTGTTTGAGAGTTGGTGGCCCCTGTGAATGTCAACGTCCCCACGGGGGAGAAGGATACCTGTTCGGACTTAGCAGTGGTTCTTAACTCGTAGAAAACAAGATCTTCTGCGGCCCCTTTAAAATGCAGATTCTCGGACCCCATCTCCAGATAGTCTGACTTGAGTAATTGTGGAGTGGGACCCAGGAAACCAAGTGTCGGCCTGGGGGTCAGAATTCCCTGTGACCTCTTGGGTACCAGCTGCGAGGTAAGATTTGTTGATTCTTCAGATGTTTGGTTTATTGATGTGTTAAGAGAGACCCTATAAAATGGCTTCTGAACTCTTGAAAAGGAACCAGTTGTGTAGAGTCCTTTTTAATCCCCAAATTGAACTTAGGTAAATAATCTTTTATAGTCTTTCAAGTAGAGCTTGAAATGATGAGCTGTTAACAGTTCGGAAGCGTCTGAAAGTGGAGGCCTCCCAATGGTCTTTCTCATCTGAAGCCTTGGTGCCTTACACCCCAGCAGACAAATTCTTTACAGTTCTAAGAGAGGAAGAATGGCCTCCAGACCATCTACTTGGCCAGCAGTCTTTCCATTCACTTTCTAAGAAGGTTGATGTTCGGTTAGAGTCAAGTTGCTGCTTCAGAAACTGAAAACCACGTCTCTGGTAAACAAAGTAATGTAAGTGCCTGGTTCCTTCATAGGCTCAGTATAGAGGAATTATGTCTTTGTGAGCTAAAGTAAACCATTTCGGGGTGCTCACTATGGCACACCTTTGGAATCTATTTCGTTCTTAAATATGGTATGTTTCACTCTGTACTACAGGATGCTTGAGAGCATGTTCGGTCTTTATATCTGGTTTCCTGCATTTTCACTGTGATATAATCCAACTACGGATTTGTTTCTGTTAAATTTATTTGATGTTTGTTCAAGTTGTTGTGTTTGTGGGTTAGTGTCTTGTGATTACTTTGGTAACATTCTGGGTCTTTTCCTATCCATGTGTTGCTTCTGCCCCATTGTTTTTATCTTCCTCCTTCTTTGCTGGTTTAACATAGGCCTTTTTCCTCTGTTCTCTTTTTCCCCTTTTTATTTTTTTTTCCACTTTACATTTTGGACAATTTCTACTTCATTAATTCTCTTACCTATTTCTAATATGTTATTAAACTCATCCATTGAAATCTTAAATTCGGTTACTGCGTTTTTTTTAGTTCATGAAGTTCCTTTTGGTTCTTTTCCAATGTGCTGTACCCCTATTTTACAGCTTCTTTATTCTCTGCTATAAATTTTGAGGCTTGGTTTTTGTTTCTTTAAACGGGAAGCGCAGCCCGGGTTGTGTGTTCAGCTGGTTAGAGCACCGTCCCGCTATGCCAAGCTGCAGGTTCTGTCCCTGGTCAGGGGTGGTTCTCAGAACTGTCTTGTTAGCTTTTCTATTTAAGAATTTTTAGAATTTCTTCCAGTATATTTTATTATTACTATTTTTATTATAGAAGTATAGGGTTGGTCTCAATAACCTCACCCACTATTTCTGTAAATGATGGTACCCTTCCTTTCATTTTGATTTTAGAATGTGAAATTTGTGATTTCGGTCGATCCTGAGTTAAAGTTGGTATGATTAAAACTTACACTGATTTTCATGGAAGTGTTGTGGCTACTATCAGAATTAAGCTTCTCTGATGCTTTTTTAGGTTTTCCTTTTCTGAACTCCTTAGCTTCTATTCTTGCACGGCATTTAATCTTACTCCTTTTTTCTAACTTGCTCACATGCCATCCTCAGCTCTTAGTGGACACAAATTCCTCACGTGTTGATAGTAGAGTGCCAGGTTAGTGCCAAGTCCTGTGCCTTGAACATAATATCTGCCCCTTGTAAAGATTTACTTCAAAAATATAGCTGAATGAGGTAGTTGGCCTTCTGTATGGTTGTGTAATGCAGAGCCTTTATTTATTTTTCAGAAAATACGATCTCAAAAAGGAGTTAGTTATACACAGCCTGGAGGTGGGGTGGTATGGTTTAGTGTGGGTTAGTTGCCATAGCCAGCCCAGATGGCAAAGTAATCAAGGCTACCCTCGAAAATCTTTCCGGGAAGCACCACATTGCATATAGGTGCACCAGCACAGCAGACTCCGGCACGGCCAGGATTTCCTCCCGCTTTGGAACAGATGCTGTTTTTCTTCCTGTGAGCCCCAGATGAAGTAGTTGGTTTGCATTTGGGAATCACAATATGTGACAACTACAGCTAATATTAGAATCATACATAGTGAGAGAAGTGTTTATGCTCTGTCAGGCCCGCATGAACTGGGGAACTGAGGACCAGCCAAGGGAACCAGCATTTACGTTCTCTTTCTCTTCCACTGCGTATAGATGAATTCAAGGTAAATGCACGTATAATAAGACTCAGTTCTCGTGGGAAGATAAATGCATATATAGATTTTTTTTTAACTTTTTATTGCATGAGTTTTTTTAGGTGCCTAGACAACCAGAAGGTTACTACCAATTGTTTTCTATAATAAACATTTTAAACATGAATTAAGTTGGTATGCTGTACCTTCATTTTTAGGTACTGGGGTATGTTAAATAAGCCTTATTGTTAGGAGATTGAGGATTACTTTGTCTAGTAATAAATGCTAGCAGTGTTAGTCATTCTCCTAAGTTTTATAATGTAGGGAAAATTGGCTTGATCTAAATGACTGTAGCTGGTAGAAGAGCCTTCTGGCCAGAAAGCAGTCTTTATTTGGAGTACAGTTGAGTTTGCCAGATGGAACATTCCTCTTAGTTGCTGTCCTGTCTTTTGAAATCCCATGTGCCTGGAACATCAGGATAAAAACGTAGAAAGAGCAGCAGTTAACTGTATTTACTGACAAAGGGACAGTGTATGGGCCCGTTGCTTTTGCTGCCCGAAGAGAGAAGCCTTAGACACACTGACCCCAAGTTTCCCCGGTGTGTCCTTACATTTCAGTCTGTCTAAGGGGAGAGTTAGGAAGATGCGGTGGTCAGTGCTGTGCAAAGTTAAGTCATCTGCTGTTGTAAAATTTAATTCCTTAGGAAACCAGATCTCACTGACTTGTATCATGGTGCTCGCTAGGTGGAATAATTTCTCATTTCAGCGACAGCAGTTATTTTGGAGGCAGCTGGGTAAATTTGGTGTCTTGAAACTTGTGTCGTGTGCTGTGTCAGACACCGAGCCTGTTTCTGTCCCAGCAGCCTGGAAATGAAATACCACAGTGTCCAGTGCAAACACAGTAGAGCACTGTATTACAGTTACTTTGGCTTGAAATAGAAGAACTTTGTTTTTTTGGCTGCCACGCAAATGTGAAAACTATGTTCTTTCTTTGTATCAGTTTGAAACTTTTCAGTTTGGACAAAGGGATTTTGTTATGGTTTTGGGTTTCCGTGAATTCCCTATTTGGAGAACTTAAATAATTATTTTTTTTAATAATTCTTTTAAAAATAATATAATGTTTAGTTTGATCATTTAATTTGGGTCACCTTGAAGAGAAAATTTATATGAGTAAAGGAAAGTTGATAGCATTCTTTCTAAAATTAAATACAATAAGGACAAAAATAAGTATTCCTACATAAATCTTCATAGTTAGATCCCCAGACCCCTAGTTGTTTATTTATGTTTTGTTTTGAATTATTATAGTAAACAGAGCAATAAGAGACTTGTGAAAATTTAGCTAGGCAGTAGGAGTTAGGAATAAACACTTTATTAACTTCTCATTTTCCTGTCATCATTTCCAGAAGGAGGTAAATGAGTTGTAGGACTATTGGACTCTTCAGAGAAAAATGCTTTGTGAGGGAAATTCTTATTAATCAGTTTAAAGAGCATTTTTTAGTTAGTTGAAATTAAAGGAGAGTAGTGAGAGTTATTCCTGAAGAAGACATTAATTATGTAATAAAGTGATTTAATTTTTGGTCTTGTGTTTCCTTCTGTACAAATTGTATGGTGTTTGAGTAGACTTTCCCATGGGACGTAGAAGACTCAAAAATACTTATTTAATGTCTACCATTCTCTGTAACTTAGATCAAACAATGCCTAGGAATATTTATGTGAGACCATTCCTCCCTGCTTAAAGTCTTCCAGTCCTCTCTTTGGTTGGTTTATTCAGTAAGTATTTATTACATACCTAATACATGCCAGACGCTGGGTTAATAAGCACTGTGGATACGAGAGCTGTTGGAACAGTCGTGAATGGAAACAGGATAAGTGCTGTAGTGGAGGTATAAATAAGTGGCTGTGGTAGGGACTGCACTGGAAACAGGGACACAGTGATGGAGCGCCATCAGAGTAGTCCACCCAGCAGGCAGCCCTGGAAAGAAGAGGTTAGACAGGAAAGGATCTTCTCTTAAAAAAAGAAACAGAAAGAAGGAAGAAGAAGAAAGGAGAGGGCGGATTGAAAAGAAGTCATGATGCGGTGGGGACAGCAGAACTGGGTGACAGGTGGGGTGGGAGAAAGGGAGGAAAAAGGGGTGCAGGTGTTCAGCCTGGACACCGGATCGGTCCGTGATCACGGCCTTCATTACTGCCGAGTACCAGCACTTCTCACTTGGGGGATTTGTCGTCTACACTAGTATCTGGTTTTAGCTAGTTTAAGAGTCCTAACTCTTAAAAGTTTATTTCCTTTATGCACACTAGAAGATTTGCACAGTGCTGGACACAGTTCATCATTCAGCACAGTGCTGAGTTTGTGTAAATTGAATAAAGTAAACAGTACACTAGAGAACCGCACTAAAGGGAAAATACAGACTCACCAGATTATTTATACATGTACATTCTTCCTAACGTCTCTCGGTTTGATGTGGTCCCTTTCCCACTTCAAGTGTCATGCTTGTTTATGTCCCTGATTTATTTCTGTCTCCCCCACTTCTTGAGGGCAGACAGCATTTCTCTGTTACAACCTGTCCAGAGCTCAGCACGGTGCTTCGTAGTAATACAGACCTTTCAGAGCATTCTGAAGTATGTGTCAAACACGGTGCGGAGTGCTTTACAGGAATGATCTTGTTTATCCTCACCACAGATTTATGTTGTGCAGTGCTATTTCAGTCCTCACTGGTGAGTGCAGTTATGGATGAGGAAACCAAGGCAGCTGGTAGGTGGCAGAATCAGGTTTCGAACTCCAGTCTCGTGATTTTGGAGTCTTCTATACTCTTTATCGTTACCTGTGCTCCCTCTTGGTAAGAAGACTGCAGCAGAAGGTACTTGCGCTGTATTTAGTTGAATTATATTGGGTTGTAGTGGAAGGTGTGAAGTTAACCTTACTTCTTGGCAGTAGTTATTGACAGTGACATTTTGAATTCTGAAAAGGCCTGCATGTTTCTGGAGAAAGAGTATTCCCTGTCTGTGACTTCTCCACACATAGCAGATGACCAAGTTAATTAGCCAGGGGGCACAAGGAGGGGACCACGGTGCACGTGCTGGGGAACGAGGACCTACAGGGAAATGCGAGTGAAAAAAAGAGAGGGATAGAGCAGTCTGCACGTGGTCTAGTCTCTTTCAGACTCACGGGTTTATTATAAGTAGCTTTATTTTGGCATCAAGACAATGTCAGGCTTATAATATTAGGTGTAAAGAGCAAACTTTTATAAATATTCATTGGTTCTGACTGACTGTGTTTTCGGGAAACCAACCCATTGAGGGCTGAGGAGTAGCAGAACGTCTGTCGAACTCTAAAGACATTGTCTTTAAGTTTTCTTTTTTAATGAGCTTCTGCCTTATTTTCATGAACCAACTGTGATTCCCGATTTTGTCCCTGTGGGTGGCAGATGGGTAGCATAGATTTAACTCTTGGGGTAAAAGCTGAATTCTAACACTTATGTGGAAAAGATTGGTGAAAAAGAGAGTAAGAAATTCTTGGAATTCCATCAATTTGCCTTTTTCAAAGGTGAGTGATAAATCTTGGGAAGATCCTTATTTCTCTAGAGCCACGATTTCACCCTTTTAATCTCATGGCACACATACACTCATTACTAAAATGCTGCAGCAGATCAAACAATGTATTTTTTGTTGATCTCACACAAAAAAACAGGTATAATTTTGATTTGTTCACACCGGTCAGTTATTTTTGTGTTGACCGTTGTCATTTTTTTATTTGACAACCTAAGGGAAAAGAGGTCAGGGCCCCTGATCAAATAGTCAGGTGTTGCATGTCTAAAAAATTCTGCAGCCCAGGCCTGACCAGCGTGGCTCAGTGGGTCGGGTGTTGTCCTGGGAAACGAAAGCCTCTGTGGCACCAGTGTGCCTGCCAGGGCACGCCAGTTGGAAGCCACCACTGCAGAGTTTGCATTTCAGATTCAGACCCTTGGGTACAGCTGTCCTAAAGGCCTTGTCCCTGAGTTTCAGGGGGTTTGTTAAGGTGAATGAACGTAGGTTCCGGATGAAAATCTCCAGATACCTGATGGAGAATCAGATTAGGTGGACAGCGAGGACCCATTCCACTCTGAGTTATTAACTAGGAAATGGGGGTGAGGATAAGAAACCAGACTGCCAGTCTAGGGTGAGGAAGGAGAGCTACAGTTAGCAGAGGGTGATAAAGGGGGAAGTTGAGGGTCTAGTATGTCTCCCATCCATTAGAGTCCTACATAGTTGACATGGTCTCTGCCAGGGACATTTAAGAGAATGCTGGCTCCTGTTTTACAAGAGGTCATTCTGCAGAAATTGGATGTTTGGCATGTTCACAGAGACCGAACAGTTCTGTTTTTGTAACATGCATCTGGGAGGAGACACTGGGTGATGCTGAGTTGGAAGAGTCCAGTTAGTAGGCCTCAGTGGGAGCACCCGGTTCTGTCGGTTGACTTGGTTTTCCTTCTGGGAAATTTGAAAGTTCTCTTATTGTTACACTGAACTAAACTTCAGCAACAGTAGAATTTAGGCTGAGTCTCTCCTCTTGTTCTGAATGTTTGGATTTATTTTCGCAGCTTTTTCATCTTTATTAAATAAAAGCTTTGCAAGAACATTCTCAGCACCGGAGTTTGATGCAGGAGGAGAGCTGGAATTAACTTGTGCGTTGCCGCCGGGATGCGTGGTGCCTGGGGAGGGCTATGGGGAAGGAGGTAGGAATCTTTGATGTCAGGCCTGGCCGTGATTCTCAGCTCCACCGTTCACCACCTTCATCACCCCAGACAGGTGACCTAACTTCTCTGGGCCTCAGTTTCTTCCTCTATAAAGAGAGAGATTTCTCACAGGGTCAGTGTGAGTGTAAGTGGGGTGGTATGTGTAAAAAGTATTCAGTACACAGTAGCACTCAGTAAATGGTTGCTACTCTGTTTTGTGCTAACCGTAGAGAGTTCTTGTTTGGTTATCAGGGATCGGCCTGAGGGGGGCGTTGACTCGATGTGCCAGCAGGGCAGAACACGTGCTTCCTTGTGAACATGTGATTCTGTGAATAGCTCGGAACAGTTCCTCAGAAGGAAAGACACCAGCAAAGAAGAGCAAAGAAATTTTGTTTAAAAGGAGTAATGCACAGTCCTCCGTCTTTATTTCCTTTTCCCCCGCCTTTCGGAAGAGAGGTTCAGGTAGAGGTGCTTACACTGATTGGGATTTGGGCGTCCTCTGCCTCGGGATACACATTAAGTGGTTGGGTCATCGTGGCAGTGAGAAGAGAGCAGGGTTGGAGACAGAGCCCCCAGCGGCACAGGTATGGAATGCGCAGGGGGGAGGGTCAGGAAGGAGGTGGAGGCGGCGGCGGCGGAGTATAACGCAGAATGCGGCCAATCTGAGGGACCTGGGTTCTCCACTGGTGGTTTGCGCCTCTCTCGGCGTACCACTCCTGCTGTGCAGGCCGGGCTTGGTCTCCTAAGGCCCCCTAAAAGGCTCCCTAAATGCCCGAGTTTCTTCATTCTGAGTCTTCTTGGAAACAAGACCAGGTGAGTCGAGGCAGTGTGACGTCCCTGAAACAGGAATTTCAAGAAGGAACAATGCGGGAAGGGGCGGTGTCCAGGAGGCCTGTCTGTCTAGATTAGAGGGACAGAGGAATGTTTGCAATGTAAGGTCTACCGCGGGGCAGTATGTAATGACAGTCATTCCATATCCCCCAGGTGGCTTTGTAGGTAACATAGCGGTAAGGAAACTGCTTCATACGTTGGGGGAATGTCATCAGGTGCTTTCATCAGTGACTATGAATGGAACGACTTGGGCTTCTTTGATGCGAGGTCAAAGGGAATTTTGAGGTAGTCCACTGCTGGGTGAGACAGAGCTAAATCTTCTTGTTTCTCTTTAGGATTTTAATTGCAATTCTCACTTGAAATATTTTGTTTGTTTTGCATAGACTGATTGTTCCACTATGGATGGAGGGGATGATGGTAACCTTGTTATCAAAAAGAGATTTGTGACCGAGGCAGAACTGGATGAACGGCGCAAAAGGAGGCAAGAAGAATGGGAGAAAGTTCGAAAACCTGAAGATCCAGAAGGTACACGGGCTTTCTCGGTCCGCACGGCACCCCTGCAAAGCAGCTGTGAGTGTCCTCACTTTGGAGAGGAGGCTCACAGGGGTGAGGGAGCCTAAGCCAGGCCCCGGCGCCGGGAGCACAGCCAGGGTGCCCCTGTGCCTGCCCTTGAGCTCTACTGCACCGTCTCCCGGAGCTTCTGCTAGTCTGTTCTATCTAGACATGTGGATCCAGGACCTCAACAACTGAGGATGCTGCTGCTAGGCCCAGTTTGGGCTAGTCCCTCATCCAGGGAACCGTCTCAGGCCATGGGCCCCGTTGACATTGACATTTGGCTCTGAGGTCCACAGGGAGGCCTTGGACTTTGCACTGGTTTTGTGTCATCCTCGCTCTCAGATCATGCAGGGACTTGACTTGGTCATTAAAGTCCTTCGTGGCTCCAAAAATAACAAGAAAGAGTTATAAAGTATGCGTCCCCCCACCCCCTTTTCTCCCTTTCAGAATGTCCGGAGGAGGTTTACGACCCGCGGTCCCTGTACGACAGGCTGCAGGAGCAGAAGGACAGGAAGCAGCAGGAGTACGAGGAGCAGTTCAAATTCAGTAAGCCTCAGAAACACGGCGCCCACAGTCTCTGCAGGGCCTTCTTGATCCACATTCTTCTAAATAGCCGTGGAATTATCTTGATTGTTTAGTCTCTAAATGCGTGTTTGCTGGAAAAGAGACAAACTTCTGCCTTCTAGACCATGTCGAACATTTTTGTTTAGACTTCAAGACACCCATTTTAATTCTATGCTGATATCTAGGAATGGGAGAAATGCCTTGATTTTGTGCCGAGTTATCTAATCAAAAGCCATGCTGTTTACAAATTCTTTCTTCTAATCCCCTGAAGGACCCGCCATTTATGTAGAAAAAGGAGTAGGAAAGATTTTATCTGACTGTATTTTCCCTTTAGCCTGCTCAGTGTTCCTTGTTTAATTATCCTCAGAAAACATGGTAAGAGGCTTGGATGAAGACGAGACCAACTTTCTTGATGAGGTTTCTCGGCAGCAGGAATTCATAGAAAAGCAGCGAAGAGAAGAAGAGCTGAAAGAACTGAAGGAATACAGAATATCCTTTGTATTTTTTGAAAGAAGTCTCTGAGGTGTCAGTTTTCCCACCAACATCTATGCTTGCAGTTGCTTTGTAAAGAGAACGGAGCTCTTCTACCTGGTGATCTCTAAGCTCCCATTCAACAGTGATATTTTTATGGCTCCAGATAACTAGCTGGCAGTGATTTACGGAGTCCACTGCATGTAAGAATCTGTTGCAATCAAAAGTCCAGATTCTTTAGGATTAACTAAAGGCCTAAACACTAATAGTCCGTACCAAGGTATTCTTGCCTTGTGGGATTAGATTCTGAAACAGGGGGGCTATGCAGGGTACCTCATCCAGGGGGGAAACTGTCTCCTGAGTTCTAAAAGAAAATGTTTAACAGCTCCCCTGTGTCCGTAGTAACCTTCCCTATAGGTATAGCTAGGTCTGTCCCTACAGAAGGGTAGAGAAAGCAGCGAAGGTGACTTTGCTTAGGCTCGGTATTGCCTTTTTAATATCCACCCGCATGTCCTAATAGGCACGGCACATGTAACTTCACTAAATCGAAGTTCTCAGCTCCATGCCTCACTACCCCCGTCCTCATCGCGTGGCACCCCTCCCCACACCTCTTCCTTCTCAGGTCTTTCGGTCTCAGTGATGGTGCTCCTTATACCTCCAGGTGCCTGGCCCAAAAATGACCTCCACGATGTGCTCCAAATCGGTCCGTACTGCCATTGCAATAGTCAGAGACTCGTCTCTGGACTTCTGTGGCCATCTACTTAGTCTCTGCTTCTGCTCTTGTCCCCAACAGTTCCTTCTCCAGATACAGTCAAAGGGAACTTTTGAAAACATGCATGGGATCGTGTCACTTCCCTGTTTGGAACACTGGTTGCATTTGGAATTACGTCTGCATTTTTTCCCAGGCCCCACAGGGCTCCGCGTTATTTAGGCCGACCCACCTCCCCACTGCATCCTGAACTCACTCCTCCTGGTGTTCACTGTGCTGCCGCCCACTGGCCTTCTTTGTTTCCCTCTCACTGGGCTTCGCTCCTTCCTCTGCCAAGGATGCTCTGCCCTCAGATTTTACAAGGCTCCCTTTCAGGGCAGTTGGGTCTCAGTTCATATCTCCCTTCCTCATGGAGCTTCTCCCTAAGCACCCGTGTAAGACTGTACCCCTGCTATCACTGTAATGCCGTTTTTAAGAGCACTTGTCACTGCTTGAAAGTCTCGGTTTGTTTGCCTCTTTACTGTTGGAATGTGAAGTAAGCTCTGCAAGAACAAGGGCTTGGTCACCACTGATTTCCAGTGTGTGGCGCGTAGTAGTTTCTTGGTATCTACGTGGGTAAAGTAATGAGTGACTCATAGGAGAGGTCAGTGAAGCCCCCCCCCCGATGTTTTCCCCTATGAAAAATCCCATCGAATATTTCAAGCTTATATGTTGAATAACTATTAGTGTGTTTGAACAGGCTTCTCTTCCAAGATTGAGGTGATACTGTGTGTATGTGTTAGTTGGTTTTTTCTTTGCAGGGAGTGTACAGTAGGTTCCATTAAGGAGTTATATGGGGAAGAGTGTGCAAAGATTCGTAGGGATTTGGTTTAAATCAAGGTGGTGGTGGTGATTGAAATAAGGTGGCGGCATGGTGCCCCCAAACCTCTCTTAACGGGCAGCAAGAGACCTGGCTTCAGTCCCAGTTCTCCCAGTGACTTTCTGGTGTAATGTCGGGACAGGAGCCGATGGAAAGTTCCACCTCCATCCCAACTGGAGGACTGAGACCAATTGCTCGGAAGCCCCCTCTGCTGACCCCCGAGTAACATTACACATTGGTGTTTGCAGGGAGGGCGGATACATGTAGTGCCTTGTTTCAGGCACCAGGCTTTTTCCTCTAAGGAAATAGAAGAGTTACGGTCCTCACTTGAATTGTCTCGTTTTATGTGCTTAATTTGGTAGGCTAGCAAATAAGACAGGGGGCGCCTCCCCACGCAGATTCCGGACAGCAGTGTTGACCGTGGTGTGGGTGTGCGAGGTCTCTCGGTTTCCAGTTCAAAGGGAAGCGTGAGCGGTGCAGGAGTGAGGCCAAAGAAGCTTTCCTGTCCTGGCGACCTCATGGCCACGTAGAAGCAGCCCCAGGGGTACTGGCTTTCACTGGAAACTTGGAAAGTTCTGACTGTTTAGAAAAACTGAAGAAAAGCAAGCCTTGCAGCTCACTGATGTATAATGCACTAATCCCAAAGGTAGTGTAGCCAGAGACATGTTGAGAGAGGAATTGAAGGATTAGACATTTGTTTGTGAAAGCTCTAAACCAGGAGCTGGTTATCGGCTTTCACTGATTATTATGATACATTTTGTACTGTGATACTTGTGAATACAAATAAGCGATGGTTTGTGCCACATAAACAACAGAACTTTTTTTCCCTTCAGGTTGACCAGTATTTGGCATATTATGCGTGTTAAAAACCAATTTCAAAAAATGAATGCATTTAATGAATTCCTTGAGAGTTTCGAGGTGTGTTTGTGGTATTTGGAGCATTTTAGGGGAGAGGGACTTAAAGGGAAAAATGTGCTTTGGATATGGACCAAAAATAACAAAATTACCACCTTCTAGCTTCCTCTCTCCCCCAAAAGAAAAGGTGGGACGTTTTTCTTCACTTGAAAATAATAAAAAATTAAGTTGTGGTCTTTATGTGTGTCTTGGTCTTACATTATAAATACACGTATACTTTCATTGTGTTGTTTCCAATTTGTTTTTTCAATATTTAATATTAAGACTTTTCTTTGGGTTTCTTTCCCTTAATGATAGAGTTGTAGGTAAAAATCACAGCATGCTCACAGTTTTGGACAGATAAAATCTCTTTCTTTCAATTTTAGTCTTTAAAAAAAATGAACACTTAGCATTAACATAATATTTGTTTCCACGTGACCTTAAAAACATTAAAGCGATGAGACTCAGCAGTACTGAGCATTGGGCAGAGATACCATCCCCCTTAACTGCCCCGAATGTTTAAGGCGACTGGTGTTCATGAAAACAGAGATGGTGCCTGGAGAGTGGTCACATTAGACTTTCCTTATTTCTGGTACCCAGTTTTTGCCACTGCTTAAAGACATAAACAGCTCAGACAGTGTACCCCACCCCCACCTCTTGGGGTTGATAATGCACGATGCTTCTTGGAGTCTCTGGACACTAGGTGTCGCTATTGTCCCAGTCGGACACTACCGCATCTTGAATAAGGCATAATGGAATACTCAGTTGCATAATGGGCTGAGAGAGTGAAAGGGAAGGTGGGGAGGAGGAGGCTGGTGGGGAGAACAAAAGTGACAAAACCTTGGAAACAGAGATTGAATTAGGAACAAAAAAAAGGGATGTTACAAGTGAACTGGTTATGATTCGAAAACAACTTTTTTGGTTCTGTGTTGAATACACACAAGGGTTTCTGGTTAAAATCTCTGAGAGTATTTGAAACTGGCTCCTGGGCCTCGGGAGGTCTACGCTCAGTAAGCTGGAGCCAGGAGTGTGGGGTGGTGACAGCGCTGGGCACGCTGTTTTGTTAATGAACCTCAAGTGATTTTGATACTGCCTTGCACCAGCAGAGGAGCAGTTAGTTTTCATTATGTCTAAGATTGAATGCCATTAATAGTCATAGGACATTCGGGAAGCTGTATTTTTTGTTGCATTTATATTCCTTAAGATCTTTGCATTTCCTAGCGAGCATGGTATTGACTACGTGTTTGGTAATAGCAGGCTTTCGGGCTGTAGTCAGATTCATAGAGAATTAGAGGGAGGAAGTTTGCTCGTCCGTATTATTTTGTGCTTGATTTGCCCGTCTTCCTGTGCGTTTAACTTCATTTCTCTTTGAATCAGCTGGATTTAGCTGGCAGAATAAAGAGGGGAGGGCTTTTTTTTTTTTTTTAATCAGTAGGCTAAGCGTTACATGGCAGAACTGGAGTACTAGTGAATTATATTTGTGTTCTTTCTCTCAATTTATCATTGTTCTGCCACAGCTTTTCTTTTTGATTAGTTTGACCCTTAACCTGTAACTCACAGTAATCTCCACAAAGTTGGAATTTCTCCAGAAAACAAGAAGGAAGGGGAGAGAAAAGCGGCTGTGAAACCCATAGAAACCAAGAACAAGTTCTCCCAGGCGAAGCTGTTGGCAGGAGCGGTGAAGCATAAGAGGTCAGTCAGCAGTTTCACACCGTAAACCTCCCTCTGACCATGTGCTCTGAAATGCCGTTTGTAACCATAGCCAGAGCAAAATTACCTGAGCGTAAGTCTCTGTGAAGTTTGCTCTCCCCTTTGGAATTTGGTATCGTCTGTAGCCCTTGACCTTGGTCTCTGACTCCTCATTCAACGTAAGAATAGCTACTCTTCACTGGGAACCCGCTGTGTGCCAGGCATTGTGTTAAGTGCTTTTTGCGCATGATCTCATTTATTCCTCTCAAGGAGGCAGTGAAATACAAAGCACTGTTATCAGATGAGAAGACCGAGAATTTGAGGGATTGAGTGCTTTCATCCAAGGTCACCAAATAATGGGAGCAGGGGTTTGATATTTGCATTTATGTTTCCAGCAAACGAGGTAGCAAGTTCTGTTAAAGCACTTGTATAGGGTGCAAACAAATACAGACCAGGGAGGAGGAAGCACACCTGCCTGGAGGGTGCGTTCGTGCCTCTGCTGGGGAAGTGAGGGGAGGCAGTAGGAAGGAGAGGGTGATTGGGGAAATGACTAGGGCTCTGACCGGCAGACAGAGGGGAGGGGGCGGGGCAGCTGCTGCAAAGGCACTGAGGCCTATAAGAACATGGCAGCTGGGACAGGGTCACAGACCTGGCTGGGCTCTGCTTGATGGGTGTGGGGGTGGCAGCACCGATGGGAGATTTGGTGAGTTCTTTGTTATGTTTGCTCCTCCCTTTCCAGTCCTGAAATGGCACCGAAGTGGTTAAGTCTGGCCATTTCGATTTGACCACCAAACCGTGGACAAAATGATGTCAGGTTCATAAGTGCAGTCTATTAGGAAAATCAATATGGTGTGTTGTCAACCCGCCACGTGTTTGAAGGGAGCAAACTGATGCAGTCTTGTGGGCTGGCACACTGTCCACCTGCTGCAGGCGCTCCCGGGGACGCTGTTTATGTGTGAGAATGTCCTCATGGCAGAGCGGCAGGAGGGAGGAGAATCAGCAGCCTGAAGAAGGCCAGCTTTCACCTAAGCTTTACTGTTTGGCCGAGGTCTTTCAGGACCGCCAACAAAGGGCTTTCTAGGTGGGCAATTAGGTGCCTCCACAGCATCTTGCTGTGAGCAGAGTGGGTGTGATACCTTTCAAAGAGATGATGTATTAGCTTCCTGGGTGGCATGCATATAACCTCTTTAAGTTTTGAAACTACACTTATTATTGTTTTGTGTTGCAAGGTGATAAATGAGTCTCCTGGGCAGGAGTTCCTAATGTATCCAGCCTGGGTTTATCAGAATCACTTGGGAGTTTGTCAGTGTGGCTTCTAGGCCTCCCGCTAATTCTGGCTCGGTAAGTTTGGAGTGAGGTCTGGGAGTCTATAATTAAGTCTGGTTAACATCCGTTACCACACATAGTTACAAAATTTTTTTTTCCCTGTGATGAGAACTTCTCAGATCTACTCCCTTAGCAACTTTCAGACCTTCAATATAGTGTAATTAACTGTAGCCACCATATTGTGTATTGCATTCTCAAGACTTGTTTCTTTTATAACTGGGAGTTTGTACCATTTGAAGGTGGTCAGCTGTATCAATATTTTCTTTTTGATACAGTGGTTAGAGCATTTTATATTTTGTTCAAGACATGTCTTCCTACCCTGAGGTCATTTGAGAGTTTTTTTTCTAGAAGTTTTAGAGTTTTATCTTTCACATGTTAGTGTTTAATCTGTGTGTAATTGATTTTTCTGAAGGGCATGAGGTAAGGATCCCATTTCAATTTTTTTCTTCAACAAAAAGCACATTTTCTAGCAGCATTTACTAAACACAGCCTTTTTTTCTCTGGTGATCTTTAACGTCATCTCTGTCTTATAGTAAGTTCCCATACGTATTTGGGGCACAAGTTTCCATACACTGGGTTGTGTGAGGTTTCTTTTTTTCCCTTGGCCTTGCATCTGTTGGACCAGTATCATTCTGTGTAATTATTGCAGCTTTTAATAAATCTCGATATCTGGTAGGGTAAGTCCCCTTATATCCTTCTCAGAAGTGTCATTTCTATTTATGGCCACTTAGTTCTTCCATATAAATTTTAGATTTAAGTACTTTAAAAGTCTCTATTGGAATTTTATTGAAATGTTATTAAATTGCTTGTTAAATTTATAGAGAACAGATGTATATGGATGTGAGTCTTCCTATCCATGGCATATATCTACATTTACTGGTTTTCTTTAATGTCATTCTATAAGGTCTTGACAGTTATTTTTCAAAAAAGTTGTGCACGTTTTTTATTAAATTTATTTCTAAGTACTTTATGTATATTTTTGTTACTGGTGTGTAAAAACTCAGTCAGTGGAGTATTTACTTTTATATTTAAAAAGGAAATACTCTTATTTACTTTAATAATAGCCACCAGCTCTTATTAGCTTTAATAATAATTCTTTAATAATAACTTTTATTAACTATAATAACTTATCAGCAGATTTTTTTCTTTACTCTGTTAACAGTGAAAAATTAAATCTATAGGTTTTTTTCCCCTAATGTTGCATTCCTGTGAGGAACCCAGTTTGGCAGTGATATGTCATGATTTTTCTGGACTCTACAGGCTTGTTTTACATTAGTAAATATTTTGTATTGGTTGTTGAATGTTGAGTATATGTTCTTGAGTGAGACTGGCCTGTATTCCCCAACCTGCTGCCCAGTTTTATCTGATTTTGACATGAAGATTAAAACTATTTTCACAAAATGACTGGGGAGTATTCTTTTTCTGTTCTCTGGAGGAGTTTGTGTAAGATAGGAGAGTTCTGTGTTATGAAAATTTGGAAGAACTCCTCTGTAAAATCATTCTGATCCCTCCTTTTAAAATTTGTGATTATAGGAGTGTTTAAGTTTATCCATATCTTTTTGCGTCAATTATATTTGGTGAAATTTTCTGGGAATTCATCCATTTCGTTTCATTTCAAGTGCATTAGCTAATTTGCTAGTATTTTTTTCTGCTGCTTGTTCTATCTGTAATTGTCTCATTTTTTTAGATGCTCATCGTAAATATCTGATTGAAAATTTAGATAGGACTTCCGGCCAAGATGGAGGTGTAGGTAGACACACTGTGCCTCCTCGCACAACCAAAAGCGGGATAACAACAAATTTAAAAACAAAAAACAACCAGAACTGACAAAAAATCAAATTGTATGGAAGTCCGACAACCAAGGAGTTAAAGAAGAAACACTCACCCAGACCCGTAGGAGGGACGGAGACAGGCGGCCTGGTGGAGAGGACTCACGGCAAGGTGGCAGCTGGCAGACCAGGTGGTCCCACATCCACGTGCAGATAAACCAGGAGGAACAGCTGGGGAGCGAGACAGACCCACAGCCCAGGGCTCCAGCGCCACAAATAAAGCCTCAAACCTCTAACTGAAAACACCTGTGGGGGTTGCAGCGGCAGCAGGAGAAACTCAACCTCAAGGAGAGTTTGTTGGAGAGACCCACAGGGTCCTAGAACGTACACAAGCCCACCCACCTAGGAATCAGCACCAGATGGGCCCATTTTACTTGTGGGTAGCAGGGGAAGTGACAGATTCGACAGAAAGCAGAGCAACCGCCATTATTCCCTCTCGAACCCCTTCGCCACATACAGCGTCACAACCCAACGACTTGGGTTGCCCCACCCCGGTGAACACCTAAGGCTCCGCCCCTCATACGTAACAGGTGCGTCAAGACAAAAAAAAAAAATGGCCCAAATAAAGGAACAGATCAAAGCTCCAGAAAAAATACAACTAAGCGATGAAGAGATAGCCAGCCTATCAGATGCACAGTTCAAAACACTGGTGATCAGGATGATCACAGAATTGGTTGACTAGGGTTGCATATTAGATGGAAAAATGAAGGCTATGCTAGGTGAAATAAAGGAAAATGTACAGGGAACCAAATCAATGGTGTGGACCAGAAGGAAGAAGGAAACATTCAACCAGAACAGAATGAAGAAACAAGAATTCAAAAAAATGAGGAGAGGCTTAGGAACCTCCAGGACATCTTTAAATGTTCCAACATGTGAATCACACAGGTGCCAGAGGAGAAAAGGAAGAGCAAGAAGTTGAAAATTTATTTGAACGAATAATGAAGAGAAATTCCCCAGTCTGGCAAAGAAAGTAGACTTCCAGGAAGTCCAGGAAGTTCAGAGAGTCCCAAAGAAGCTGGACCTAAGGAGGAACACACCAAAGCACATCATAATTATATTAGCCAAGATTAAAGATAAGGAGAGAATCTTAAAGCAGCAAGAGAAAAGGAGACAGTTACCTACAAAGGAGTGCCCATAAGACTGTCAGCTGGTTTCTCAAAAGAAACCTTGCAGGCAAGAAGGGACTAGAAAGAAGTATTCCAAGTCATGAAATCCAAAGACCTACATCCAGGATTGGTCTATCCAGCAAAACTTTCATTTAGAATGGAAGGACAGAGAAAGTGCTTCTCAGATAAGATCAAATTCAAGGAGTTCATCATCACCAAGCCCTTATTATATGAATTGTTAAAGGGACTTATCTAAGAAAAAGAAGATAAAAAATATGGACAGTAAAATGATAGCAAACTCACAGTTATTAACAACCGAACATAAAACAAAAACCAAACAAACCAAGCAAACAACTAGAACAGGAACAGAGTCACGGAAATGGAGATCACATGGAGGGTTATCAATGGGGAAGTGGGAGTGGGGAGAGAGGGAGAAAAGGTACAGAGAATAAATGGCGTAAATGGTAGGTAGAAAATAGACAGGGGGAGCTTAAGAATAGTATAGGAAATGCAGAAGCCAGAAAGCTTATATGTACAACCCATGGACATGAACTAAAGGGGGGGATGTGAGTGGGAGGGGGTGTGCAGGTCAGAGGGGAATAAAGGCGGGGAAATGGGACAACTATAATAGCATAGTCAATAAAAATATACTTAAAAAGCAAGAAAAAAGTAGGTTTATAGTTGTTCATACAGAAAATAATGCAATAATAAATAATACAGGAATAAAGCCCTGGCTGGTGTAGCTCAGTGGATTGAGCTTGGGCCTGCGAACTAAGGGATCGCGGTTCGATTCCCACTCAGAGCACATGCCTGGGTTGCAGGTCAGTTCCCAGCGGGGGACACACGAGAGGCAACCATACATTGATATTTCTCTTCCTCTCTCCTTCCCTTCCCCTCTAAAAGATAAATGAATAAAAATCTTTTTAAAAAAGAATTAAAAAATTTAGTCTGTTGATCTCTTTTTATTGGTAGGTTGGATTTATTAGGATTTTTATACAATTTTTACTATCTTAATGTTATTTGTCTTAAAAGAATTTTTTCTTGCATTGTTTTAGAAAAATTAAGATTAAAAACTCATTTTTTTCCCTAGTTTGGATTTCTGTTCTTTTAATGGCTAACCTTACCATTGACCAGGCATACTTAGCAAAACCCAGAGTAAATAGCCACCTTACTTCCCTACAAAATTATATACTGACCTTAGGACATTTAGCTACAATCACCTTCCTTTGTTACATGCTGCTGCCGCCACCTACCACTTCCGTGTGGTCATGTTTAACACCACAAATGCAGTGTTGTTTTTTGTAGAGACAACACTTGTTTAGATTTATATTCGTATTTATCAGGGTTGCCCCCGTCCCCCGCCCACCATCCTCTCCTTCTGGGATTATTTCCTTCCTCACTGAAGTACATTGTTTAGATGTTCTTTTATCTAGTCATTTTTTAAAGACTTTATTTACTTTTAGAGGGAGGGGAAGGGAGAGAAACCTCAGTCGGTTGCCTCTTGCGCAGCCTCGACGGGGGCTGAACTCACTCTAGGTCTGTGCCCGGACAGGGATGGAACCGGCCACCTTTCACTCTGCAGACGACACCCGACCGGCTGAGACGCACGTCAGGGCACAGACGTTCCTTCAGGGGGGGTCTTTGGATGCCTTTCGGAATCTCTGGCGTGTCGTTAAAGATGTTTCCTTTGATCTTTAATAATTGAATTTTTGTCATTTGTGAACATGCCCAGATGGGCATGGATGGATCTTGAAATCCATGCATGGTTTTAACCAAGATGAATGATAAGGACAGCAAAGAATCAAAAATTTAGGTAATGGTTGAACTTATAATGGTTTACCTCCTGAATTGGTCAGGGGTTTAAATCGTCTTTATACCTAACGATATATCTAGAAGGAGACTTTGCAACGAAGGCGTTTTATTTCAGATTATTTCTGTTCCGTGAGGCCGCCCAAGATCCACGTAAATGGTTATTGGAGCTCCCAGTTCTCAAGGCTTTGACCTCAAGACCGGACTTAGCTCACATCACCCTGTTTTCTGTTACAGCTCAGAGAGTGGCCACGGGGTAAAAAGACTGAAATCGGACCCTGACCCCGATGACAAGAATCCAGGTGGGTGGCGCCGTTCATTTCGCTCTCTACTTATAATGCATGTGGCCGCAGTAAAGGGCCGGAAGGCGCCGCACCTGTGAATGAATGCATGCGTGTATAACACGCCTACCTAAACGTAATTCCCCAAGCGGTTTTACACCGAGCAGGATTTGCACCCCAGGGCACGGCCACCGCCCTGTGCACTGTTACGCTGGAGACCCGTGGTGCTGGTGGTGACAGCCGTGCTCCCTGGGAGCGCTGCCAGAGCCAGGGCCCGAGTCACATCGCCTCCTCTAACAAAGGACTTCTCTCTCTGTTTTCCCCGAATGTCGAGTTTCTTGGTTTCACCCTGCTGGCTTTCAGAGAAAGGCAGAATGCCTGGCTCGTGCTGCTGGTAGGATTGGATTGAGCCTAGTTTTAATACAGTTTCCAGGAGTACCACTTTCTTTCGTGGGTGCTTTTGCGTGACCCAGTCTGGCACTGTGTGTGTAAGTGGCAGAGTTTTAAGTGAAGGTGAGCTAGATCCTGGGGGCTGGATCAAGAATGAGAAACTCAAGACTGTTTTCAGTTCTGCCCCTGCCTCCCTGTGGGGTTGAGAGTCAGAGCTGAACTCAGTGGGTCGTGTATAAAACCGGGCTTACGTTTCTTTCTCTCTCTCCAAAGAAAATAAATATTTTAAAATATGCATCTACTGAGCACCAGTAGTGGTCAGCTATTGCTGACACCTTTTTGCTGTAGAATCTGCTTTTGAAAGGGGCATTCAGTGAAGAGTCTCCCCATATAAACTCTTCTACCCACATACCCCCTTCCCTCCAGTTCTCCTTTCCAGAGGGAAGCAGTATCGTGCATTTCTTATGTATCCGTCCAGAGCTGTTCTCTGCAGGTACAAGCAATGACAAGTATATATATATATTTATAAAAGTTATTATAGACAAGTTAAACATAGTCACGTTTCAGTGATAGTATAATGAACCCCGTCACATAGCTTCAACAATTTATAACGTGTATCCAGTCCTATGCCTCCTCCCCACTGTGTATTCTGAGGCAATTCCTCAAATGAAATTGTTTAATCCATAATTACTTTTTTTTAAGGCTTTATTTATTTATTTTTAGAGAGAGGGGAAGGGAGGAAGAGAGGGAGAGAAGCATCAAAGTGTGCTTGCCTCTTACGTGTACCCTACTGGGGACTTGGCTTGCAACCCAGGCGTGTGCCCTGACTGGGAATTGAACTGGCGACCCTCTGGTTCACATGCCGGTGCTCAGTCCGCTGAGCCACACGAGGCAGGGCTTGAGGTAATGTTTATGTGCGGTGTGAGGAAGGGATCCACTTTCATTCTGTACAGATGTCCAGTTGGCCCCGCACCATTTGTTGAAAAGACTGTTCTTCCCTTACTGAACTGTCATGGCGCTTCTGTTGAAAGTCGGTGACCAAGCGTGGGCTTGTTTCTGGATTCTCTCCCTTCCACTGATTTATATATGTCTGTCCCCACTGCCATCACTGTGGTCTGGATCGCTACAACCGTGGATGCGCGAGCCCTCCAGCTCTGTTCTTTTTCCGGGTCCCCTGCATTTCCATATGACTTTTGGGGTCAACTTGTCAGTTTCTGTAACCAGGGCAACTGGGGCTGGGCATTGCTCAGATCTGTAGATCAGTTTGGGAACATCGCCACCCGTGGCATCTTAACAATACACAGTGTGTTAAGTCTCATTTAACTCGGAGGTCTTCCTCTTTTCATTTAGTTTTTGTTTCATTTGTATTTTATTTGTGAAGAAGCCGCGTCCCTGTCCCCTGGAGTTTCCCACGCTCCAGGTTTTGCTGACGGCATCCCCACGGTGTTCCTTTACTTCCTGTGCTTCCTGTAACGTGGTAATTAGGTCTAGAGCTCGATCGGGTCAAGTTGATTCTTTGGCAGGAATACTTCATGCCTTGTGTTTTTGTACTTCCTCTCATCGTTACTATTTTCATTAGCCTGCTCATCTTTCCATTGCTTCGTTCATTTACTGCACTTTGGGAGCCGTTGCCTGTAGCATGACAAGAGCTTCCTCCTTCCTTTCTAGGACTGCAGGGTTCCATCATATGGCTGTACATAGTATATTTATCCTGTTTTTTATTGATGAACACTTAGATCGTTTCCATTCTTTCTCTGTCATGACGTTGTATTAAATAACCCTATACATGGGTCAGTGTTATATTCACATGTACATATCAGGTTAAATACTTAGAATTATTGGGTCAGAAAGATGCGCATTTGTAATTCAGGGAGGTGTTGCCCAGTTGCCCTGCAAAGAAGTTATCCCCAGTTTACATCCCCATCAGCACTCGAGGAACTCCATTTCACTGATGGCTTTGTAATACGTAGGAAGCTTGCTAAACTGCTTAAATAGAATAAGCATTTAGTGTGTGTTTGTAAGCACACGCATATATAATACTTCCCCTTAAACAAACTTCAGCTAGTGAATTAGGAGCTCTGTATCGGGTGCTTGTTCTCGGGGAGGGACTGTTTGCGTGAATCAGTGGAAGGAAAACTGGCGTGGGGTCTTTGCACTGAGGCAGACACGTGGTTCAGAGCCGTCTTTTTGGCATTCTAAATCTCTTCTTTCCCCTTCTTACATTTTTACAACAGAAACCGGGTGAGGCATACCCTCTCATTAGGAGCTAAGGCTACACAGGGAGAATATCTCCTGTGTGTTGCTTCAAAGTCTTGTCCTCAGCAGTAGCAGGCTTTGCCCCTCTGGTTCCCCAGAAGATGTCTCTGTGGCCCCAGTGGAGATTCAGGCTTCCCTGCTGGAGGCTCTGGGCTTGTGTTGTGAGCAGAGCCGGTGAATGCACAAGTTGACCCCATCTACTCGCAAGTCACGCATCTGCGTGAGTCCCAAGAACATTCGCTGTTAGTAATTTTCAGCGTTAATTTGGTATGACAGCGTGGTCCCGCAAATGCAGCAGTTGGCAGGAGACTTCACCAAATGGGTGAGGTCAGAGGGCACCATTTGTTCTCTTTGGACAGTTAACTGCTTTTGGAATGAAATTTGTCAGACTCGCGGTCTCTTCTTTCTTGAAACTCCTAGACGGAGATTCAGTCTTTTGGCTTAAACTCTGCCGATGCCCCAGAGGTCCAGACTTTCGGTTGCGTGTCTGTGGCTGATTGCCATCCTCCCCGTCGGCCAGCTTAGGGCCTCCACAGGCACCTTGAATTTGGTCCATCTTTCTGTCTAAGAAATTCGCCATTGAAACACTTAATAAAATGTCGTATCTTGCCGAACAGCCTCACATAAATTAGTGTTCTAAGTCACTGACTCATACCCTTATATCAGGTTGTTTTTTTTTTAACAATCAAATTTTTCTAACAGAATACTGAAAGTGTCACTGTATATGTGACTCAATAATACAGAGAATGTTCAAGTCATAAATGGCAAAGGGTTTGATGTTTGCCTAAAATTTTCATACACCTCTCCCCCACCTTGCCCAAAATAAATTTTGCCTTTAGCAACAAAACTCCATGGAGTGTGCGCCACACTGTCTGGCGTTCCCACGCGTGCGATCATGGCCTGCTCGGTGCTGGGTCCCGTGCTCTGTCCAGGGGAAGCTGAGGAAAGTGCCCGTGTCCGTGAGAGACTTAGGCTCAGCGGAGAGGGTGGACAGGCCGTCCCTGTCGCCTGCAAGACTGCCCAGTCCTCCACGGCCCTCCCGGCTGTAAATACAGGGGTGCCCTTGGTTACAGAGACACGGGGGACTGTTCCTCCCTAGTTTTTTAAAAAAAGATTTTGTTTGTTTATTCTTAGAAAGGGGGGAAGGAAAGGAGAATGAGAGGGAGAGAAACATCTCTTACACATGCCCAGGACTGGCCTGCAACCCAGGCACGTGCCCTGACCTGGGATCATACAGGATCAGGAGTCATTTTAGTACATCATTTTTTCATTCAGATTCACTTGAACATTTTCTACTCTAAGTGGCCTTTAACCGTAGCAGGTCATTTGACCTCATTCATCAGTCAAAGGGGGGATAATACTTGCATGGCAGGTGGTGGTGGTTAAATGAGGCTGGAAACATTTAGAAGGAAGGAATAGAGCTCTTAATTTCCACTTTAACCTTTAGGTCCCGTGTTTTATAGACTGAGGCTTTCTGTCACAGAGGTGGCAGTGTAACTGGGTATCCTGGGGCAAAAGAGCCTCAGCCTACTTGGTGACATTCTGCATGGTCTTAAAATGCTCTCTGCCTGTGATTCCTTTGTCCTCGATTGTACAAGAGGAACACAGCAGTAAGGGGGGGGGGTGATGGGGCTGCTGCCCGTGCGGGGCTGTTCCGAGCCTCCCAGCGGGAAGCCCTCAGCACAGCGCCTGACATGTGGAAAGTGGACCGTCGACTTTGAAAGAGGGTGGTGAAGTTAAAGTCCTCCCTCCTTCCTTGCAGAAGCACCGTCCTGCGTGTCTCTTGGAAGCACGTCCCTGAGCAGTCCCTCCATCCACTGCCCCTCCGCCGCGGTCTGTATCGGCATCCTCCCGGGCCTGGGCGCCTACTCTGGGAGCAGCGACTCTGAGTCCAGCTCGGACAGCGAAGGCACTATCAACGCCACCGGCAAGATCGTCTCCTCCATCTTCCGAACCAACACCTTCCTCGAGGCCCCCTAGCTCCCGCGTCCCTGCTGCACGGAGCTCCTCCCCGCAAGTGGACTGGATGGCGCATCTGCCCTCAGGTGTTACCTCCCTCAGAGAACTTTTTTGCTTGTCCCCTGTGCACATCGGGACATTTTTAACCTCGTCTAAAAAACGTGCCGCATCCGCCCGTGGCACGACCTGCATCTGGTTTTTCTCTCCACTCCTGTGCAGATGCCCAGACCCGTCCCTCTGCCTTTTTCCTCACCCGTGTTGGGGGTCGGGGCCGGCAGAAACCCCACTAAAAATGCCCTGGGAAGAGGGACCGCTGGCTTGCACCAGGTTCGGGTTATGCTGTTTTCTTGGGTTTGGGGGTTGGTTTGTTTGTTTTTTCCTTTTCCAACAGCACGGGGAAGCAAGGGCCATTCTTGGGCAGATGTTATTTGAAACGTCCTATTCTAGACGCACACGCTGTTTGGTTGTACTGCGTTGTGGAAATGTGACGGGAGAGAACGGCCCCAGGTACCGACCTGGCGCACTCCCCGGGCACTGACCGGTTCTTGATGTTGTGTGACTGAGATTAAAAACTGCACCTACTGGGGTGTCACTTACCACTCATCACTCTGTGTGACGCGTTTCCTTCCTCTTAGAAAACTTGGTCCTCCTCCTCCCTTTATCCAATCCCATTTCAGACTCTAGAACACAGGCCTGGTTTCATCAGAGCCAGAAATCAGAAGCGCTAGTAGGGATGAGAAGGAGGTGACTTATTTTTGGCAGCCCTGGATGTCTGATACTGAAAACCAGCTCGACGCACCTGCATGTTCTGACTATACTCTGAACCCTGTCAAGGTTCCTCTCTGGTTGACACCTTTATAGTGTGGCTTCCAGCGATGGAAGCTATTTTTAGCTTCCAGTACTGCCCTAGTCCTTTCCTTCTCCCTTTTCCTCTTTTTCCTCCTGCTCCCCGCTCCCCCGCTCTTTTCCCTTCCCACAGAGAGCAGCTCCCAGGCTGGGAGTGACCAAGTCCTAGAGGTGCTGCCTCACCTCTGTGTCTCAGAGCAAGAGGAAAGGATGGAGAGCAGGTATGGAGGCCTCAAGGACAGAGGTTGCCATGGGCTTAAAAGAGACTGCAGGCCACCCTGCTTCAGAACAGGCTGGGGCAGTTCTTCCCTCCCCTGGGTTCCTGCATCAGTCATTCCCGCCCCCTCGGGTGTGAGACGGAGAGAGGCACACGCAGGCCGTGTTGACGCTGTGACGCTGGCGGGCAGAGGAGCCTCGTGGGCAGAGAGGCCCCTGATCTCGGGCAGCCCACTCCTTTCCCCCCTCCAGTGCAGCACCCTTCTGGCGGCCACTGTGGATGGTGGCTTCCCTTCACCTGTCACTGTGGCCTTGTGATCCTTCCTCCTTCTCAGAACTACTCCGCGCTAATCGTTCCTGACGTCAGGACAGACGCGTCGGCTCCATTCTAATGAAGATGCGTAGGTAAGACTGCGCCGGCAGCTGCTGTTTCCCACTTCATTGTCCCTGCGAGGGAGTGTGCTGTCCCCATGACAGAACGTCCCCAGAGTGAACCTCAGATCATTTCGGGAGGCAGACTGCGGGATCGGAGTCACCCTGTTTGGGTGGCCCGGCTTTTAAGAGGCCCTTCCTATACCTCCCAGCCCCTGCTGCTGTTGGACGGAGCTGGCAAAGGGCGGTAGGACTTGAAAACATGCTTAGCTTTCAGGCTCATACCGAGATCCTGCTTTTCCTGCACAGAGTGTGTGTCCCCTCTACTGTCACAGCGGGAGTGTGCTGAAGGCCGCGGCTCCTCAGATGGAGATTCCTGCCCACGGTGTCTCGGGCGAGGTGCAGCGTCACGGGTGATCATTTCATCCTGTTCTGTTGTCCCTGCCAGAGCAGAGCGTTGGAACCAGAGCACGGGCTCTGTAGAAACCGGGAGAGCGAAGCGGGGACTGGGTCTGTCTAGTAGAAGACACAGCCTTGGAAAACGCCCCGCGTAGACCACATGATTCAAACCCAAAGAAGAGAAACCAGGGCCGGAAGGAAACCCTGCTTTAAGCCCTAAAGCGCAGCGCTCCGGCCTTACCAGACACCGGGGGTCTTAGAACTAGACAGTGAGGGGTGAAAACAAAGCTGGCGTGGGTTTCTTTAAACCTGTTTATACCGTCCCGCGTGGTACCCGCTCAACTCTTGAACTGCATGAGGGGGGAAGCTCGTCTGAGGGGTCCTGTTGTGGCTCCGTGTGGACTAGTTGGGGTCACACCATGTGCTCTTGACCGCCTCCTGATAGCCATTGACCTCCAGTGTGTCACCCACCTCGGTGGGGACAAACGGGCGACATGAAATTCAGAGCATCCATTTCCATCTATTTGTGAGTGGGATGCTGATGTGACTAGACCTGATGAGGTGGCCGGCGACCCGTGTGTGTGCACTGCCCCAGCAGCCAGGAGGAGAGACAGCTGGCTCTTCCAGTTCGGGGGCAGGTGGGGAGGGGGCCCAAGCCTCTCTCAGGAACATTCTGGACTGAAAGTCGAGCTCCTAACTAGGATTGGCTCAGGCTCGTCCCGTGCACCTTCTTCATTGTCCACCTCAAAGGTTCTTCCCTTCTCACTGCTTCCTTTCCACCCAAGAGAGAAGCTTCATTTGTCAGAGATGTTTCCCCTGCTTTTCCCTGGGAACTGGCCTGGTCCCACCTCCGTGGGTAACCACAGTGGCTGTGAGCTTGAAGCCAGACGTTTACTTGCTGGGTCGCTTGAGCAAGGTCCTTAACCACTCTGGGCCTGTTTCCTCCTCAGTCAGTGAGAATGGCGACACCAGCTTCCCAGTGAGGGTGAACGAGAATCAAGGTCAGCACACGGAGCCCAGGGAGCAATAGCCACCCTCATCAATACTGTTAGCGTTGGCCTCTCCCCTCTGTCTGAGCGGGGTGTCCAGAGTTTCCGTTAGTGGTGACAGAGGGCAGGTTTATCCATCCTGCTGGCTCTCCTAGGTTGCGGCTAAAACACCGACAGGATGAAGGTCAGCTCTGGTCATCAGAGCTCCAACCACCAGCTTGTTCTGTGTGCTTCCCTCTCAGCTAAATGTTAATTGCTCAGGCACACACGGTTCCTTGGCTCGGATGCCTAGCCGTGGGTATATGGCTCAGCTGTCATCCAAAGCCCCTCCGGAAAAACAAAAAGGAGACCTTTGTGTGATTTCCCAGAGGGCCTCGGGGAAGCAGGGCTCCAGGAAGTCCTGCAGCCCTCGCAGGAGAAGCGAAGGTGTCCCTAAAGGGTATTTCAGCTGACTTTTGGTTGGTACCGAATCAGCAGATGCATTGAAAACTTAAGGTGAAAAAACACAAACTTAGGATAAAGATACCCTTCACTCACTTCCACCCCATAAATAAACACTGGCTCATGAGGTTACCAGGCTCCCGTAGGTAGGAATCTGCCTGGTGCACCGTCCAGGTACATAACAAGCCACCAGTAAGAATTACCTGGGAGAAGGGGTCAAGGTGAGTGACATCCCAGTTTCAGTAGAGGAAGGACAAACTCACCAGCTTGAGCAGAAGACACAGGGTTGAGGGAGGACGTTCGATGCAGTGGGACCAGAGTGGGCTCTGGAGCCTGCCTCTAGCAGATGCGATTAGCCTCTCTGCTTGTTTCCGCGTCTCCGCAGTGGTCATCGACGGGCTGTTGGGAGGGTTCATCAAGGTTATGCCTGTGAAGCACTTGAACGTAGAGCGGGAAAGAGTGCTTAATACCAGTGTCAGTTGGTGCTGGTCCTACACGAGCCTGTGGCGAAGGGGCTGCCTGGAGCCCCTGCGGGCGGGGGTTGGGGGCTTAGGGTAAAGGAGGGAAAGATGTGTCACATGAACGAGGGAGGGAACCGAGAGGGCAGCTGGGGCTTCGGAGACTGGTCTCTTGGCTGGATCATGGAGCTGGGCCTGAGCCCAGAGGGGCACGCGGTAGAGACCAGTGGCTGCTGCCGGCAGGGACGGGAGCGGCCTTGTTAGGCCAGAGAGCCTGCACACACTGCAGACCACGGGGCAGACCCCGGGGTCTGGCAGACCCGGAGGGGAGGCGGGTGGGTGGCAGCGACGGCTGTGTGTGCGTGTGAGGAAGGTCGGAGCACAAGGGACAGAGCGTGGACCCAGAGGAAGAGGGGCGGTGATCAGGTGGTATCGGCTGGGCCAGTGCGTGGGGACGGCAGAGGCCAGAAAACCTACAGTCACCGCTGGGGCCCGTGTATTCCATTCACTCACAAGTACTTACCAGGCACGTGTGTTCACGGTGCCTGGTTCTGTGCCAGTTTAACAGGGCGGTTACTGTTTGTGTGCAACGCGGGTCCCCAAGGGATGGCACCAGCCTCACAGGCTTGCTGGGGGGAGGGGTTTTCACATTCATGTCCCAGCTCGAGAGCCCCCGGGGTCCCAGCTGAGGAAGAAGCTGACATGGATGTCCGAGACCCCTTATTACCCTGAGTATAAAAATAGAACACGGCCACAGCACTGGAAACAGCAGGAATTAGGCGCGGGCTACAACACGGGGCACCAGGGAGAGACACGCTCCTCGCAGACTCCGCAGCTAGTTACGATTGTAAAAATTTTATTCTCTTTAATAACAATAATTATTCCACGAAAATTATACAAAGTACATTCAATGATTAAGAGTGGCGGGGACAGGAGGAGAGGAAGCCAGTTTGGCCTGGAAGCATCGTGAGTCAACTCCAACAAAGGAAGCCCAGCTGGGCTGGAGAACTCGGGGGTGGAGGTCCGATTGTAAAAAAAAACATGTGGATCATTAAAAAAAAAAAAAGCCACCCATAAGGAAGCAGGGTGAGCACACGTGTTCCTGGGGGAGGGTGGGGGCCCGCCGGCATGCTGCTGCGGGGGCGGGCACTCAGGCGGGCTCCGAGTGGGAGGGGGGCAGGCTTTTATGCTTGAAATACTGCACAACTTGTTGGGGCAGCTCCGCCAGCACAGCCTTGGCCAAGGTCTCTTTTGCTGCCTGCAGGGTGGAGGGTGGGGTTTAGAGAGGAGAGAACAGGGGTTACTGAGCAGAAGTTGGGAGGGGCACCATTCCCAGAGAGCTGCTCCTGGAGGTGTCCCTGGAGAACAGTGTCCGTCAGAAACCCATCCCCCCCCACACACACACGCACGCACGCCGTCCCTGTCCAGGTCCGAAAGCCACTGTTAGCAGTGCCCTCCTTTAGGCTAAGTGTAACCATTACCATGAGCACTTGAGGTGCCCGAGAGTAACGTTTTAGGAAGGATTTGCCTGTGGGGGGCTTTCCAGGACAAGAGCCGTTGGGAGGCAAGCTGCAGAGCCCACTCATCTGGCAGACATCCTGAGCACCTTCCCTCGGCTGGTGTAAACGAGCGGTGACTGTCTGGTTTGCTGCCGAACGCACAGGCCAGGCGCAGGGAGATGCTCGGTCAGTGTCAGCGGGAATGAAGGGTGGTCTGTGCCCTGCAGTTGGCCTCAGCTACTGCTCCAGAGGAAGGGACTGAACCATCTCAGGCAAACCAGAGGGGACTGGGCAGAGGTGTGTGGACCACTGGCTACAAAACAGTGGTCAGTTCTTGCTGAGACTTGCTGAGCTAGAGCACCTGGAGGGGCCCTCACGGCTGAGAGAACTGGGGCCCAAAGAGGTCAAGGACTTGTCCAAGGCCACACAGGGTGCCTCTGGTCAAAGAGAAGGCCCCAGGATCACAGTACGGGGTTGGCACCTGAGGCTGTGCTCCCCCCCGGGACTCTTCGTGGGCCACCCGGGGAGCAACTAGGAAGCCAGCCACAGCCTCCTTCAAGCAGACTCGGGGTCCCCTGCACGTAGGAACAGAGTCACCGGCAGGAGCCACTCCTCCCTGCAGAGGCCCTTAGGGAGAGGGCGGTCCTGGCTTTGCACCCGTGGAGTGAGGGGGCTGGGTGACATGTGATTATGAGGAAAGCCTGTCTCACCTCTAGGTTTCTGCTGTCATCCCTCTGCCCCCCAAAACCTGGGCCTGACAGATACCTGACTTCTGGTCAGCTAGAAGGCTGGCCTTCCGGGAACCCCTATCTGGATTGGGCACCACCTCTGTGTCCATCAGCTTGCTGGAGCAAGTGCTCACCCTGTCTCATGGTCTCTGGTCTGGGGCAGGGCCTGGCACGGCCCTGGGCACAGCGAAGGCCCTCGGGCAGTGCTCAGTCAATGCAGCTGAGGGCAGAGGAGCCCAGGACAGCGGACAGTCCCAAGACCTTCGTCCTTGGTTACTATCATGGCTCTCGGGGTCCTGTAAGGTCATGTCCCCGCCTGGGCCACACTCACATTGCGGAACTCTCGAAAGGGCACGAACTGCACGATGTCTCGGGCCGCCTCCTCCCCAGTGTGGGAGCGCAGCACACGGCTGTCCCCGTCCAGGAACTCCATGGCAGCGAAGTCGGCGTTGCCCACGCCCACGATGATGATGGACATGGGCAGCTTGGAAGCCTGCACCACGGCGTGCCGCGTCTCCTCCATGTCACTGATGACGCCGTCCGTGATGATGAGGAGGATGAAGTATTGCTGCAGGGAGGTCAGCGGGCACTCAGCAGGGCCCTGAGGCCCCTGGCCCCACTACCCCCTTCCTCCTCTTGCAAATCCTCCTTAAAGCCCTCTGACCCTGGGAGGAAGGTGACTCCTTCCCCAGCTGTAGCCAAATCCCAACCACCTCCCACAGCACCCTGGCCCCTGGGTGTACCCTGACCCGGCCTCAGCCAGAGCAGAAACTGCCCTGGCCCTCCCGCCCTGTGTGTCGGGAGCCTGGGAAGTAAGACCTGGCTCTGCCAGTCGAGGCACTGTGGGTCTCAGACCTTCATCTGCAAAGTGGCAGCAGCGTGTCCCCCGAGCACCCCAAAGAGAACATGCGTGCCCGGTGGCAGCGGCTCGTTCGCTAATGGATAGCTGCATTCCTAGTAGGCCGCCTGGTGGCCGGTGAGGAAGACCATGCTGGCTGAGAGCCCCTGGACAGAGGAGGCCCTCTGTCCGCCCGCACGCGGGTGCCTGTGCCCCTGCTCATCTCTCAAGCACAGCTGCACTGAGACATGTCTCGGGGACTCAGCAGGTCATCCCGGCCAGTGCTGCTGGGGCTGTGGGACTCGGGGAAGCAGACGCAGGTCACATGGCAGATGACACAGCACCGAGTCACCGTGGAAGGGGGCATTTTGCAGCGGCCTTTATTCTACACAGTGCCTAGGCGGCAGTCTCGGTCTGTGCCGGTGCATGTGAGCCGCCTGGACCGTTCACTGACCTCGTTATTAGCTCAGAGAGAAGATGGGAAGCTCAGGGCTTCGGGGACGACGCTCTGCAGCTGCACCTGAGTACCATCGTGCGGTTTCTTACATGTTTACTTTTATTGTTACTCCCCATGGCAAGGGATAATGATTCACTTACAGTGGGTTATAAAGTTTCTATATCAAATTATTTAAGTAAAAAAAAAATACTGAAAAATTAGCGTGGTTAATAGGTGGCTATAGTCTAGACTTCAAAGGCCGGGGTGAGTGGAGTCCCGGACAGCTCACCAAGCGACCTGTGACCTGTGGGTGGAGGCCCTGGGGCTCCAGGCTGGCTGAGGTGGGGGTCAGCTCTGTCCTTAGTACCCTCTGGCCCCTTTTGGGGGGAACTCGGTTCCCCCCATCCATGATTAGAAAAGCTCTTCTGCCCCCAATATTCCCTGTGTAGAGCTTTCGCCTCTCCCCTGACCCTTCTGGTTTTCAGGAGAGGAAAAGGGGGCCCAGACCAGTCAAGGTCATGGAGGGCAGGCCCAAGGCAGCCCCACACCAGCATTTGGCTACTTTCTCACCCGTTTGCTCCCTGAGGGACCTACAGAGGATACAAATCCAGCCTCTGAGGGAGCCTGGCTCTCCTGCTTGTCCCCCAAGCACAAACTGTGGAAGGAAGGAGGGGGGTGAGTCACATGGAGGCATGGACCCCATGATCCTAACCCCCCTCCTGGCAGCAGCAGGCTGGCTCCTGCGCTGTGCCTTTAAGAGATCAGTCCCTTGGCTGGGGATACCTGTTGCTATGGAGATGGCAGCCTGAATCCCTGCAGTGGAGGGCTGCTGCTGCCAGCCCCCCATCCCTGGGGTTGACCGTGACTCAAGGCCCTCATCCCCGCATCGCTCACCAGCATCCCAGCACCCCTTCCCTAAGCAGGGTGCTTCCATCGCACCACAAATATTCCAGAGCACCCAGGCTGGCAGGAAGGAGGGCACTGAGAGGCCTGGCGACGAGGGAGAGAATGGGTGGGACTGGCCTCCAAGCCCCTCCCAGCCCAGATGGTCTCCCCGCCCCTTGACCACTCCAGGCCCCTTGACTCTCCCCATTCCATCAGCCACATCTCCGCACTGCATTGCTCAGGCCTGAGCCCCCCTTGGAGCCCTGGAGCCTTCTTCTCCAGGGCAGTGGGCACCAACTAACAGGGTGACGACGTCCCTGTTGACACACAGCGACCACACGGGCCCTCCTTGTCACCCTCACCCTGTGATTCTTTTAGAGATGAGATGGGCTGAGCCGGGGTACATGACTTAACTTCAGGCCTCCCAGCCGGGATAGCCGTCTTGATTCTAAACCAAGTTGGCTGACTCCAAAGCTGATGCTCTCTCCACAACATCCTCCTCTGTGGCAGTTGCCTCTCCTGTAGTGGGGCCTGCACCCTCTAGGCCAGCACCCCAGTGTCGGGAGGCCAGAATGTCCAGGATAGCAGCCCAGGGCAAGGTCCAGAGCCACGGCACCAGACCTGAACCCTTGCTCCTGTGTGCCAACCAGCTAGCCGCGATGCCCACACTCATGTGTTTGGCTTCAGCTCGGCGTCATCAGTCTTGGCAATGGAAGTGCAGCTGACAAGTCCTGGGCTCCTCGCCCATTGTGGTACAGAGTCAGGGTTGTCCAGGAGTCCCTGAGGTTCATTACAGCCCCAGAGGTCCACAGCCCCACCCCCAGACAGTTCTGAAGGGACCTGGGAGGGGGCTGTGGAAGGGGAGGATGAAGGGCAGAATCGGGCAGGAGGAGGTGGGACGGGGCCCAGCTGCCCCGAGGACAGTCCTGTACTCTGCCCCAAGACTTCCCGCCTCCACATGAGCCCTTCCTGGTTTACTTCCTTCTGCCCGGCATCCCCCGCCCGGCCACGGCTCCACAACCCACCTGTGCATCTTGCCCCCATCCACCCCAAGCAGACGAGAAGGCTCTCCCCAGTGCTGAGCTCTGCTTCTACCACCAGACTGCCCATGGGGAGGGCTCCTCCTCGGGACAGTCCTCTCCCTGCAGCCCCCGCCCTGAGCACCCCTCAGCGTAGCCCCTTGCACCTGCTTCTCCATCTCCTGGGCCTGGCACCCCGTCTGTGCTCCAGAAACGTAGCGCATCACTATCAGGTCAAACCCCAAACCCAAACTCCTAACACACTTCAAGGATGGCCTTGCACCTTTTGCCTGGACCAGAGCTTCTTCAGCCTTCTGAGACTCTAAATAGCCACTAACCCATTTAATGTTGTGATTTGATTTCCAAGGAACTGACTTGACCGAAACAGTTCCAGGCAGAGTCTGAGGAGGCTGCACTCCCTGGCTCATTTCTGAGAAGTCGGTTGCTGAAGACCCCAGAACCAGGACCCGAAGGCAGGTCCCCAGGGTCCCGGCTGCCTCCCAGCTTCCCCTCCACTGGAACGCCAGACACCTAGGGGGCCAGCCGGGAATGGGCCATGACAAGAAGGCCTGACTTTGAGGGGCCGGAGCAGAGGGGAAGATGAAGGCCCCATGATAGGAACCCCCTGGCCCCCCAAGAACCTCCCAGTGCCCTTCAGTGGTTCCCCTGCCCTCTGAACACCCAGATTCCTCACTAGCTCCCATGGCCCTCTGGGGACTGGCTCACCTTTCAGCCTCGCCTGCCCCCAGCTCAGCCCTCTTACACCACACTCTTTCTTTCACTTAGGCCCACACACCATGCCTCCCTCCAGACCTTTGCAGACGCTGTTTCCTCTGCCTGGGACAGTCCACACACACATGCACACACGCATGTTCACACATGCACATGCACGCACCCAGCCTTTGCAAGCCCGACTCGGAAGCATCCTCCGACGCTCAGCTTGACCATCCCTTTTCCCAGAAGCCCTCCCTGGGCCGTCCGTCTGGGTGAGGTGCCACCTTTATGATGCTGGACTTTTGTCATCACAGTTTTAATCGCACCCCAGCTGCTGCTTCCTGGCCCGGCTCCCCCACTCGACTGCGGGCTCCGGGAGGACAGAGGCCTCATCCTGCACATCACACCCCCATCCCAGTGCCGCACGGAAATATTCTCAGGAAAGATGCGGCATGTGAATGAATGGAGAGTAGAGCCCTGCCTAGAGAGATGCCTCCTACCACCTGCTGTCTGTTTCCTGCCCGTGGGCGTGCATGCATGGGCATATGTCTGGGACCGGGAGGGTGAGGCCATGCCAGAGCGGCTGCATAAAAGCATCATTAATCCACCAGTCTAATCCACTGATCGTTTTCTTTTGCCTTGGGCCTGAACATACTCAACATCACCAAGTGCTGGCCCAAGAGGGGTCCCCAGAAGATGCGGCTGCCCACATTCGGTTGAACCCTCACCATGCTTCTCTTAGGCAAGGTCTTCCATCGCCTGCACTGTTCGGGTGAGGAATCACGTTCAGAGAGTTTAAGCAACCTGCCGTGGGTCACACAGCCATGACGTGGCGGAGCTGGGGTTTGGACCAGGTTTATGGGGTCCGGAGCTTGGGGTTGAACCCCCAGACAGCCCACCTCCTCCACATGTGGTGCAAGGGGAGACGTGGGAGAGAGTACAGGCAGGAGGTGGTACCCGGCAGTATCCGTTCTCGGACATCGTGTAAGTGGGGACCACAGAGACTCCCCGTCCCACTCCTGATACTGGGAGATGGCCCAAGCTGCGGGGGCGGGGGGTGACAGGAGGAAGCTGTCTCCCCAGGTTGGGAGGACCAGGTCTCGACGACGTGGCTGGAGTGTCAAGAGGATTAGGGCTGGTCAGGATTCAGACTTGCTCAGAGACAGGGCCACGGTCAGTCTTCCCTCTGGGGACCCTCAGCAGTCCCCCAGAACACAAAGACTCCTCCTTCCTGGGCTCGCCCAGGGCCCAGGCCCCCTGCACACCAAGGATCCAGTAGGCGGGGCCCGCGTCTCCCCAGGACGGTGTCTCCCTGCCAGGCCAAAGGGCCCCGGAGGGACCCTGGCTTCATTCCCGCTCCTGCCTCCTGTTTTTCGCCCAAGAATGCAGGTCTTTTTTCCATTGCTTTGAAAGCTGGCTCAGGCGATAACAGACTGGGAGGGACACCGGCCTGGCCGGTTGCAGGTGTCCTAACAATTCCAGCCAAACCCCCAGGAATTTTATAAAAAGCCACTCCCTGGCCTTTCGCAGACTGTGTCCCATTCAGGCTGCCCCAGATGCTCACAGCACCCCTGGGGCTTCCTTCTGCCCTTGCATGAAGGAAACAGGCTCCAAGCTGGGAGGGGGTTTGTCCCAGGCCCTCAGCTGCCACCGCAGGGCAGGGACTAGAGCAGATCACGTCCCCGCAGCAGGAAGGACCAGGACCGCCTTTCACCACAGCTGACCCTCACGCACCAACTTCCCTCCTGCCCGTCCCTGGCCTCTGCTGGGCGGGCCTCTTCTGGGAACTTGCTTCTCAGCACCACCCCCTCGAAGTAGATATGTTAATACTGTCTGTACACGTGACACAGCTGAGGCTCAGAGAGGTTAAGTGACTTCCCCACATCACACAGTGAAGAAGGGGTAAGGGCAGGATTCAAACGCTGGGAGCCTGACCCCAGGGTCCCCTTCCCCACAGGCCCTCTGCTGCCTCCCAATGACCAGACCATGTCCTGCTGTCCTGCCCTCCCCTGGTGTCCTTGCTCATAATCTCCCCCTCCCGTCTTTGCTGCCATCTGCCAACTGCCAACATTCACCTCTCTAGGGACCAAGTAGAGGTGCCAGCCTCCTGTGGGTGGTCCCAATGGGACCAGACCCCCTTCCCTTGGGGAGACTCACATTGCAGAGTCAGGGCGGGTGCTGGTGGTTGGTGTGGGGGGCATGGTGGCCCTTCAGTGACCCCCAACACTAGCATCAGGCCTGGGGCTGAAGGGCGGGAGAGGACCAGGGCTGCAGATGCCAAGGATGTGGCTTCGTGCCGAATGTTCCAGATGCACGCAGCAGCCCTGGCCAGTCCAGGCTCCAGCTGCAGCCGCATCACTGAACACCCAGCCAGCCAGACAGTTCCGCAGTCCTCAGCGTGAGGCAAGGGCTGCGCTACTGAAACTAGGGGCTCAGAGGGTCAGCGTTAGAGCTGCGGGGACCTGCCTCCTGGCTTCCACACGCACCCTCTGCCCCGGGGAGGCACCCCCACGGGTCACAGCCCCATTTCCTACCACAAACAAACGGAACTGCTGACTCTCCCTCAGCTCTATGCTCCAACAGGCCAGGACTAATCAGGCTGAGCTTGGTCCAACCCCCTATCATACCTGCAGGTAGACTGAGCCACAGAGAGGCATCTGGGATTTTAGAACAAAGGAAGGCAGAAGAGCCGGCTAGCCAGCCCCATGGGGGTGGGTGGGGGATGCGCTTCTGTCTGGCCCTCCCTCGTGCCAGGCAGGGAGGGCCTGGCCAGTGCCACCCCATCCTGCAGTGGCCGCCTACTCACCGTGGCTGTGGGCTGCTGCGTGGCCTGGGCTGCAAACCGGGCCACGTGGTTGATGATGGGGGAGAAGTTGGTGGGCCCGTAGAAGCGGATGTGGGGCAAGCAAGCCGAGTAAGCCTGGGCGATGCCATCCACGCCTGCCTCGGAGACAAGAGTCGAGATCAGCCTGGTCCTCCCGGACCCGAGCCCGCTGCCAACAAGTGTCATTGCAGGCTCACCCCAAATGCACCTGCCAGAAGCTCCCACAGAGCAGAGCCAGGGTGGTGCAGAGCCCTGAATAGAGTCAGACAGACCTGAGTTCAAATCCTGCCTTTCAACTTCTTAGCAGTGGGACCTGTTCCCTTGTCTGGTCACAGGTCTGACAATCTACTTTGGGGCAGGTGGCTGGAAAGGGTCCAGCAGGCTTGGAAAAGGGCCTTGGGAAGCCACCTGGAGTCCAGTCTGGACACGCTATGGCTTTTGCTCAGGCTTGTTAGGGGGACTGAGACGCTGGCACAGCCCCTGCGCACAGTAGGTGCTCTGTAAACAGCCGCCATTCCGAGCCTAAGAATATCCACCTGCCCCGTGGTCCTCTCCAGAAGGCCTCTGGCCGGAAATGAGATTGACTAATGTGAACTTGGACAAACATCTCTGGAGACCTGCTCCAAACCCGGCATGATTTCCCCAGCAGGTGTGCAGGGTCACATTTCTTGCCAACAGATGGCTTCTGAGTCACAGCATCGTCCCCAGGTCGGTGCCTTCCAAGTACAAACCAGGCCCCGCTTTGAGGGTCCTTGCGGAAGGTGGACGGCTCGCCCAAGCCCAAGCCTCTGCTGAAAGGTCCCATGGTGACAGGGACCACCCTCTTCCACACCCACCTGCAGCCCCTTTTCCTCTTCCAGCACTTTCTTAACCGACTCTGGGGCGCTCGGAAATCTTCTAAGGCTTTTTCAGGGAGGAGGGGGAGCAGAGACCACGCCCACGGCCTGCCCCTTCCGCCCCTCTCCCCCAGGCACCCTCAACCCTTGGATGCCACAGCTCTCAGTCAAAGGCAGAGTGGGCGGGGCGGGGCGGGGCGGGGCCCGGCGGGGCCCTCCCCGCAGAGCAGGCAGAAGTGAAAGGCAGGTGTGCCATTTTCCACCCTGGCCTCCTCCCGGTCTACGCAGGGCTTCCTGGCAGTCCTTCTCTTAATTATCACCTGACCCCAGCGGTGTGAGCTAAACAGGTGTCACATCTCCCCAGGGCAGATGTGAGGCTCAGAGAGGTGCAGTGATCTCTCCAAGGTCACACAGCCAGAAAAGGGCTGCCGCTAGCCCGGGATGCAGGACCACCTGACTCCAACCTCCAACCCTGCCCCTAGCTGTGGTGCTGAGGAAGCATGAGGAGGAGGGGAGAGGAGAAAGGTGCAGAAACCTGCACTCTTCCCTCCCTCCACCCAGGGAGCTGGCCTGGTGCAAACCCAGGGCAGGTGCAGGTACGCTCAACACTCACCTGAGCAGAAGGGGTTGGTGGGGTTGAAGTTGATGGCAAATTCGTGGGAGACCTGAAATGCAGAGAAAATGCTCAGCTGGCAGCCTCCTGGCCCCAAACCTGCTCCCAGGCCACCACCTGCCAAGCCCACGCTCCCTCTGGGGGCACCTGGCTCTTTACTCACATCCCCCCCGCAAGGTCAGGGCTATGGATACCCCACATCCACTTTTACCTCCACTGCTGAGTCTGACCCACACACAGAGGACCAACCGAGAGCCTTCCACATCAGCCCACTCTGTCCTCCAGGATCAGGGCTGCCTGTGGCTCCAAGCCCCACTCCGAGAGTCCCTGAGTGGGACAGAGATGCCCCTTGGTCACCAGCTCTCACTGTGGTCGGGGCTGTAACTGGAGTTCCCTTCATCAAAGGCTGACCTGCACAATCCCGGACACCACTGGACCCACAACAGTCCGGGAACCCACAGGGACCGATAACGAGCCCCCCTTCAAGGCTGCAGGTAGGACTGGGATGGTACAGAACCTGGGGCCTCAGGAGAGGCCGGAACTCAGCTGGGGGACCTCCTCACTCTCCCCCCCGCCCCCACAGCCAAACTCCCCACTCACGCCTCCTGTTCGTGCTTTGCAAGCATGTTCTCACTCCTTCCTCACAACAGCCAATGGGGGAAGGCCTATTATTACCCCATTTTTTAGATGATGAAACTGAGACACAGAACATACTAGAGTGTTCCCACAGTCTCACATTTACCGAAGGGCAGAGCTGGGAGGAGAACCGAGGTCAGACTGCCTCCTGAGCTCACGTTCCGTGAACCCACTACCTTAGAAAGTGTTCCTGCGCCCAAGGGTTTTAAGTCAGGAGGGTGGAGAGGCTCAGGCCACGGGAGAGCTTCAGTCTGGGTGCCAACAGTCCCAGACAGAGCTTTAGGTCTGAGGTGCTGGGAGGCTGGCATCCCCATCCCACAAATAAATAAACGGAGGCCCAGAGAGGGGGGCCCAAGTGCCAAGCCCACGCAGCAGAACAGGCCAGGGGACCAGGTCCCTCATGCATCAAAATAGGGTTGGACCCCAGACCTTGGGGAGCCCTCCTGGGCCAAGAGGGGAGGGACTGGGCTTGGGGAGTTCACCCTAGTGCTGCCCTGTGGGTGGCAGCTGGCCCGAGAAGACGCCCTCCCTGTACTAGGGAATGGGCGGTTCTGTTCTTTGTTCCTTCGGCCCTAAGTGCCTGGCATGGAGCCAGCCCCCTGATGCCTGTCTTGGGCCCTGTCCCTGCCCAGGGGCCCCCTTCACCCTGTCCCCAGTCTGGGTGGGCTCCAGGTGTAGGGGCCGAAGGTCCTCGTTGCCATGGCAACGTCATGAGCCTCTGTAGATTTTTAGAGGGGGCTTGTACGGAGGGGGTTGAGAGAGGAAAATGGTTGTCAGGGAAACAGGACTCCTATGGGCCAATCATTTCCTGCAAAATCAGATTTTAGGAGATTCTGGAGACCAAGGGGGAAAGCCCGCTCCCGATAGGGATGGATTATTATTTCCCCTTCTTGGCCACCCAGCCTCTTCGTTCCCCAATGCTCTCCTCTCTTTGGGGAGGGAGGGTCTGGCCTGGGCTCAAGTGCATGGGTCTGTGGGGGGCCACCCTCCACCCCGTGGCCTCTCTGGTTACCTACTCCAGCAGCCCCATTTCACAGGTGGTAAAACTGAGGTTCAGAGAAGGCTAAGGAATGCCTTGGTCACATGGGTGACCCACAGCAGAGCCAGGAGCAGATCTGGGGGACAGGCAGTGTCCACGCTGTCTGTGGACAGCCCCCTCTCGTGCTTGTGGCCTTGGTCTGCCTGGAAAACGCCACTAAACAGAACAGCTTCCTGGAGGCCACCCCAAGCCAATCAGGGGCCCCTGGGGACTGGCTGGCTGCAGGTCTTTGTGGGGCTCCCTGCGTGGCCTGTGACACTCAGGGGTCCCCATTCACCCGACCTGGCCCTGCCTGGCCCCTGCTCAGTGAGTTACTTAAGGCACTGCTCCCTGTGGTCCCAGCAGGGGCAGGACGCTAGAGGGAGGCTCTGAGGAAGCTGGCCTCAGAGGGACTGTCCCCCATAAGCCTCAGTTTCCTCATCTGTAAAGTGGGGAGAGTCATAAACTGTGTTCGTCTCCACCCCAGACCTTCCTCTGCCTGCTGTCTCTCTCTTCATCTGACTAAATCAGGCTCATTTTGAAGGCCATGCCCTCATGCTGTCCCCTGGGGACACACTATCTGTGTCCCTCGGCCACAGCCCAGGCAGAGCAGGGCTGAACTGAGGCCCCAGGAGCAGGAGGCTGGTTTCAGGGTCCTTCTGGCTCCTTCTAGCTTCCCACCCTCAGAAAACCAACACCTCTGGTTGCTCAGGCCACTGGGCCCCAAATTCACTGTGAACAGACATGCACACCAAGCACATGCCAAGGAACAAGGGACATGGCAAGAAGGAAGCCAGGTGGCCTCCCTCTGCACTGAGTCTCCGAAGAAAACAATAAACAAGTCACCCCCCACACACCGAAGTGACCAGAGTTCTGTGAGGACGGTGCTCCCTCCCTGGGCCCCACAGGGAGGAGGGTCCCCTGTGAGGCCCAGAGGTGGGTTGGAGGGGGGTGATGCTTCCCTGAGAAGCAGTGTGGGAAGTGAGTGAAAGGGAGCAACAGACTGGAGGAAGGCCACGTGCAAAGGCCCTGGGGTGGGAAGGAAGGAAAGACAGCTCCCACGGTGGGAGCGAGGTGAGTTAGAATAAGAGGCCGGGAGGGGCTGGGAGGGGCTGGGAGGGGTGGGGTCAGGCCAGGCATGGGAGGTGGCACCGAGTTATCTATCCTCTCCTAGCCTGGTTTCTGCATCCCTCCAGGCACTGCCGGGCACTCCAGCCTGGCCAAGCCCCAGTCTCCCCAGAGTTGTTGCCCTGTGGCATTTCCAAGGAGGCTTTTGCGCAAGAGAACATCTCGCTGAACCAGAGTTCTTTGAAAGCTGGCTGGTGTCCTAGCAACCGGCCCCTGCTGGGCCTGCCAGCACCAGCCCTCCCTGCCCCCTCTCCCTGTGGCACCGTTTTGGTCCTGCAGGACCACACGATGGCCAGCAGGTCCCACAGCCACTCAGAAATTCTAGGTTGAAACTCATCCTCCCTGGGGAGGCTGCAAGGGAAACGCTCACTTTGGAAACGGCATTCGGCACAGCAACACAGACAAGAGGGGGCGCCAGCTGAGACAGACACGCAGGGTGAGGGGCCCCTGCGCTCACTCCTCCAGGCTTCTCACGGGAGAGGCAGCCAATTCTGAGAATAAACCCCAGAGTCTATATGCGAGCTATAATCAAGGCCCCCATCGTAAACATGACCTTGGGCAGGTTACCTGAACTTCTGTCCTTTCAACTACCCTGACCCCAGCCAGTCCCCACTCGGCAGCCAGGGTGGCCCTTCAAAAATACCAGCTGAATTCTAACTCTCCAAGGGGACTGTGCAGCGGCCTCCATTGCTCCTGAATGTGCCTTTGAGGCCCCGTGTGGCTTGCCCCCTACCCCTCTAGGATCTTCCCGTCCTGCCCATCTTCCACGAGAGTCCATCTCGCCCACCATCCTTCTGCTTCTCCAACTGGCCCTGCTTCCTCTGCCTCCCAGACTTGGCACAAGCTGTTCTCTCTACCATGCTCCCTGCCCCATCGCCACCCCCAGTCACTCTGCGAATTCCTACTTTCCCTTCCCCTCTTGGCTTATACTATGCCTCCTCCAGGAAGCCTTCCCTGATACCCCCAGGCTGGGGTGGGGCCGTCCTCCGGACCGTGCTGCCCCATCTCAGCCCTGATGACCCTGCCTGTTGTGTTTAGGGTCACCAGACAGAATACAGATACCCAGTTAAATTTGAATTTCAGATGAACAATGGGTATTTTAGTATAAGTATATCCCAGGCAATACTTAGGACATACTTATCCTTAAAAATGTGTTCATCTAAGGCCCTGGTTGGTGTAGCTCAGTGGATTGAGCACAGGCCTGCAAACCAACAGATCGCAGTTTGATTCCCAGTCAGGGCACATGCCTGGGTTGCAGGCCAGTTCCCAGCAGGGGATGCACCAGAAGCAACCATGCATTGATATTGTTCTCCTTCCCTTCCCTTCCCTTCCCTTCTAAAGATAAATAAATAAAATAAAATAAATGTGTTTATCTGAAAGTCAGTGGGTGTCCTGTATTTTTATTTGCTAAGCCTGGTATCCTCCTGGTCTTCCCCACCTGACACGGGTACCAGGGGCTGGAACCGGTACCCAAGTCCCGCTCTGTGTGAAAGCTCCGGTGTCAGCGTGGGGTTCGGGTTGAGGAGTGTGTGGGTTTGGGAGAAACTCAGAGGAGGCGGGGCAACTGCGCCCCAGCACCAGACCTTCCCAAAGCAGATCTTGGAGAGAGACACACAGAAAGCCCATCCTGGCCAAGAGGAAACAGTCTGGCTTCACTCACCTTCCAGTCTGGGGGTAACTGGGCCCCGAACCCTAAAGCTGGAAACATCTTATCACTAATAAGAGAGAGGAGAGAAACCATTGTGAGACAACTGGACGGGGGCCTCCAGCCACCCACGCTCACCCTTCCCAAGCTCCCTACCCAGGGCTGGCCCCTCAGCCTCACGCACCCCCAAGGACAGAAAGAAAAAACTCGCCACCTCCAGGAAAGCTCTGTTCAAATGCCCTGCTGTCCCCAAACCCACCTCTAGGCACCCAGTGTGGCTTGAGCCCACCTACACTTGTGGCAGACACAGAGCTTCTGACCAGTGATGACCAGCGGGTCTGGGTCCAGCTTCTAGATCCTTCCCAAACTGGGACCTCATGCAGCCACCAAACCAGTCATGATGGGGGGACATATACTGGCTGGCTCAAGTTTCCTTTTATGGCTGGAAAAAATTCTCCTAAACTGGCTGGCGTTCAAGGCCCTTCATCACCCGGCCCTGGAGCCCAGTCCCATCTGTTTCCACCTGCCCTCCCTCCCACCCTATTCTCCCAGCCCTGGCCACAAGCCACTTGCCGTCCCCAAACACACAGGGCACCTTGACACCCCAGCTTCAATCCCGTACACCCCATCTCGAAATACCTCTCTGTGCCCTGTGGCAAACTCCTACTCATCCTACGAGGCCCAATTCAAACGGCCCCTCTTTCTGTGGGTTTCCCCGATTCCCCAGGGTCCCTCTCTTTGCTGCTGCCTCATACATGAACTGGTCTCTTGAAACTCCAGTGGTCTCTTCCCCATCTTCCCTGCTCACGTAGAAGTGTCCTAAAGCAGACACCACATCGTGGCCGAGTCAACTGGAGCCCGAACTGACCTTCAGAGCCTCTCCCCGGCTCACCTGTCGTAGTCCTGAATGATCTGCCCGACGGCCCAGATGGCCGACAGGTACTCGTTGGTGCCCATGGGGTTGATATAGTGCAAAGAGGAGGGGTCGAGGGGGTTCCCATTGGAGGCTGTGAAGTCTATCCCAACCTGCAGGGGTTGGGGGGAGAAAGACCACCCAGTGTGGTCAGAGACCTCAGCACCCTCCCTCACCTGCAGAGAGCAGCGAGGCTGCTGGGACGGCATCACCCCTCTGGTTCCAATGCCCCCCCAGGGCTCTCGGTGGCCTGAGCAGAAGTCTGTGACCCAGATGTGATACAGAGCCAGCTTACAGCCCCAAATTCCTTTCCCCGCTCACCGTCCCCATTCACACTCTTCTGCTCCCATTGCCAGGCCTCTATTCGTGAGGCCCCGTCTACCTAGGAGCAGACAGGCCATCTGTCTCCCCAGGGGACTCTCCTCCGTCCTTCAGGCCCGGTTCAGATGCTGTCTTCCCAGACACCCAGGCCCCACCCAAGCCACCCCCTCCTCGTCCCTCTGACCACTAAGGGGCCTGTGAGCCTGGGGCTGCCAGGTAGGGCAGTGCCTCCCTCCCCAGTCTGACCGGATGCTCACAGTAGGTAAGATGCAGGCCCCCGAGGGGCCAGGGCTGGGCACAGGGCAGCGGGCAGATGGGCCTTGGGGACTGGGGCTGACGGTGGCCAGGAAGCCAGCTCTTCCCGCTCTCCACCTGGAGAGAACCCCAGCCCACACCCTGGAGGGGTGGCGGAGGGGTGCGCAAAAGGTCCAGCAGGGCAGGGTCAGGAGGCCGGGGGGAGACAGGGCCCCCTCACAACTCAGTGGCTGTGGGGTGGGTCAGCGTCCCGAGGTCCGGGTGGCATGCCATAGTCTTCGAGGGAGCCCTGCAGGACCAGAGGCTAGAGTCCGGCACGCAGGAGGTGATCCTTTTGCTGAGTGAACTCGTGCGTGCAGGGGGACAGGACGACTCAGCCTCTCTGTGGGAGAGGGGGGCAGTGGTGACCCGTGCGTCAGAGGTCAGCAGGGCTAAGCCTCGGCCCTACAGAGTTCTGCAGCTGAGTGCTGGTCCTCGTGGGTCAGAGGTGGCTGGCGCAGGGGAGCCGTGAGGCAAGGTGGGGACGTGGCAGAACGTGGGACCCCAACAGGCTCTCCCCTTGGGCCTGAGGCTTCCCTTGGGGTGAGGAACAGAAGACGAGGTGACTGGGACGGAAGTCTGCCTGGCCCAGGCGCCGGGCCACCAGCAGAGGAACAAGTCCTCCTTCCGGCCGTACTCCCTGAGGTCGGCTCTGTGTGGGCACTGCGGGGCAAGCTGAGGTTGGAGCGCACATAGCAAAGCCCACCCTTAGGGCTCTCACAGCCCGGAGGGGGGGGACACACAAATGGGGTGATTTCAGAGTGGCGACTGCTGCAAAAATAATCAAATCGGAGAGGCGACCAGGAGAACGGGAGGCATTGGGAACGGCCTCCCTGACAAGGCGACCTCCGTGGCCCGGCCCACGGGATGGCAGGGCGGTAGCCGCCAGAGGGTTCCAGAGAAGAGTGTTCTAGGCAGAAGGAAGAGCAAAAGCCAAGGCCTGAGACAGAGCGGAGTTTGGTTTGTGGGGGGTACAGTGCGGATTGGTGTGGCAGGAGACAAGCGAGCAAGAAGTGGGGGAGCAGGTGAGGCAGGAAGACCCGCGGCCAGCGAGGAGGAAGCCGGCTTTTTCCTTCTGAAGGCCTGTAGCCAGCTCACAGGCCCTGTGAGCTGGGCAGCTGAGCCCCACCCACCCCTGCCAGACACACCCTCCCTCTGGCTCCAGCCCCAGCCCAAACCCTCCAAAGGATCCTCACTGGGGTCGGGGAGGGGGGCGCCTTACGGTGAACAGGAGCTGGCAGCCTCCCAGGATGTAGTCCAGGAAGGAGTAGTCCCGGTTTATCTGCAAGGAAGCAAGGAAGCGGGAGTCAGTGGGTCCCTGCCCTGTCCCTGAGGGCCAGCCCCCCACTTGGGCACACTCTCCACGGAGGACCTTTGGGGTGCTGTTGCTCTTTAACCTGAAACCTTAGCAGGGTCAGAGACCAAAAAAGGCAGGTGACAGAATCAGATCTGATAAAAACAAAACGTCAACCTCTCTAAAACAAAACGCTCACAGCATCAGTTCCTGTGGGTGGGACCCCCGTCTCCTGCCCCCCCCCCCGCCCCTGCAGATATAGACAGACAGATGTGTGATGATGGCAGGGGGGTCCCGGGACCCAGGGACCTACCAATTCAATCGACTACACCTACCAATCAACCACAGGAGTCTCAAGTCCTTATTCCGGCTACAAGCCTCTCCAGCTCTTGCCAACGTCCACCTTACAGGGGAAGGCCTTCCCCTATAAATTAATAAAACTGCTAAACCTTGTTTTGCTGCTCTTTGCCTCCTTTTGACAAAGGATGCTGGCCTTCCGCTTCTGGGACAGTTATAAGGGTCCCTTTCAACATAAGTGCGTTTAAGTACAAAATAAGAAACAAAAGTGACGGGGAGGAAGTGGAGCTGGTGACAAAAACGTAAGACGACAGGCGCCAAAAATCATGAAAGGGGCGTGGTGTGAGTGGCAGAAGTTTCAGAAACAGGGACCCCAAACCGTGATGCCTCAAGCTGACAGCCTGACTGTCACACAGCGTTTCTGTGTTGTGACCTTCCCCGTGAACGTTCTCGTAAACCCAGGCTCGACGGCACCGCCCCCAGAGGAGGACAAGGCTCGGGGCAGGGGCCCTCCAGCTGAGGCTCACGCAGAACCGTCGTTGTGGCCCGGGTGTCCTCTTTAACACTCTCCAATTCCAAAAGACACCTGGCTACCGGACAGCCAGAGTGCCTGGCCTCTGACCTCAGCCCAGCCATTGCTGGAGTGAACTTCACTGCCTTTCTGAGCCTCAGGGACCCCAGCGGTACCATGGGAGTCACAGTTACCTGAGCCCTCACTGACGTCACTGCCAGAAGACAAGGTGCCCTGGCCCGACACCCTTTGCCCCTTGGGTGCTAAACATATCACAGGCAAGCTGCCAGTACGGGAAGCAGCAACTCCCTAGTTACCCTCCCACTACCGGGAGCTCCGCAAGGTCATCTTGTGTCCTCCATGACCTCCGCACAGGGCCGTGATAGGAGACGACCCTCACTAACAGCTCCATTTCATTCTACAGACGAGGAAACTGAGGCCCACACAGGTGACGCTCTGAAGCCACAGAGCCAGGACCAGGATTGGCAAAACCAGGAGTGGAAAACAGGCCTTGCTGGCCCCACCTTGTGCCTCACCCACTCCCCACTGGCTCACCTTACAGGATCGTAGGATAATAACACCCGAGTTTTTATAGTTCTTCTTTTTCCTCTGCTTCTTGGGGTTGATGCACTCGAACTCCAGCTGGGCAACATGGGAGGAAGAGAAGCTCACCTCAGGGTCTGCATGAGGACTGGTGCTCCCCTGGACTCCAGAATCCTCTCCATAACATTGACTAGGGGCAGCATGCCTCCTCCAGGAAGCCCTCCTGGATGTCCACACCCAGAAATGGGTCTGAGACAACTCATCCATGTCATATCCACTCATGAACCCAGCACTGTCACCTGGGGCATGGTGTCTCGGGGTGAGTTGCATGGACACTCCTGAGTGCTCACTATGTATCATCTTTACCTGTATCATCTCATTTAATTCCCACTACACTCCTCCACCTACATTCAATAGATGGGGAAACGGAGGCCCAGAGAGACCGGATATCCCACCCAAGTTCACAGATTCAGAGAAATGAAATTTGAGCTCCAATCTGCCTCATTCAAAAACCTGTGTCCCTTCCCTGTCCCCTGCTGAGGTCTTGGGGTCACACACACGCACCCATCTTACCGGGACACCATCCCGAGCCTCACACATCTGTGACACCGAGGTCTGGAACTCGCCGATGAAGTCATGGCCCCCATCATTGTCATAGTCGTAGCACATGACCTGGGGTGGGGCCAGTGAGGTCACCCTAGAGCTGCCCCCCAAAGAGGAGCTCTCCAGCCCCTCAGCTCTCTGAGCAAACCCCCCACCTGCTTCTGGTGGTGCTGCCTCTGTCTCCCCCCAGCACCTGCCTCACTGGCCCGGGATAATGCTGTTAGCTCCTGAACCACCTCCTGTAAGAAGCCTTCCATGATTGCTGGAAAGTGTGCCACCCAGCAATGGAGGCTGTACCCTCGGGTGCAGGAAGCTCAACTACTCTCACAAGGTCACTCGGCTCCTTATCTGTCCTGGGTAGTGGCCCACCGGGCTTCATGGGCCATGGCCTGGAGCCTCCCCTAGACTTCCTTCCCTAAGATGGGTACAAAAAAATCCCAGCTTCATGTGCTCTCTAACTTAGCTGCTGACACTCACAGGAGGAAGGCAGGGATTCCCGGATCCAGTCTGCTGACAGGTAGACCGGAGCCCTAAGAGGGAAGCACCTGCCCAAAGTCTCACAGTGGCAGTAGGGGACACAGAACTGTCCCCAGGTTTCCTGGCACCCTGTCTGGGGGTCCTGGCCTGGCCTAGCTGCCTTGTCCCACCCCACCTGCTCCCAGACACACCCCTGAGGACTGAGGGCATCTGGAGGAGAGTGATCTTCATCTCCAGCACAGCGACACTCAGTCTTTCCCAGGGTTTCCACGTCCATCATCCTGCCCAGCAGCACCGCGGGCCTCGAGGAGACCGGACAGCCACTCTGCTTTACCGAAGGGGCTCTCGAAGCTGGCCTCCCTGCCCGGGCTACTCAGGCGGTCAGGCAGACCAGGGACAAGGCTCCTACACTCCCCCAGATGGGGTCCCTTTCTGCCTTAATTAAAATTAAGAGCTTTGCTAGGACTATTCCCATTGGAAGCCTAGGGTGGACGGGAAGGCTGAACTGGCAGGGTGGGGAGCAGGGCCCCCAGGGCCCCCTCACCTGGATGGGCTTCTCCATGTCCCCATCACACAGGGACACCAATGGCACAGTGAACGGTTTCCACACAGGGTCCAGCGTGTATTTGATCACCTGCAGGACAGTGAGGGGCATGGGACAGCTCATGCCATCACGATTTCACTCCGTGGCTGTGACCGCACAGCCCCATCCTGAGCCACTGGGGGCGGCTCGACTGCCAAACAACTGGCTTACAGACCCCCAGGCCCCCTGCACACCCACCTCAGTCCTGTGCACCAGCATCCACTTGCCATCATGTCCTGGCTTATAAAACTCGAGAAACGGGTCTGACTTCCCGAAGAGGTCCTGGGGGAGCGGGCAGGAGGGTGGAGGTGAGGGAGGCACGACACCAGACTCAGACGGGCTGGAGGTGTGGTCCACGGCCTCCCCAACCCCATGTCGGGGCGGGAGTGGTGGGCAGAGCCAGCCTCGCCCCTCTCCCTCAGCTGATGCGGGCTCAGTGAGCAGCCTGGAGCAGCTGTGCCCCCTGGGACCAGCTGCCCCCTGCCCCCCGAGAAACCTCCCCCGCCTGGGGTTACTGCAGCTTGTACCCTGAGAGCCTGAGGCCTGGAGCCTGCAGGAGCACAGTGTCAGCACCTTAGACCAGGCAGGACTTCAAAAGGGTGACTGTGCCCAGGGTGGGGGGAAGTCTCCAGCAGGACAGGGGAGCCCTAACTTATTTTGGTGGAAATCTGAAAAAATGGCAATTCTCCTGAGCACCTTATGAAAGGGATATGATGTCCTTTAAAAATCTGTTTCTTTGAGTTTGAAAACCGTGACACTCTAACTAAAGAGTCTTTAATTAACTGGGGAGACAGAGAATAAGTAAGTAAATAAGTAATGTATACAGGGCAGTAATTAGTATTAAGGGAACAAGTAAAGCAGGAGGGGCAGGAAATCAGGGAAAAGAACATTGCAGGCTGAGGGAACAGCATGTGCAAAGGTCCTGAGGCAGGAGGGTACCTGGTGCAATCCTGGGATGAGGAGGAGGCTGATTTGCCTGAGGCAGAATCAAGGGTGGGGACAGCGAAAGGGGTGAGGTCAGGGGCCTTGGGGCTGTCGCATAGCCCACAGGTTGCTGCATTTACACAAAGTGAGACAGGGAGTCCCAAGGAGTGGGTCTTGACAAGGAGCCATGTCTTGAATACTTCTAAATGATGGGAAACTCACTACCTCAATGATGAAAAGATCCTACATTGGGGTGGCCAGGACAGCCCTGTGCTATGGGCTTGTCCTTGGTGTGGGGTGAGGACAGTGGTGGCCAGAAGTTCCAAGGTTGGGCCACACAACCCTGAGTCGGGGAGGGACAGTGCTTCCTGGAGGAGAACCCCCTCTTGTGCCCACTTACCTTCTTGTCCAACTTCCTGCCCGCCAGACTCAGCGTGATGACCCGGTTGTCGGACAGCTCCTGGGCAGCAACCTGCAGGGCAGAGGAATGGGAGGGGTTGGGTCTGCCCTTTAGATTCCCCTGGCCCCTGCTAGGCCGAGTGGGCACAGGGGGCCTGGGAGTCCATTCTCCAGGGCTGGGAGGGACTAGGGGTGGGAGGGGGATAGTGCCAGGTGACCTTGAAGAAGTTTCTCCTCTTCCCCAAACTTCAGTTTCCATCTTCTGAAAAATGGGGTAACCCATCTGGATATGAGCAATCAAAAAGTGACGCCACGTGGATCAAGAGAAGGGGGGAGAGGAAATAAAGCAGGGACTAGACGTGAGGGGCGGTCTTGAGCCCTGGGGAGAGGTTCTGGGCCAGGGAACAGCCTCACAGGCCCCGCAGGCCCCCACTGCAGACCCGGAGAGCACAGTCACCTCCAAACACCAAGGTACCAGGAATTCCAGCAACTTCACTGTGCAGCTCAGGGAAACCGAGGCCCAGGGCAGGGGCAGAAGCCACCTGAGCTTCCTCTGCTGTCTCATCAGCTCACACTGTCCTCCATGTCTTCCCCATTGGCCACACAGCCCCCTGGCTCCAGCCAGCCAGTGACAGACCAGCTCGGTCTTCCTGGGACCGCCATCTGCCCGCTTCTGGTCTTTCTCTCTCCCTGTCCCCAAAGAGTGGCGGGGAAGGAAGGCCTTCTGGCCCACAGCAACACAGTGGGCTGGGCCCCCTCTTGGCTAGGGCTTCCCCTCCCCCACGCCTCTAGGCTGGCCTCACTGAACACACTGTTGGACCCCCAGAACCACAGACATGCTGGACGCCTGTCTCCTGTCCTCTCTACCAGTTGAGACGTGTGCACCACCCCTGTGGGTGGGACCTACTGTTGTACCCATTTCATGGAGGAAAGAACTGAGGCCCAGAGCGGGACAGGTGGAAATGATAGGAGTGACGGCCTGTCAGGCTGGGTGAGGTCTGTCTGCGTTGGCTTCCAAGTGGAGGAGAGCTGGCTTATGAAGGCCAGGTGATGGAGAGGTTCCAAACCCCAAGAGGTGGGGGCAGGTTGGGAGAGGACATTCCAGGGGGCCGAACGGTGGCTAAGGGCCTAGGGTATGTGCAAGGTGTGCTAAGAATTCAGTTGGCCTTGAACCCAGGGCGTGTGCATGAAGGGATAAAACAGCTGGGGCAGGAAAGCCAGGTGGGGACTGCCGGCTCCCTCACAGCCTTGAGGAAAGTTCTGGGTCAGGGGAAAGGCACCGTTTGAACACACACAGGTTGGGCCTTCCTCCCTCCAGTGAGGCCAGTGCCCCGAAGCACCCAGGCTGTCAAGGAGGAGGATGGAACAGAGTCTCACTAGCTGACCTGCCCTGGGGCACCTGCTCCCTGGGCTTCCGTGCCCTCGTCTGAAAAACTGGGTTTCTCAGCCTTCCTGGAACCTGAGGACCGAGGAGCTCACCCGTGCAAAGGGGCGTTCTGTGCATCTCAAGAATCACGGAGCCCCGCCAAGAATCACTGCGCAGCTCAGCAATCAGTGTGCATCGCAGCGGCGGCCTGCTCTGATGGGCAAGCGCTCCTGAGAGACCCCCCACAGAGGACAGGCAGGGTCCAGCACTCAGAGGACAGACTGGGAGGGCTCTGGCCTCCAGAGACAAGTAGGAACGCACCTGCCCCAGGAGTAAGAGGCGCTGGGGCTCACTAACCACCCCGTACCCCCAGCTTGGCGGCCCCCAAAGCATCCTAGTTTGGAGCCAGGCGCCGGTTGCTAAGAGACCTGTTGCTAAGTTGTAAGTTGGGTCTTTTTACTCCAAACAAAGCTGATGATTATCTGCCAGGGAAGGGCCCATTGATGGGGGAGAGCAGCGGGCAGAAGTGGAGGGGGTGCAGAGGGGGGCAGTACCGTAATCAAACCCTTCCCTGCGGGCTTGTCATTCATCAGCAGCAGAGGCCGAGTGATCTTCTTGCTGGAGACGATCTGAGGGAAGAGCAGCTCCGTGAGGGTGGGCGTGGAGGAAAAAGGCTCCAGAGACACCACCCACAGCACGCTGCTCCACGCCAGGCGCGGGCTAAGCCTCCCCCTGCCTGATCCTCATGGGAGGCAGATGGCCCCACTGGGCCCTGCTGAAACACAGAGAGGTCCGCCACTGGGACACAGCCCCGGCAGTCCCGCTCCCACTGACCTGGGTGCCCCACCCCCCCGGGAAAGGCCCTTGCAGGGCTCACATCCTGGAGACAGCTGTAGGGAGTCTGGCCCCTCACAGCCTCCCCCAAAGCCACCCGAAGACCCCGGCCTCCTCTGAGGGAGAGGCTCAGACCCTGAGTTCCCTGCGTACTTTCACTGATCTGCATAGGAAATACATTCACGCAGGCTTCAGTGAGCAATACGACACAGAAAGGAAGAGTGGGCCCCCCTTCAAAGTCACCTTCCCACCACGTCTGTACCCCCCATTCCCACAGCCGTCATGGGCCAGCCCGTCCTCTGTTTCTTGGGGGAAATGTCAGTGCTTCTTTGTGCCCATCGGAGCATGTTCCCACTCTCCCTATTCTGGTTTTTCTCGCCGGTCCTCTCCCTGCCCTTCCCCTCCTTCTCCGTCCCACTGGGGACGCAGCACCCGGCTCCCCGTCCTCTTGCGTGTGGGAACTCAACCAGTGAGCATGCCAGCAGGAGCTGGGAGAGCAGGGGGGAAAGAGGCCAGGCTGTGGTTTGGCAGAAGCTTTGTTCCTGGTCACTGGCCGCAGAGGCAGTCCAGAGGCCTCGTCAGCAGGGCCACAGCTCTGGCCAGGCCCTGCCAAAGCCACTTCCTGCCCTGCCCCTCCCTCCGGGGAAGGGGTGGCCAGCTCCAGGCTGGCGGCTGGCTGGCGTCAGATCCTGCTAGGTTTCCTTCCCTTGTCAGCTCCCTGTCCCTGGCCACTCAACCTCCTTAGGCTCTCTACTCAGTCACCCTTGGAAGGGGTGGCCAGGCGGGCCAGCGGGGACCCTGGACATATGCCATTTCTCACACAACTGTTGGACCCTTGCTTTTTTCATTGAACATCATCTCTCGGCAGGCCCCACTAGGACCTCGAAAAGCATTTCTCATTTTACTCCCTCACCATCCCTTACAGGGTGGGCAGTCATCAATATCCCCCAGTGAAATATGGGGAAACTGAGGCCCAGAAGGGGCTTGGGCTTGTCCAAGGGCCCACAGCCATACAGGATGATTGCGACCAGTGTCAGGGGCTTCTAACCCTGCCACCTCCCAACTCCCATACGCTCACCAAGGAAGGAGCTAGATGGGGAGATGTGGCCCAGAGAGGGAAAGGAAGTTGCCCAAGGTCACACACAGTGAGCCAGCCACGAAGTAGGACCACCACCGGCGTCTTGGTTGCAGGCAGGATCCTCCCACCCCAGGAAGTCAAGGCCACACTTGATTACTTCTCACAGCCAGCAGCTCTGACCACGTGACGCCCCCATTGCTGTGAGGCCGCCTTTGGCAGGCTCTGCCCGCTGGCGCCTGGGGTTGCCTGTCTTTGGGATGTCTCCTCGGGGGCAGCCAGGATCCCTGGGCCTGGGGAAAGCTGGCGGTAGCTTTCTCCAAGGGACTGCCCAGTCCTTGGGAGCAGGGTGATGCCCGGGGGCGGGGTCCTGCCTTGCCCCGCCCACCTGTAGGGGTCCTGGCTCACCACGCCCAGGCTGCAGGAGAACTGGCCCAGAAAATCGTGCTCGTCCAGCTGTGTGCTGGACTTGTCCTGGTCGAACAGGGCGAACTTGAGCTTCTGCACTTCCTCAAAGTGGTAGTCGAGGACAAACTTCTTGGAGAATGCCGGATTGAGGTTGTTGACGGCAGTTTCTGTCCGGTCGTACTAGCGAAGAGGCAGGGAAACCGCAGTCAGAGTCGGGCTGGCGCCCCCCTTCTCTGGCGGCCAGAAATCGCTCCGCCAGTTCGCTGAACACCGACTCTGAACCAGCCACTTAGCCGGTTACCTGGATGGCTGTCACAGTCACTGTCCTCCGCTCACAGAGGAGGGCACTGAAGCACAGAGAGGTTAAGTGACTCTCCCAAGGTGGAACAGCTGGAGGGGTAGGGCCAAGATCTGAACCCAGCTCTGACTCCAGCACCCACACTTTTAACCCTCTGACCCTGGCTTCATACACGGGGGTCAGGATGAGAGTTCGGGCCCTGTCCCTGCCTCGCTGACAGAGGACAAGTCCCTTTTTCCACCAGGGCCTCAGTTGCCACTTCTGTACAATGAAGGCATTTGCTCTGTGTGGTTTTTATTCTTTTTATTTTGGGAGAATCCTTTTTTAAAACATTTTACGTGGCAGCTGAGAGAGGAAACAGAAAGGAGGGGGGAGGAGCAGGTGAGGGCTTCCCGCCCTCCGGAGGTGGACGTTTGTACCTTGTACAGAATTCTGGAATGTCAGACCTGCACAGACCCGGAACTCTGCAGCCCCTGGAGCCCCACCCACTGTGGAAACCCACCGCTGTGGGTCAGTGGTGGGCTGGGACAGGATCCCCGCCTCCTGGCCTCTCCACACGGGGGCCCCAAACCACAGAGTCAGGGTGACTGTCTATTTTGGGGCCCAGGCTGTGTTGATTTTCCCTCCCACCCAAGTCCATTTCCAAGGCCTGGAGCCGCAGGGACAGGTCTCCCTCCAGGGCTATTTTCAGCCAGGGTGGCCTGCCTTGGTGGGAGGGAGGTGGTCAGGGAGCAGGGGGGCAGTGCCCAGAGTAGGGATGGGGGGCAGTGGAAGGGGGCTCCCTTCCCTGAAGGGCAGGCAGGGGTTCCAGAAACCTGGCAGAGGGCACGGGGTGCTCCAGACATGCCAGCCTCCGGCCTGGAGCACCTCCCCAGGAGTCCTTGACTGCCCCCACGTCCCACTCTCACTTTTGGTGGAATCACCAAAGCCCTAGGTGACACACAGAAGTCCCTCCCTGCCCTGGGCCCCAGGTGCCTCTCTGTAAAATGGGTCAACAATCTCAGCACCATTTCCTTGGCGTCATTGTAAGGAGCCAACGCCTGTGAGAAATCTTTGTAAACCACAGTCTGTTCAGTGGGATGTCCACTGTGGCCCACTGGATTACGATGACAGGCAGATACATACTTTGGGAAATCTACAAGCGTACAGAACTCCCTGGAAGGCCGGATGCCAAACTGCTGACAGCAGGTGCCCAAACATTCCAGTTTTTTGGAGGGTCTATCTGGCTTTTCTAAATTCACCCCAATGAATATAGACCCTTTGGGGGATAGGAACGAAGCAATTTTAAAACTGGAAAGTCTTAACCCCCTGGACTTTTCGATGTCCCCCCTCAAGCTCATCGCCCCCCAGTTCTCAGGCCAAAGTTTTCTAGTTCACAAGTCCGTGGCTACGGCCCCACCGAAACCCCCAGCTCTGGGCTCTCCAAGGTAGGTGGGGGGAGGGGAATCTTGATTGTACAGGTGAGACTGTCTCAGAGAGGGACAGCCACTTGCCCAAGGCCACACAGCAGGGAGGGACAGAACTGGGCCTTGGTCCAGCACCGAGACCGAAGCCTGGGCTCCCAGGTCCCTGTCTGTCCCCCTCTGACTGCGTCTGCTTAGGAGTGAGTAGGGACAGTTATTTAACAGCGGAAGCAACCATTTTGTAAAACTCTGAGGTTTTAACTGTATGTTATAATAATTTAAAATATGATATAAAGTGATAAATATAAAATTGCATATTTATATATCTAAATCTATGGGTTAGGATTATAAAATTTTAAACACAAATATATCATTCGTTTCAGTAATTGTAAGAGTAACAATTTTCTCTGTAGTCCCCAGCCCACGCTCCAGTTACCTCCAAGGGCCTGAAGGGGAGGCCCCGGGCCCCAGCGCTGCCCCTCACCGGCACCCAGCCACCCCACCCCCCGGAACCAGACACCCATGGAGGGACCTCACCTCAATCCACCTGCCATTGTTCTCTGTGAAGAGGACACAGAAGGGATCGGACTTGGAGGTGACATCCCGATCCAGCAGGTTCTGGCCACTCACGGACAGCTCCACCTTGCACACGCAGTACTGGGAGCCCACGGGGGCCGGCCCCCCTGCTGGGGCACCCCCGCCTGGTATGTAGGCCATGGGGGTTGGCGGTGGAGGCGGCAACAGTTCCTGGCAGTCTGTGGGGATAAGCATGGAGGTCAGAGAGAGGGGGCAGTCATATGCCGCACCATCTCACCTTCGGGATGTGGGTAGAGGGAGGAAAGATGGGACGGAGGGGGCTGGGGGAGCGGGGAATTACAAGGGCAAAAAGACTGGAGAAAGGAGAAGGCAGGAAATGCAGACACGAGGAGGCTCTGGTCCATGTGTTTAGTTTGTCTTTGAAGTGATTCTCTGCTTTGGTCCATCTTTACCTGTGAGCTACACACAGGTCAAAGTTGCCCCAGTCAGACCAGCAACAAATCACAGTGGACATGGGTGTCCCTGACCTTCATTTTGCCGGGAAAACCTGGGCTTCTCCTCAGCAGTTAACATGCTAGCGTCTTATGGCCACACTGGAGCTTATAATTATTCAAGTTTCCCTCATTGCTTTGGCCACTAGGAAGCTCACTGCTGGCAACTTATCCAAAACTTCACCTTTTTCATTGTCTGTCTTGTTCATCCTGTATCCCTGCCCTAAGCATGTAACTGGTACATAGGAGGCACTCAGGATATAGTTGAATAAAAAGAAGCATGACTGTAAAAATCAGTGAATGATAAACCCTCTATTTTGCTCAGACCCTGCCTGAATTTGGTCCTTATCCTCAACATAGAGTTTTCCCTTTCATGGGTACATAGCCTCCCCAAATTCCCTGTACCGGACCCTGTCAAGGCTAATCACCGGCATCGCTTACTTTAAGCAGCTCTGGTTTCCTCCAAGTGTTCATTTGGACCAAGTGCGGAGAAACCCATCTTGCTGCACAGGGCGGCGGCGCCGGCTCTCTCCGCCTTAGTTTGCTCATCTGCCCGTGAGCCATCTGCCCATCTGAGAGACTCCTGTGACCAGATCTTCTTATTTCCACCGGCCCATGTTGAGTGAGCCCATCACCAGGTGGACGAGTCCATCCCCAAACAGTTACAAAGGCCAGGTCCCACCTCCTCGACTAATATATTGTCCCCTCACCGTTGAGTGGGTAACTGAGGGAAGGGTGTTCTCTTTGGACGGTGGTGAATCCAAGTTACTGTGCTCCCGAGAGCCCTGACTGCGAACTGAGCATGTCACCTGCGCGGTCTCCAATCCTTATCCGCCACTATCATGGCCCCATTCTGCACCGGGGGACACCCCGGCACATTCATTACTATGGAGAGTGTACTGAGCATCTCTAGGTCCTGAGCACCGTGCCAGGGCTGGGCTCCTACAGCAAAAGGACTGTCCAGGCTTAGCTCAGACTGTCCCGTCTGGCCGAGAGAGTGGGTTGTCAGGCTAAACAGAAGCAGCAGGGAGGCCAGTAGGAAGGCGGCTGGCATCCAGGCCAGGAGGACTAAGCCACCGTGGCCGTGCTGTGCCGGGCCCCCTCTCCCTCCCTCCAAGCCTGGCCACTGGCCACTCCCTGAGTGCCAGCCTCTCCCAGAGAAGTCACGACCCCAGTCTGCAAGTAAGTGTGGGGCTGGCACCAGAGGCCCCTCGCCCCTCCAGACAGCAGCTCAGGGCATGCCTGGCGAGGAGGGGATCTGGACAGTGATGAAGCTGGTGCTCAGCCCCTCCCTCCTGCCGTCTGTCCCTAAAACCTCATTATAATCACAGGAGCCCAGAGCAGCAGGGCAGCAGGGCAGCACTGCAATTTGCCTGCAGAATTTATTATTGTCACGTAAAAATGAGTTTCCATGGAAGGGCTTGAGAGCGGCCTCCGTCTCACTGAGAGCAGCTGGGTGGCTGTGCCAAGTTGGGGCAGAGTGAATGTGACCCTCAGGAGGGTTGGGGACAGCAGTGTCCGAAATGGACATCTTGCCGTGTGGCTGAGAGAATGCCTGCTTATGCTCACAGCCACCCAGAGGTGGGGTGGGGCATGACAGTCGCCCCCATTTTGCAAATGAGGAAACTGAGGCCGAGGGAGTAGAAGTCACCTGTCCCAGGTGCCACGGCCAGGAAACAGCAGAGGCAGGGTGTGAATGGCGTCTCTGGACTCCCAGGGTGATTGATGCACAGCTTTCTGCCAGGCTGGGGGCGGGCAGGGGGTTGCTGCTGAGCATAGTGGGGACAGCTGGGGAGCCAGCCGGGCCAAAGGGAGCCTAGGCAAAGGGGGCCTCAGAGCCCCCAAGGTTACCAGTTTTTCTTGGTTCACCCTGTCTACACTCCTGCATCTCCCGTCATCACTGATAGGGTGGATGCAGCTCACCCACCTCCTCTCCACCTCACGGCCCCCTCATGCCACCTGGGATGTGCCCCCTGCTGCCAAGCAGGATGGGTCTGCTTTCATGGTCAGGTACACACACTCAGGTTCATATACTTCCTTATGCATGTACACAAGTATGGTCACTTGCACCCATACACACGTCCCCAGACCACAGATGCAAAGGCGTGCTCTCATGTGAACACTCCAGGCCACTTCTCCCTGCCCCCCACTCTCCCCTGGTCCAAGTTGCCATCAGCACTTGCCTGGGTCCCTGCGCTGTCCCCCCACCCATCCCTGGCTGGGGCCTGGCGGAGGGTGTGGGCCGGAGGGCCAGGGAGGTCGGGCTGCGCTGGGCTGCTCACAGCAGACTGCCACTCCACCTGGGCCGGCTCACAGGCCCCAACTACAGTGAGCGGTGGGTGGGCAGGGAAGGGGCGCTCCTCCCAGCTCAGGGCAGGTCCCCCAGCCCCAACTCACCCTCGGGCCGGAAGCCTCTGGATCCCCGAAATGGGGAGCACATGGTGTCCAGAGTTGGGGCGGGCCTGGTCGGAATGGGCCCCTCTGTGCCGGCCCAGCACCGAGCGGGTGGGCGGGCCGGACCCTGCGGCCTGACGCAATGGAAAAAGAAACCACAGCTCCGGCTGGGCCGGGCCCCCTCCCCTCCGACTCCAGCAAACAGGGCAGGCTGGCAAGGTGTCATTAAGGGAGGGATGGGCCTGCCATGGCATCTGGGCAAGATGAGAAGGCTCCTGGGTGCAGCGCCCACCCCGCAGCTAATTTGAGGTTTCGGGCTGGAGACGGGCACGGGAGCCGGGGCCCGCTTGCAGATGGTCCGGATGCACACAGGCCTTCTGGGGAGACCAGACCCACAGGGAAGGGGCTGGAGGGGAGGGAAGCGAAACTTGTAGCCTCTTTTACAGCTGGGTTAACTGAGGCAAGGAGAAGGGTGGAGCTTGGGGATTCTCTTCATTCACTGTTCATTCATTCAACAAACACTCCCGGGCACCCAGCAATGAATGGCAGTGAACAAGACACAGGGGCTTCGGCCTTGCCAGGGTCCAGGGTCCCAGCTTATAAGATATCTTGTCACTTAGGCAGGGCAGGTTCAGAGATGCTGGCCCTGAACCCCAGGTCTAGGATATTCTGATTTAGCCAGAAACCTAAGAACCCATCAGCCTTGACTTCTCTTTCCTCCCCCCCCCCCCCCCCCGCCAATATCCCACTACTGCTGCCTATCCCACCTCCAGGTTGCAGCCGGCAGTGTCCTCAGCTGTGTGCCCAGCCAGGCACCAGCCCAGGGCCCTGCCTGGCCTGACCCCACCTCAGGCCACCTTCCCCCTCGCTCCCTCTGTTCCGGCTGCACAGGCCAAATCCTCGGAGATGTGCAAAGTTTTACGGTTTGTGTAAAGGGGACAAAGAGTTTAAGCTGGTTGAAATCGGTGGCTCCAGGCTCCCCTTCTCAGGGAGATGGAGGTGCTGGACAGGGGGCCAGGGAGGGAGTGACAGACCCAGACCCACGACCACACTCCAAGGCGCTACATTCCTGGGCCACGGCCTCCAGGATGCTTCGGGCCTCTGGGTCCTCTTCTGCAAACCCTGCTCTGTGGGGCTCATCACCCACAGCAGGGGCTCCGGGGTGACCCTAGGCTCCCCCGGCTCCAGAGGTGGCTCCCAGATGGGCAGCCTCAGCCTCTCCTGGGAGCTTGTTAGAAATGTGGCCACCCCCGCCCCGGCCCCCCACCAGACCTGCTCAGCCAGAGTCCCCGGAGCGGCACATGCCAGCCTGTGTGTGGACAAGCCTCCCGGCGACCCTGCCATGGGCTCCAAAGTACACACAGACCTGCAGGCTCCATGCGCAACTTTGGCCCTAGACAGCGGCTGTCTGCTAACCCAAACCCTCGGCTAAGCAGACGCTGGGCCCCTGGCCCCAAGGCTGTTTCCTGGGCCTGCGGGGTTGGAACGCCCTGAATGAGCCCAGACCTGAGTCATCTCCCCCACCATTTCCCAGAGGAGATCATCCCGGAAGACAAATGGCAACTGTACTAGCCAGGGCCTTCCAGGGTAAACAGCAGCCACGGACTGTCTGCAAGTGCTCAGAGAGAGGTTTTTTTAAGGAACTGGTTCTCGTGACTGGGGGCCCGGCAAGTTCCACGTCTCTGGGGCAAAGCAGAAGGCTGGAAATGCAGGTGACAGTCAATATCTCGGTCTTGACCCTGAAATCTTCAGGGCAGGCCGGGCCGCCTGGACACTGGGCGAGGTTTCTGTGTTGAATCCCTTCTTCTTGGAGACACCTTCGTCTTTGCTTGTAAGGCCTTCAAATGACAGGATGGGACCCACCCACATAATGGAGGGTAATCTGTTTTAATAAAAGCCTACTGCTTTTTTTTTTATTGATTTGAGAGAGAGAAACATTGATGTGTTGTTCCACTTATTTACACCCTCACTGGTTGCTTCTTGCATGTGCCCTGATCAGGGATCGAACACGCAGTCTCAGCTTATCAGGTCAGGGCCAAAAGTCTACTGATTTAAACGTTAATCTCATCTAAAAGATACCTGCACAGCAACACCAGACTGGTGTTTAACCAAACAACTGGTTACCATCACCTAGCCCAGCTGACGCACGAAATCAGCCATCACAGCGACCGTCAGCTCCTAGAAGACCCGCTGGGGGCACGGCTCTGCTTCTCGGCCTGGGTGCTGCTAACACGGACGTGCTTGTTCTGTGAAGCGTCAGTGAGCTGCACCTGTGGGGAACCTGCTCCGTGTGGTAAGTCCTGCTTTGATGAAATCTTAAAAACAAACGCAGGGACTACAAAGCCCCTCCGGAGCCCCAGTTGTTTACACGGTCACCAAACTGTAACAGCTGGCTTAGGGAAAGTCACCCACCCTTGAGCTTGAAGAGGGGACTGACAAGCCCTGACCCCTGACCCGTGTGGCTCAGCTGGTTGGGGGTTGTCCTGAAAAACGAAAGGTCACCAGTTCAATTCCCAGTCAGGGCACACGCCTGGGTTGCAGGCTCAGTCCCCGGTCAGGGTGCATATGAGAGGCAAACGATTAAAGTTCTCGCCCTCTCTAAAAAAAAAATTTTAAAAAATATTTTTTTACAAAAAGATGAGACCAAATCTTACTTTCATCTCCCTTGTTCCCAGCACAGAGAGGCAGAGAACGGGACCCCTGTTTTTGGAAAGGGAGGGAGTGTGAAGGGAAAAGGCCCAAGGAGAGAAAAACCCCAGCGTTTGGGAATTCGGAGACTTTGGAATAATCACAGGTTCTTGGAATCTCTTGAGCTGAAAGGTTTTAACATTTATCTGGCCCCGCCTTCCAGCCAGGGACCAACTCCGACCACAGCCCATCACCAAGGCCCCCCACAGCCCTGGTTCTTTGCAGCCTGGGGCAGGGGGTGGAGCCCGAGATGCTCCAGCTCCCTGGGCCCTCCCTGGCCCTCCCTGCACACTTGCTGCTGCCGGCTCCTGCCAGGCAGTGCGCGGCCAACAGGCTGAGGCTCTCATCCAGGTAGGGGGTGGCATCTCAACACAAATCACTTCTCCACCTTAGTCGAGGCTCGGAAGACACTGCACTCCCGACAGGCAGCCAGGCCATTATGGGGATAAATATAGATGCAGACAGCAGGGCGAGGAGGCTACAGCAGGGGTGGACCCAGATGCCCCCAAGCCCCGCCACCCGCTTCCATCAGACCACACCCAGAGGGAGGCTCTTCCCCATGGCCCCCTTCTGGTCACCAGGCCCCCCTGGGGGAGGGGGCTCCCTGGGTTCTATCCTGCTTCTGCCAGGGCCTCACTTCTGGCCTCGGCTCCCACTGGCAAAGCGGCACACTGGCCATGCCCTGCCCTCTGGCTTCCCAAGAAGCACCATGGGGCTGGGTGTGGAGGTACTCTGGGAGCCGGTAGGTACTTCGGGGACCCTGGGGTGGGTCTGGCCAGGCTCAGAGGGCGGACCAGAGTAATGGAGGGTGCACAGCATGGCGACAATGACCACGGGCTGAAGTTGTTCCAACCTGGCTTCATCCAAAGGAGGGCTATGGGGCAGCCTTAGGGGCTGGGACACAGCCCTGGGGCCCTACCCTGTGGTGCCCACACCTGCCCAGGGGACTTGCATGGGGAAGACTAGGGCACAGGGGCTCCCAGCTCTGTGTGAGCCCCCGTAAGCCCCTTCTCCTCTCTGCTCCCCAGTTTCCCTGCCAATCAAGGGCTTGGGCCCTTCCAGCCTTGGGGACTTTACAGATGTCCCTCAGTCTTCCCTTGGCTGCTCTGGCTCCCAGCCCCAGGCTCCTGCCCAATATCTCTGGGCTAATAAGTCCTGAAAGTCCTCTGGACCCTCCCAGTGCCTAAGTGCCCCCTGGGTTCCCGCCATGGTCCCCTAAGCTCACACCCCCCTGCAGATGGGGTCTCCCCACCTTTTGTTAATGGCCCCGGGCCGTGAGCTGGCCACCTCCCACCCTGCTCCCCTGAGGAGGCACCCACCACCCCCTCTCATCCAGGCAGAGGCCCACACCCAGGAATGCAGGTTCTGCAGGGCAAGTCCTTCCAGCCGAGGACGTCACCATGCGATCTTCAGCTCCTGGCCGCGGCGCCCAGGATGCCTCCCGTGTGCCTGGCCCTGCCTGGAGGTTTGTGTCCCTCGCTCCATTTCCGTCTCCCTGCAACCCGGCACGCGGGCCCCTTTTGTATGGCCCCCAGTCACAGCTTGGGGAACTGAGGCACAGAGAGGTGATGTCCTCTGCCTGTTAGGGGCTCAGTTGTGTCCCCCAAAAAAGATACATTGAAGCCCTAGCCCCCAGGGCCTCAGAACGGGATGCTATTTGGAAACACGGGAGCTGCAGATGTAACCGGTGAAGATGCAGTCACCTGGAGTAGGGTGGCCCTCAATCCAGCACGACTGGTGTCCTTATGGAAGGACAGTGTGAAGACAGAGAGGGCCGACAGCCACCGGAAGGAGGCAGGGACTGGAGTGACGCTGCCACAGGGTAAGGGACGTCTGTGGTGACCAGAAGACGCAGGCAAGAGCCTTTCCCTCAAGGCTTTAGAGGGAATGTGGCCCTGCCAGCACCCTGAACCTGGACTTCTGGCCTCTGGATCTGCTGTTTTAAACCAAAGGTTGGTGACACTTGGTCTCAGCAGCCCTGGGAAACTGACACACTGCTCCCGCCCCCCTCGGCCACAGGGAGGTGACTCAGAAAGATCACTGAGGCCCAGCGGGAGGGGGCGTTGAACGACATTGTCTTTTGTGTGATTGGGACGGAAGGCCAGGGCACAGGGACAGGCCAGATGCCCCCAGATCCTCACGAGACACACGAGCCTCTGAAGGAGACAGAGATGGGTTGTGGGGAGAACGGGGTCCTGGGATCACTAGGCATGTTCCCACCTCAGGGCCTTTGCACGGGCTGTGTCCTTACCCGAGTCTCTCCTCCCTCACTCATCATCTGTTCCTACCCGCTGCCGGGCACCGGGCGGGCTGACATGCAGCTGTGGAGGAGACGGCAAGGCCACAGAGGAGCATCGCGGCGTGAACGTCACCGTCTCCTCCTCAGGAGGCTGTCCCATCAGAGCCACTTCACCTGCTTTGTTCTCTTCGTGGCATCCACCCCCACCTGAAGTTTTCCTGCCTCTTGGTCATTTGGTTGTCTCTCCTTGTCCCCCACTCCACTCAGGGCTCCTCGGCTTCACCCTCCATGCAGTCCCGAGCCCAGAGAAGCTGCTCGACTATTCGATGAGTGATAACCGGGGACTGCACCGTGAGGGAAGCCTTCCTGGAAGGCGGGGACCCAGAGCCGCAGATGGAAGGGGAGCCATGACGGCCTGGTACGGCCCTCTTCCCTGTACGAGCCCTCTCATAGCCCCCGAGCTCAGAGCCCCACGAGAACAGCGGCGGCGGCGGTGGCGGGGGGAGCCCCTGGCCCAGAGAGCCCCGCTTTCTAGTTGAAGAATCTATGCTCTGAGGAGTTAAGAGACTGGATCACATGGTGAATGGGCGATTCTCTGCAGGACACCTCCGTCCGCTGGGTAGGCAGGCAATGACAGTGGGGGACACCCCACCCAGGGCAGCAGCCACCACCTCCGCCACCCCCAGCCCTGAGTCCTTTAGTGCCAGGCGGATCCCACCTTCTTCCAGACACGCGCCTTTCCCGGTCCCCCAGGCCACACTTGTCCTTCTCCACTGGCGAATCCCCTGCCCTCTGATGCTCCCCTAGCACCAGAGACCCAAAAGGACGAATCCATGATTCTGCCACCATCCATCACACAACCTCCCGGACCCATTTAACGGGAGGGGCGGAGCCAGTCCCTGAGCTTACATTTGCTGAGCGCCTGCCTCGGAGCAGGACAGAGCCAGGGACCAGACGGACACTGTCCCCGCCCACTCGTGCAGCTGACGCTCCTCGGGCAGGAGGACAGAAGACACGCTGACGCCCAGAAGAACAAATAAGATGACTGCAGCGGGTGGCTAATGCGCCAGCAAAAATTAAGCACGTCGACGGGTGGGGACTGAGGGTTGGGCGGCGAGTCTCATCTGGGACCCTGGAGGAGGAGGGTGTGGACAGGCCGACACACTCGACTCCACCAGGGCGTGGAGGCTGGGCGGCCCAGGGAGGGGGCAGGACATCGGGCGGAGGGCCAGGAGGCACCTCGACCCCTGACTCCATCTTCCGGCTTGGTGGAGCAGCAGGAAGAAGCCACCACACCCGTCGGGACCCTGTACTCTCCCTTCTGGGCTGGGATGGGGCCGGTAGGATTGGGACAAGGTCACTGCCTTCTGTACTTACTGCCCACCAGGATCCCAGGGTGCAGGGGCTTCCCACCCAGTGTCCTGCAGGGGGCCGGGCACCCTGCAGGGGACCCCTCCCTTTGTCTGAGGCCATCTTCTCCAAAGGGGAGGCGGCTGGACCCTTGAAATGAGTGTCCCAACTCAGCGGCCCGTCAAGGTGGGAGGTGAAGTCTCCCCTATCGTCTGGTAGGGAGACCTCCAGCAGGCAGAGGGGACCCTGGGGGCTTCCCAGTAGGGGACCCTTCCTGTGGCACATGTCCCTGTTCTGACGGGAGTGAGGGAATTCTTGGAGAATGCTCTTCTGTTGTCCGTCACTGCTTGGAGCCCTGAGAGGCCAGCCCAAGGAGGGGACAGGGGGGCCACCCACCGGAACTGCCATCCCCCCAGATCTCCTGGGTGGGCAGCATCTTCCCACTCTGGACTCTGCCCCTGGAACAGCCCACACGTCCCATATGGGGATCCCCAGGGAGGAGGCGGGAGAGGGAGGGGCGGGCCGGCCTGAAGAAATCCCAGATGGGATCCTGATGCAGTCACCCCAGGGACACGGATGTTCCCATGAATGCCGGCACCAGAGGTTACGGGTCGCTGAGCCCTTATCACGGACCGGTCACGGCATTGGCTCGCCCTCAGATTGAATCCTCACGACCACCTAGAACGTGATAGAGGCTGAGAGTATCGTTCTTACCACTTTATGGGCAAAGAACCAGGCTCTGCCCCCACCCTTTTATGGCCCTGAGATTTTAACTCTCATGGCTCCGGGGAGGAAGGTCCCGTGAAACACCACCAGACATCCCATTTGCTGTTCATGACCTGCACCCCACTTTGCAGGACATCGGGCCCGCGTGCCCCCTGTTCCGCCCCCCGGCAGCCCTGTAAACTGCACTGTGCCAGGCTTTGCTTCGCTGCAAAGATGGAGAAGCGCCCGAGCCCCAGGGGCGACAGGGACACGGACAGGAAGTGGCAGAGGTCGAGGAGAACCCATGTGACAACACTCTTTGCCGCGTGTTCTTTCTGTGCAGAAGCTGCCTCGGTGACACCCCCCCCCCTGACTCTGCCAGCTCTGTCGCCTGCCTACCTGGGGCCGAGCCAGCGCTCACCGGGTCACCGGGCTCTGTGCCAGTGGGATTGCAGCAAAGTCTCTCCTCTCTGTTTGCTCCCAGCCACCCAGCACGAGCCTGGGACCATGAGCCCATTTTATAGATGCTGCAATATAGATGAGCTCAGAGGGGAGGAGGCCCTGGGTGGGGGGCAGGCACTGCTGGGTGGGTGCTCAGACCCGGGACTCCCAGAGCTCCCCAACAGGGCTGGCCTGGAAGGTGACAACTGGGCCCCTCCCCCCATTACTGAAGCTGTAGGTGCTCCAAGAAACAGAAAAAGCCCCCCCTCCCCCTGGTGACAGCCCACATCCCTAGGCGAGCAAACAAAGGGCCACTCAGATTCTCCCAGATCCCTCACCCTTGTCACTACCCCCAATACAAAACAGGGCTGGGGCACAGGCAACAGGAACCCCCAACTGGCTACCACAGCCCTGGGCTCCGGTGCCACCTGTGACCAGGGCAAAGCACAACCTGCTTTGAAGGCGACCCTTCCCCAACGGATGGCTGGTGGAAGGGGGTGGGAGGTGCAGGCCGCAGGGTGGAATGGGAAGAGAAGAAAAGAGGCGAGACCCCTCTCAACGCAAAGAAGCAGCGCTGTGAGAAAAGGGGGGAGGGGGGACAGGAAGGAAGAAAGAGCGTTGCTCTCTCTCTCTCTCTCCCTGTACCCCTTCCCCGCCCCCAAACAGACAGGTGCCAGACAGCTTTGGCGAAAAAACTAGTTTGCAAACACACTCCGACTTCTGGTAAGCTGCAAGCTCCGCTCCCTCTTTTGGCTCCACCTTCCGGGGCTAGGAGCTGGCTCGCGGGCAGTTCCCTGGGGCTGGGCATTTGGGAACCGGGTATGGGACGAGGAGAGGGGCCCGCGCGCGTCAGAAGCCAGCCCGACCTCGAGTCTTCAGCAGCTGCAACGGTAGGGGGGACCCCACCCTCCGGACGCCCGCAGGTCCCCCGGGAAGGTAAGGGGACCCCTAAAATAGCTGGGCTGAGATCCCCCGAGGGCGCAACCCAGCTCCCGCCCCCTGCCCCTCCCTACCCCTCCCTACCCCTCGGCAGTCCGGGTGAAGCCGGAGCGCCCCCGAGTGGCTGGGTCGGAGCTGAGTCACCCAAGCGCTGGAGTCAGGGTGAGCGCGGGTGGCGGGGGCTTGGGGCGCCGCAGCCCCGCGAGGCGGAACCAAGCTTCCTCCCAAACCGCCAGAAGGTAAGCCCCAAGGCTGAACTTGAGCACTCGCCCCAGGGCGCCCCGCCCGCCCCTGGCCCTCCCGGGCCCCACTCACCGCGGGTCCCGGGGGCGCCGCCGCCTTCACCGCGCGGCTGCGGCTGCGGCTGCCGGCGCTCCGGGCCGCCGGGGCATCCCCGGGCGCTCCCCTCCTCGGCCGGGCCCGCGGGCTCGGGACGGGCTCAGGGCGCTGTCCGCGCGGCCAGGGCCAGCTCGCGGGCGCTCCGAGCCGCTCAGGGTCCGGTCCTCCTCCGGGGCCAGGCAGGCGGGCGACGGCGGCGGCTCGGGCTCCTCCCCCCGACCGAGGAGGGGCGGGTGCGGGGAGGGAAGTGGGGAGGCGAGGCGCGCGCTTCCTGGAGGGGCGAGCGCTCCCAACGGGCGTGGCGGGGGCGCTGTCCCGCCCGCTGCCCGCCTTTCCCCGCCCGCGGCGGGCGCGCCCTGGCACTCAGTGCTCTCGGCACCGCGGGGTCCGAATGTTCGAGGCCGGAATCCGAGGGTCGGGTCGTACCGGGCTGGGACTCCGAGAATCGGAGCGTCGCTGGTTCGCACCCTGCCCAGGCCGGCGTCGCCGGAGCCACCGGCACCTCCGAGGGCCGAGGGCTGAGCGCCGTGAGCTCGGGGCCGCCGACGCGGGAACCGAGGGGTGGCCTCAGCCCAGGCCTGCGGGGTTCCCAGAGCGTAGCCTGCGGCCTTGACCCAAGGGCCTGTGGGCTCCGCGCCGCGCCCTCGGGGGGACTCACCACCCGGCTCGGTTCTGGGCGGCACTGGGCAGCGCTAGAACCGCGGTGCTCTCTTTTCTTTTCTCTCTCCCTTTTTATCTATCGTAAAAGAGCTCGTCATTTTCTTGCCACCAGAGGCTGGGAAGATGACACATATTTCTCTGACAAATAAGATAAAGACAGTTTGAACAGCACCTGGAGCTTGTCACCCAGAGGGCAATTAGGCTGGTCCTTGAGGCCCGGGCGCTGAAAACCCCTCCTTCGAAGGCCTCCTTACCCTAGAAAAGGCATCAGTTTAACAATGCGGCTGTAGCCGTAGCTGTAGCCGGGCGTTCATGATGTAGGCCCCTCGAGGGTATGTGGTCTACCCTCCCCCCTCTCCCCGAATTCAGTGTCCCAGGCAACGGAGCCTCATTTGACCAGATTGTGGGGGAGGAAGCTGTCCCAAGACCACAAGGCCACGTCCAAAGCCCTTGGCTCTGCGCTCGGAGGGCAAACTCACAGTGCTTGGGTTGTGGGTTTTGCACTTCAGGCAGTTGTGGGTTAACCTGGAGACTCACACTGCAGACTCTCTTCACATCTGAGTCACAGGCACTTTGCTGCCTTAGAGGGGCGGCCACTGAAGAGCCCCAGGGCTCTGAGCTTTGTTCTCCGCCTGCCTGTCCCCCCTCTACCCTGCCTTTCTACAAGCTCTCCTGTCTTTCCTCCACCCAAAGCCCTCAAAGCCCTCCGCCCAGTTATGAGGCGAGCCAGTCTGTAGGTGTTCTTAGGCCCGCACCAGCCCATTCCCTCCAGGGCCTTGCCTGGCCCCCAGAACCTTTCTCCTCTCCTTGTGCTGAAGCAGGAGGACCAGGCACTGAGATGCACAATAGTGAGCCCAAGCAGGCTCCCTCCCCTCAAGTTGCTCACCTTCCCCGACCCCTCCCACTCCTCCTACAGTGCCGGGAGGGGTAAGACCATGACCCAGGCGGTCATCGGACTGTATGAAAACTGCAAAGGTGGGAGGTGGGGTGGCCCAGAAGGCCCAGCTCAGGGAGCCTTCCTCTAAGAGACCCAGGGATAAGCGAGTCGGGCCTGCCCAGGGGCAAGAAGAGCCCTGGCCAAGGGGACCGAGTATAAAGGCCAGGGCTCACAGCAGTTCCACTCCTGGGGGTCTACCCAAGAGAGATGGAAACATGTCTACACAAAGACTTGGACCTGAAGGTCCACTGCAGCGTGAGTTAGAATAGCCAAAAAGTGGAAGCAACTCAAGGGTCCCTTGGCTGACGAACAGGCAGACACACCTCGGGCGGGCCGTACAGTGGGTAGACTTGGAAGACCTCATGCTGAGTGAAAGGCAGCAGCCGGTCACAAAAGCCCACATAGCGTGTGATTCCACTTCTGTGAGATGTCCACACCAGACAAATTCACAGAGACAGAAGGCAGATGACTGGTTGTCTGGGGCTGGAGGGGAGAATGGGGAATGAGTGCTGTTGGTCCCGGGTTTCTTGGGGGATGATTTAAAATGTTCTAAAATGGACTTGTATCCTCTGGAGGGGTGAACGCTGTAGTATGTGAATCACATCTCTGCAAAGCCAAGAAAAAGTCAGGGACTGGGAGAGCCCAGGGGTCTGTGGCTTTGGTCCGAGTGCCCACCATGAGCTGGTTCTGCACTCTGCCCTCAACATGAGGTTGCTCCTGCAGGACATTGGGGGAAGTCTTTCCTCACCCTGGCAGAGATCTCCCTGCACCCGCGGGCGGCCTGAACTTCCCTAAATAGGCCCCTGTGTGTGCGCTCAAGTACAGCACCTGCCGCCTGGATATTTATTGCCACAGCCCCGGCTGTCTGGACAAACAGATCAGAATAACCCGCGCTGCCTGCACACTTCAGTGTGCCCGTGAATGAAAGACACTGGAAGGAGTGCCGCCCATGTACTGGGTGCCAACTGGCCTCCGGGGTGTGGGTGGGGTGGTGATGGAGGGCCATCTAGTTATTGCTCACACACCACCCCAAACCTTAACTGTCCTGGTGCCGGGGGCCAGCTCGGCCCTTGCTCAGGGATGTCGCAAACAGTTGCAGCCAGGCGATGACAGGGGCTGGGGGTGCCTGGAAGGTTTTCTCACACGTGTCTGGCTCTCAGTGCCTGCCGGCAGCCAGAACGCCTACCTGCGACTGCTCCCTTGGCCCAGGCCTCCTCGAAGCCCGGCAGCTGGGTCCCCGCTGTGAGAGTTCCAGGAGAGCCAGGTGGAAGCCCAAGGACCTAGCTTCGCAAGTCACAGATGGTCACTGCTGCTGTCATCACCACTCCAGAGACTCTGCCGCTGCTCGGTGACAGGAGTGTCCCTGTCACACTGTGGGAAGGGAGATACTGCCTTCCTTCCCACTGGCCATTTTGGAAGATGCCACAAGGGTTAATATGGAGTCGGATCAGTGATGGCAACATCCCCTTAAGGACCCCCTGTTAGAGCCGGCTCTGCTGACTCCAGTGCCCAGCCTCAGGCGCTGCTGACTCACAGCCCAGGGTTTGAATCTTAGCCCTTCCAGTTCCTGCCTGGGTGAGACCACACACAGTCCTCTGGGCCGCAGCTTCCTCCTCCGTAACAGGAAAGGATAGCTTTAGTGCCTCCTTCATGGACAACTGTGGGAATCCAGTGGGGTCCCAACTGGTGTGGCCAGCCCGGCACCAGGTGTGGCAGGGCACTAGGCTCCCGCGTCATCACCGCTGTTTTTTGAGTTCCAGGGTGGCAAGTCTCTCCAGTGCCAGCAGCCCCTCTTCCAGGGTCAAGGTGCCCAGGCCACCCCGGCCCCTCCAGTCAGCCCCAGACACCTCCATCAAGCCCGCACCTTGCTCTGGACATCCATGGGTGGGGGTGGGGTCGGGGACCCCACTTGGCCTGTGCTGTGGTCTTGAAGGCTCCTCCTCGGGGCAGAGGCCGGCTTCTTGGCGGCCAGGCAGGGCTGGGGCTTGTGCGGGAGGAGCAATAAGGGGCAGCGCCCGGGGGCTGAGGGTGAGGAAGGGCTACGGCTCTGAGGGCTGGGAGACATGGGTGGGAGCGGGGTGCTGCATGGCCTGGCTGGGGTGGGGGAGGGATTTGAGGAAGACCAGCTTTGGGAGGGGGCACTTTTTGAGCTTGACTCTGGGAGGATCTGGACCAAATCAGCTGCTGCAAGGTCTTTTCCAGGAAGCTCTGTTGTGTCCCAAGGGTGTGTCTGGCTTTATCTTAAGGCCACCACCCTCAGTCCTGGCCTTACCCATTTAGGGGTGAAGCTGGGGGCAGAAGCAGGGCCAGGAAGGTCACACTTTGCTCCCACCTTCCCCAGCACCTTGCTCTCAGGAGCACGCCGACCCACAAACTGGTTGGGTCCCCAGCCTGGACCACCCTGACATCCCCCTGTCCTCCTTGCTCCGGGGGTGGAATCTTTGTAACCAACCGGAAGGCCATCTTTGAGCTGGAAAAAGTAGGGCCTTGTGCCTTGCCCCATTTTGCTCACCCCCTTAGCATACAGGGGAGGGACCTGGGAGGATTACGAGTCTCAAAACTTTGAAAGGGAAGAGAGTAGATCCTAAGACTTCTCATCTCCTGGAAGAAATGTTCTCCTTTTTTGTGTGTGCCCGTATGAGACGATGTTAACTGATTGTGACGGTCATTTCACAGTATGGAAGTCAGATCCTGCTGTACCCCTGAAACTCACACAGTGACCCACGTCAATCATATCTCAGTAAAAACGGGCAGGGGGAGCTGGGGGGCATTGGGGGTAAAGGTCACAAAGACCCAGATTTGATTCCTGGCGCTACCACGTACTAGCTGGGCGCCTTTGGGCAGGTTAGGGATGGTCTCTGGGTGGTCGTCCTCGTCTGGGGAGGGAGGGTGGCCAGGCCTTGCCTCTTCCAGCCAGCAGGAGGCGCCTCCCCCTGGAGGCGGCAAATCTCCATCCTTGGCTGCACATCAGCATTGCCCAGGAAGCTTTCTAAACACTCTATTTTTAAAAAGGTTATTTTCAAAAGCTCTGCAAGTCAGGGTTGAGATCCGCTCACTGGTCTCCAGTCTCACTAGGTTAAGTGTGGTCCAGCAGCAGAGACATGGCTGGGAGCTTCTTAGAAATGCAGAGTCCCAGGGCCCCACCCCAGCGCCTGCCCTGCTGGGCCAGAATCTGCATGTTAACAAGAACCCTAGAAGAGTCCACACTGCACCTCGTAGTTTCTGTAAGTACTCTCTGATAGCGTGAGAAGTACGTGTGTTTGGTGGAGGGCAGAGGACGCCATTCGGGAGGACATGAGGCCTGTGTGGACGGGAGCAGAGGTTCTGTGACCCCCTCCAGAAAGGTGGGCACTCCATCTGCAAAACCACAGGGCGTAGGCCAAGCGACAAAGTAGCCAAAGGAGCTCATCCCAGCCTTGCAGATAGGCATGGCTACTTCCCGGGCCGACCCCATTCCTGGGGAGAGGACTTGAACAGCCCACTTTGCGGAGGAAGGGAGCAGGGAGCTCCCTGATGGGACTGGACCCTGTCGGTGTTGTGTAGAAAAACTGTCCAGACCTCCAAGCGGGCAGGTGGCAGGAGTGGCAGTTTCTTTGTGACGTGGACAAGATGACCGCACACCAACCTGTGGCGGCCCAGCCAGCCCTGCAGCGCGGCCAGTACTGTGGTTTTTCCAGGGCAGCTGCTGAAAGTTTCCTGGGGCTTGGAATGCAGGCAGAGAGGAGGGGACAGAAGGAGACGGGAAAAGGAAAATGAATAAGCAGCAGATTCAAAGAACGACCCTGACCTCTGTGGACTGTGCGCGTCCCCTGGCCTAGGGCTTCTGGTTGGTGCTGTGTTCCTTCCTTGGCTGGGACTGCCCGGACACAGCACTGTCAGGCTTTGAGGGACTCACTCTCCAGTCTTGGGCAAGAACAGGGGGAGGGGGCGCAACCCCCCTTGGCATGAAGGTGCACACTGAGGGCCCACGGTCACCTGGGCATCATTTCTCATCTCCCTGGGAAGGGGAGAGAGAATTTTGGGCTCTAGGTAAACTTTACGGAGCTTCTATCTGCTCATTTCGTTTCCCTCGACTAGGCTGATGGTCTCACTTGGTACCAGGTGTGCCTTGCCCCTGACCCTGTAAGGGTGGCCCGGCACTGGTGTGGGTGCTTGGCACTTGGCCAGAGGACTTTGTCCTCACGCATCACAGGGAATCAGGGACAACGTGTGGGCTGGCAAAGGTCAAGGCTGAGCCTTCCAGGTGAGCCATTAGCAGGCTGGGACAGCCCAGGGTCCTAGGCCAGGTGGGAATGCTGGCATCATTACCACCTAACTTCCAGCTGTGTCCAAAGGCAAAAGAAATGATCTCAGGAATTGCCAGTGGGCCAGCCTGCACTCTAGTGGTGCTCGGCTGTAGCTGCACTTTTTTTTGCCCACTTTTCACAATGCCCCAGAGCTTTGGAGGAAGGTGTCCCTGAGATCCACAGGCAGGTGTCCAGGAGAGGGTGCTGTTCTCCCGTCATTTCAAGCATCTCTCCATCTCACCTGATATTGAACCCTAGGGGGGGAGAGACTAGTGGGTAGCTTGTAAGCTACCTCTTCATACCAGGGACTTTGCATACCTTGCTTCCATGACCCCTCTAAAAGTCCTGAGGGCTGAGGACTATTACTAACTCATGTACAGAAGTAACCCCTGGCTTCGAAAACAGGCAGCAAGGGGTCATGTCATAGTCCATTCTGTGCCCATCTGACTTTTCAAACTCATGTTTCTAATGCCCCACCTGCTGGTTGAAACCTGAGCCAGAGGTCTCTAGTCTTTAGCAAGGGCAAGGCAAGCAGCAAATGGGGATATATTGGGGAGTGGTGGGGACTACAGAAAACTGAGGGATCTCTGCCACATCTAAAAGGCACGGTCGTATTAGTCCAGCAGGTTACCCTTAGGTGGAAATGCTGGACTAGCCCCTAAGAGGCTAGTCCTGAAAGATCCTGAAAATCTGGATTTTTATGTAAAAGTCCTCAATTTTAAATATAGCAATTCAGAAAAAGAGTTTAAATATAATGGGGCCAAACAAAGACGTCTTCTAACACGGTGAGCTTCTAGAACATCCTTACAGGGCAGGTGAGGTCCAGAGGAGAGGACTTGCTCATGATCACATGACCACACAGGGACAGAGCACAGCCTTGACCCCCATCTCTGGACTCCTGCTCCCTGCTCCACTGCTCTGCCCCCTGGGCCCCGGGGCAGGGAGCGAATATTGGTGATTCAGTGGGACACGCCAGACTCAGACCAGAGGCTGGGAAACCACATGTTTATTGGTCGCACTTGACTTACAGTGTACATGGCAGGGACACCCCTGTGCCCTCCTGGAAGTAAAAACAACGCCGCGAGCCCCGGGAGCTCTCCCGGGTCCCCTGAGGTAGTGGCTGTGCCCCATGGTCTCACCTGGCTATCTTGGCGGTGCCCACCCCTTGCCCCTTACACCAGCTTTGTCTCGTATACAGGGCGGCCTGGGCCCATCCATTCCCCAGGCCGAGCTGGCTCCCCCTGGACCTGGACCCATATCATACATAGTCCTTATAGGCCAGCATGTAAGGGGAGGGGGTCACCAGTTTACAGATGGGCAAACTGAGGCTTGAGGCAGGAGGGGACTCATCCACAAGCCTCACAGCTGAGTCCCCAGCTTGGCCCACTGGGCTGGTCCGGGTGCAGACATTTCCCCATCCCACTTCTGGCCGGAAGACATTCTATGGCTTAGCTGCTCTGGAGAGGCAATCTGTACACACACACTTGGTTTAAAAAAAGTAATAAATTAGATCTTGGACCAGCCTCTGGCCAGCCACATGTCACACGACATGGACATTGGTCCGGTACGTCCTGCCATGTATGGTGCTAGGACTTGTGACACTGACCTGCAGGCCACACTGCAAGCTCCATGTAATGTCACATGGGACTCTGCCACATGTGACCTTCTGTGCCATGCGTCACGTCACGCACACCCTCCTCGTGCCCCATGTCTGTATTGGCCACGCCTGTCCCCCGGGATGCAGGATGGTCTATTGGCCGTACTAGGCTCCTGTGTCCCAGAAAGGTCCTCCCTGAATACTGTAACCGGACAGACGTGTCCCTCCCTCCTGGGGCTGGGTGCAGGGACACCCAGCTGAGGTTCCTTCCGAGCCCTCCGTCCCGAGGGGCGGGGGGAGTTGGCATCACTTGGCCGGATTCTAAGTGTCTTGAGATGTGGCCACGTCAAGAGCCCCGAGGAGCCTGCGGCTGGTTGGGGAAGAAAGCAAAGTCCAGCCTGGGCTCGTGGCTCTGCAGACGCTGGGCTGCGTCAGGTGGGATGTGGTTATTCCAGAGCCTGCAGGACGGAGACACGGACACTCAGCGCTCATCCTCTCCTCTCTGCCATGAGCCTCGTCTACAGACGGGAAGGCCTCGGCCCCAGGGGAGGAGCTGTGCCCGGAGGTACCAGCAGGGCCGCCCTACGGAGGCGGTGTTCCCCACGCCCACCTGACTTCTTCCACTCCCTCTCCTTCCCTGACAGCCAGTGACCCAGCCGGTCCCACTCACATGACACAGTGCCAGACAGGGAAAAGCTCCCCTTCCTACAGATGCTTGACTTCCATCGCCTGACATTGTCACAGAACAAACACAGCACTGCTATCTACTGGAAGCCTCGCCCGCCCACCGTGTGAACGTGCGCCTCAGCCGCAAAGCCCCGTGCAGTGTGCAGCCGCCTGGGCGCCTCTGGGGGAGGCTGCCATGGCAGGGGCTGCCCGCGTGCCGGGGACCGCACGCAGCGCTTTACACAACCATCTAGTCCTCACAGCAGCTCTCGGAGGGAAAGTCTCTCCTTATCCCCATTTCATAGATGAGGACGTCGAGGCTCAGTGAAGTTCAGGTACTGATGCAGCGTCACACAATTGGCAGACGGCAGAGCTGGGGTGTGACCCGGGTCTGCCTGCGGCCACATTCTTGGTGGGGGCGTCCAAGTCCCATTGATAATCCCCAGCCCTGGTCCTGCTTCTGTCTACAGGGTGTCCCCTCACCCTTTGTAAGGGTCGGTGAGGTCTCCCATCCCCCCATTCCTGTCCCTGCAAGCCCATTACCGGATGACTTGGATGCCAGAGCCCTGCGCCAGCCCTTCAGCCAGGAGCCCGGCTCCGTACGCCGTGATCCGATTCTTCTCCAGGCTTGCCGATGCACCGCAGAGGAGGGAACAGACAGAGACCGGCATGAGACATGTGCTGGGGGGAGGCTTCCCGAGGTCCCTTCCCTTGGCCAAGACGCTCAGAGAACCCAACACTTAGTATAACAGGAAAGCAGAAGGCTGGGACCCAGGGGGAGCTAAGCTGGGCAGCAGCTTGGAGAGAACGGTGGGTGGCACTCTGGTCAAGGACGGCTTCCTGCAAGGCAGGGGCCCGATCCAGCGGCCTCTGGGCTTTCCCCAGGATGCAGGCCCCCCTGCGGCCCTCCCCGCCCTCTCCCAGCCTCCCACAAGGTGCCCCTCATACTCCACTCTCTTCAGCCGGTCCATCCGAGGCAGGACCCGGGCCAGTTCGGCAGCTGCCTCATCCCCAAGCAGATTCCAGGACAGCCTGCGGGGCAGGGGCAGGAGGTCAGCCTGAGGGGGGCAGGGAGGTGGACGGGTGAAGACAAGGCAGCAGGTGGAAAGGACTGGGGCCAACGGTGGGGGGTGGCACCCACAGGTACGAGAGAGGTACCCGATGGGGTGTGTGTGTGCCCTGAAGACTCAGGGGGACAGGGGGCTCCCAAGCTGTTGCCGAGCTGGTCACCCCTAAAGAACCCTGACAGTGTAGGGCCTGGGTCCCCGGGGAGCTCGGAACACTCGGTTTGCAGAAACAACGTCATCACGCGTCAGGCGTGTGCCTCCACTGTGACTTTTGTCATCTCCACACACCTCTCATATCATTATTTGTTTCACATTTTTCCTTAAATCGGTTCTCCCTTCCCTCCTGTTTAACTTTAAGAAATGAATCTTAGGGAACATTTAGCACTACTATCAACAGAAAACCCATGTTGAGGACCTGAAATAGAGGGTGATTACATGGAAAAGCACAGGGCAAACTACAGCATTATTCTCGCTGGAACCTGCGTCCTCCCTAAACTGCCGAGCCTGTGGCTGCCCCCTGCTGGCTAAAAAGGGAGACTCACTGGTGTTTGGTGTTCAAGAAGAGTTAGCACTGATGGGAGACTTCCTCTTTGATTGATGTAAAGTCATGAGAAGCATTAAAATCTTTAGGGTGCAAACCTAAAATTCTATAATCACTGTGCCCTGTGCTTTAGGAAATAATGTTTTCCTCGTATATAGTAGTCAGGGTCCCAGGCTAGTTTACCCATGAGGCCATGCAGCAAGGCCCCAAGGTTGAACGGAACACCTTTCACTGCCAAGGGCAGGGGCTGGGGGCAAGGCCACTGGGCAGGTCGGGGCCTGCTGGCTTCAGCCATCCTTCACAACTTACAGGTGCTGTGTAAATCAAAGCTCCACAAACCAGGCGAGGTAGTCTATCCAGCCACCTCCCAAAGGGAATGTCAGGGGCAAAGGGCTTTTTAGAGACTGTCTGGTCCATGTCCCTCCTGCCACTCCACAGGTGGGGACACAGGTGAGATGCTGTGTGGCTTGGCCCAGCTTCTCTCTTAGCCCAAGTGTTCAAACTTCCTTGAGAGGAGACTTCTGCAAGAACGACCTTCCCCACTTAGAAAGAGGAGGCGCCCTGGGGCCAGGGACAGGTTCCAGGCCGAGCAGCAGGCTATGGCCCAGCCGCAGACGCCAGCAGCTTGCAGAACTCACAGGATCTCTTCCAGTGCTGGGCAGACCATGAAACCAGCGGCGAGGGGCTTGGCAGCCTGGTTGTCGATCTCACAGGAAACCAGGCTGGGGAAAGGGTAGGAGGGAGGTGTCTGAGGCCGGGGCTCCTCCCGAGTCCCCCTGTCCCCACACTGTGAGTGTCGAGGAGGGCTGGCCCTCCACCCTCAGCACCAGCTCCCCGGGTGGACGTGAGGCTGCTTACTCGATCTGCCTGAGCAGCGGGAGCCCCCGATGGAGGTGCGGCACCTGTCCGGCCAGGCTGTTCTCTGCCAGGCTGCAGGGCAGAGAGATGCCTGTGAGCAGAGCCCCCGCCAACGATCTTGGGCCCCCCGCCCCAGGCTCCACCGCTCCTACTCACCTGATCTCTTCCAAGTGTGGGCACCCATCCAGGGCCTGGCCCAGGCTTAGCGCCCCCTCGGGGCCCAGACGGCTGGACTGCAGGCTGGGGAGAGGGGAGAGGGTGAGAGGAGTGTTGGGGAATCAGATGTGGGGGTTGGGGGCTGGCTCCCCCACTCACAGCCTTGTCTCAGGCTGTACTGCCAGGGCTTAGATGGTCTCTGGGTAATGGCCAAGCCTCCTCCCCACCCACCAGGGGCCTGATCCACCCTTGGGGAACAAGAGCCCTGGCTTGGGAGTCAGATCCCAAGTTCACAGCCTGGCTCTTCCATGTGTTAGTAAGGTAAGCCTTCTGCACCTCTCCAGCCTTCAGTTCTGCTGCCTGGAAATGCAGCAGCTAGAAACCCCGGCCCCACAGGGCTGCTGTGAGGGCTCCAATGAGACCAGAGACGCCAACTGTTAAAGTGCTGCGGCCATGCTGCTTGGTGCCTTCCTCCTGCCTCGCCCTTTGCTCACTTGCTCCCTCTCAGAGATGGGATCATCGTAATGTTGCAGATGCAGAAACTGCAACTCCTCTGAGGGCAGGACCTTGGCCATGGGCACACAGGGGCTGGTGGCCGAGCCGGGACTAGGCTGTGGCTCCTGATCTCCCTGCCCCAGACTCCAGAGGCAGGGCAGGAGCAGCAGGCGGGAGAGGGGGCAGCTAGCCCCAGAACACGCTTGTTTGCCCAAAGCCAGGGCAGCTCAACTGACAGGCCCCTTGACCCCTAAGTGCTCAGGAGAAACCCTGCCCAGCTGCCCCTGCACACACCACAGGGAGGGGACACTCACTGTAGGACTCTCAGGTGCTGGGGCAGCCGCCGGGCCAGCCGCAGGGCTGTGAGGTCCCCCAGGGGGTTGCAGCCAAGCCTGGAGGGAAATAGGGGAAGAGGTTGAGCACCGGGGGGGCCCACTCCAGACCCTTGCCCTGTGCCAGCTGGGCTGTGGGGACACTCACATCAGCTCCTCCAGGTGCTCGCAAAGGGCGAGGGACTCTGCCAACTGCACTCCCCCTGTCGGGCCAATGCCATTCGCTGAGAGGCTGAGAAAGGGGTAGACGTTGGGCCCTTGGCCCCCATTTTCCCCACCCTTCACAGCTGCTGGGGCCCTAGGACACAGCATCCCCACCACCCACCCTCCCAGCCTGATGGGGCAGAACAGCCTGGAGGGGGTCAGAGGCTGGGTACTGAAGTCAAGGGAGGAATGGCAGCCTGAGGCAAAAGCCAGGGTCTCCCCAGACCAGGGGTGTCCACAGAGGGCCCCTGTCCATAGAGCTGGCCACTCACTCTATCTTCCGGAGCTCAGGCAGCGTGGGCAGGAGGGCAGCTATATGCTGGGCACCCGTGTCTCCGATCTGGTTGTGGCTCAAGCTTGGAGAGAAGACAGCAGGACTGGAACCATCAGCCTGCCACCTGTCTAGTCTGGTCCACATCCCCTTCCCAGACCAGGGAGAGGCTGAAGTCTAGGGAAAGGCGTTGGCTCATGCTGATAAAGTCCCCTCACACTGTGCTGGGTGTTGCCTCCAAACTCTTAAGCTGTTCTGCCTGATGTCTGCCCTTAGTCCCTCTTGCTGCAACCAACACTCTCACATTCTGTCTTTGGGTCTCCAAGGTTCTACGTCTGGGGTTACAGTGTAGGAGTGGGGGAAGGGGACGAGTGTCACTAATACGTGAAGAGTGTCTTTAAGAAGCCCCTTGCTCTGGTCATCGCCCCCTACCAAAGTTGTCCTGGGTCTGGGGGAGGGACAGGCAACTCACCCCAGTTCCTCCAAGCTGGTGGCAGCTCTGAGAGCCCTGGAAAGGCGGTAGCAGCCGATGTCATCGATGTCATTCCTACTCAGGCTGGAGAAGCCGGGAAGAGGCGAGAGGCCCCCGTCAGGAGTAAAGGGCTTTGTGGGTGCTGTGCTAAGAATGCTACAGCTTGCAAAGCCTTTACATATGCCCGTCATAGAACTTTGGGGGAAGAAGGACAGGCAAGGTATGCACGACTATACCCAATGTCCAGGTGAGAAAACAGAGGCCTGGGAAGGAGCTGTGATGGGTTCAAAGAGTCTCAGTGATTCCGGGCCTGGGGAAAGTGCACACCCAGGGCCTCTGGCCCGGGAGCCAAGGCCACATGTTTTGGTCAGGGGTCGCCAGGCCAGCCAGGCTGAATGCCGGCTGCACGTGGGCCCCACGGTTCAGGTAAAGGGTGTCTGGTCCCCAGGCATCTTTTTCTAATCTGTCCAAATGGGGGGCTTTCCCTGAAACCCAGTGATTGTCCCTTGTGAGCCTGCCTCCGTGAGTGGGGAAAAATAAAGCCGACGCAAGCCTAGCCCACGTTAAATATTTATCGGAGGGTTGTTTCCTTTTGCAAATTAAACTTTCGCCAACTGCCTTCTGCTCAGTTGAATTATGGGTGAAATGACCTGCTCCCCCATGCTATGCTCCCCCAAAGCCTCTGACGTCATTTCCTGAGCACTCCGCCCTGCTGTGGGGGGAGGGGCGGGGCCCGGATGAAAACAAAGCAACGCCTTGTGTTTCCTGGCTTTGTTTTTAGTTATCATATTTTATTGTTTGAAAAGTCACATGAAAAGAGTGCGTGATATTTGTTTATCAAAGTGGCCAGGGGCACAGGGGAGACTATCGAGGTCGCCAGATACAAGTCTAGACCATCTGGTGTGCCACAAACAAAAATTAAAAAAGATTTTTTTTATTGCCCTGGTTGGTGTGGCTCAGTGGACTGAGTGGCAGCCTGCAAACCAAAGTATTGCTGGTTTGATTCCCAGTCAGGGCACATGCCCGGGTTGCAGGTCAGGTCCCCAGTGTGGGGCGCACAAGAGGCAACCACACATTGATGTTTCTCTCCCTCTCTTTCTCTCTCTCTTCCCCTCTCTCTAAAAATAAAAAAACAACAAATAAAAAACAAAGAATTTATTTATTTTTAGAGAGAGGGAGCAAGGGTGAAAGAGAGGGAGAGAAACCTGGACTGGTTGCCTCTTGCATGCTCCCAACTGGGGACCTAGCCCACAACCCAGGTAAGTGCCCTGATGGGGAATCGAACCAGCAGGCTTTCAGCTCATAGGCTGACACTCAGTCCATTGAGCCACACTAGCCAGGGCTGCAAGAATTTTTAAAACATGCACAACCTGACTATATAGGCAGGGGCAGTGACCTATGTTCCCTTAGACTGTCAAATTAAAAAATGACAACAGCTAATACAATGACTGGCTGTTCAGTATAAATGAATAAAAATTGTACCTTTTTTCCCCCCAGATTGGGAACTTTTTTTTTTTGCATGGAAACACGTTAGAGACGCAGGATCTAGGCAGCCCTGACCCACGGAATCAGGAGTGTGAACCGGAGCCAGGGCGAACTCTAATATGAAGCATTGCTCTAGGACTTGGCCCCAACCCCCCAGGTCACTTTTGTAGCCAGGAGCAAGCTAGTGGCACTCGGGGGCAAGAGTTGTGGCACCCACCTGGCAGGACATGGGGATGTCCCGAAGACAGGAGCACAGGGGGTCCTCAGGGAGGTGCCCCCAGTGCTTCCTCGGGCGGGGGTGCCAACAGAGCTGGGTCCTCCCACCTACTCCCAGCGGCTCACACAGTCACTCACCTGAGGCTCCGCAGGAGGGTCATGTGGCTCAGCGCTTCAGTGAGCACAGCCAGTGTGGAGACGTCCAGCGGGAAGTGGCTGAGGCTGCAGGAGGAGAGGCCAGAGGAGACTCGGCATCACTGGGGTTGGGCCCCAGTACAGATCGAGGCCTCAGTGCTTAGCAATGCCCAGATGGCCGAGACGGCTACTGCTATCTACCCAGCGGGAGAGACTCGGGTGCAGCACAACTGCCCTTGGAAACCCAAACGCCCTTCTTCCATGTGGACTGTTCCGAAAGCCATCCAACCATCAGTTCTATTTCTGGATCACACTGATCGGGAATCACAGTGATCACACATCCAGGTACCCTAGGGGCCAAGCCCTGCGCTCGCGGCAGTTGAGAGGTGGGCCTGTTATCGCTCCCATTTTACAGGTGAGGAACACTGAGGTTCAGGCAGTTACAAAGCTCCTTCGGGGTCACACACACAAAGTGTCAGCATCAGAAACAAAACCCGAGGTTGCAGGATTCCCAATCCTGGGCCCCAACATTGCATTACTCATAGGGCCCCTCTCCTCCATTCCCCCAGCCTGGGCAGGAGAAGAAAGTCCTAACAGTAACAGCCAATACTTGTCTGGTGTGAACTCTGCACCAGGCCCTGCTTCATAACATGTATTTATTGCACTTAATCCTTATGACCACCCTAAGAGAGAGGTGCAGCCATTATCCCCTAAGTTAAAATATGGAAAAAAGCACAGAGAGGTTAAGTGACTTGCCTAAGCTCCCAACAGTAAGAGGTAGAACTGAAAGCTGACAACTGTCCTGGTTTGCCCAGAATCGAAGGTGCTTTAGAATGTGGGACTTTCAGCACCGGGCAAACTGGGACAGTCGGTCATCCTATCAAGTACTGAACCTGAAGGGTCGGGCGGGTTTTCCGATCCACCAGACTCTTCATGACTCAGGTGTCCCACCTCGCTTCATAGCTCACGACTTAATGGGAACTCTCTGCCATCGTACACAATGGACACCAGGCACCAGCCTCAGTGGCCGGTGGTCAGACTGACCTTCCTGCACCTGGGAACAGCTGGCCCTTTACCTACCCCATGTTCCTGACTCCCATCCCGAAAGCCTGAGGCAACCTCCCAGAATAACAAGAGACCGACCCCTCCCTCATTCCCCCAGGACTCCTGTACTTTGCCCACCCAGACTCAGCTGCCTGCACCTGCAGCTTCAAATAAAGGCACTTGGAGCTGATCACCAGGCCCCTCCCATCTCTCTCTCATGGGCATTTCTAACAGAACCCAGGTGGGGTGGCCCCTAACCAGGTCCATGCCCTTAACCATTTCACTTAGGAGGGACAGGTGGCAGGGTGTGAGGGGAGCTGCTTGTCAGGGCGTAGACACCAGAAACGGCAGGTCTGAAGCTGGAAGAGGCCTCTGCGCAGGTCTGTCCTGTTCGCCGAAGCCCCTCTAGCTTGGGCCCGGCTCAGGGGCCCAGCCGAATGCACATTTGTCACACTCATGAGTGAACCAATGAATGACCTCACTGGGCCTCCAACCCTCCAGATGAAAGCTTCCAGAAGGCGGAGAGGCTGAGCAGAGGGGCAGGCACAGAGTGCGGAAGCGAAAGGAACAGTTCAGTGGGAAGGCAAGGGAGGCTTGAGGTCAAAGTTCTCCCTCATACCACCCCCTATCCCCGGACAAAGAGGGCCAAAGTGGCGGAATCTCACTGGTAATTGGCCAAAAGACAGAAGGCTACTTTTAAACTGTATTCAAATCAAGTAAAACTTTCCGGAGGAAAGTTCACCAACTGCTCTTTCACAGAAGTTCCCCCAGGGGCGTTGCTCTCAGGGGATTCCACGCCCTTTGTTTCCCATTTCTGTGATGAAGGAACTTTTTATAACTTGTGTATATTTTTGGTCATCGGAAGACCTTAGAGATTAAAAGCAGAAGATGCCCCGTTAAATGTTCCATCTAGATGCTCTTAAGTCTGTGTGAGGCGGGGACCTGTCCTCTAGACCGAGGCTGTTTCCGGTGTTTCTAAGAATCTGGTGACTCCAAATAATAGATGACAGTTAACCTAGAAAAACGATGATGGGCAAATGGCAGCGGACATCTGTGGATGTTTTTTCCGCCCAGATTCTGTTTCCTTGGGTTAACAGCAGCCTGAAATACCACTCCCTCCTAAGCCCAGATCGCTGAGTGAGCCCGTGGCCAATCAGAACGCGGTGCGCTCAGCGCCACTGTGATTGACTTAGAAACGGGCACGTGACCCAGGCTCGTCCAATGAAACTCAACCTGGGGCCTTCGTTGTGGGTTCTGGGAGAAAGGGGCTCCCTCTCCACTGAGTGAAAAGAAAGCAGGCCTGTGGCGGCAGGACAGCCAGCCTGAGGCTGAAGTCAAGATGGAGAGCTGGATCCAGCCAAATATGAAGTCAGCTGCCTTGTCATTTTCGGTGACGTGAGCCAATACATGTCTGGCTTGGGTGGGTTGGAGTGAGTATTCTGTTTGCTGGGACCAAGCGTTTTCATAGCGGCCAGAGCCAGGTGAGGAAGTAAAAAGGAGGGCATTCAGCTCACCGGGGTCCATTCAGGGATTGGACAGTTATTATTAGTATTATTTTCAATCCTCACCCAAGGACACTTTTGTTCATTGCTTCCAGAGAGAAAGGGAGAGAGGGAGGGAGAGAGAGAAGCATCGCTTGGTTGCCTCCAGCAGGCATCTGGACTGGGGATTGCATGTGCTCATAATGGGGACCGTACACGCCAGGACCCAGGATTGCACCCACAACCCAGGCGTGTGCCCTGACTGGGAATCAAACCGGCAACTTTTTGGTTATGGGATGACGCTCCGACCAACGGAGCCACACTGGCCAGGGCAGACACTGCGCAGTTTGTATTCACAAAAGATGCAAAAGTTCCTAGGCTTTCTCCCAACAGCGCTCCACCCCTTTCCGCCCCCATATTAACCACACCGCTTACTCCAGCTTCTGCAGCCAGTACTTGTCTTCCAGGGCTTTCTTCAGCACCAAGGAGCCCTTCTCCTCGCCCAGCTGACTGTTAGACAAGCTGTCGGGGACCCAGCATGAAGTGAGGATTAGACAGGCCTGCCCAGCCCCTGAAGCTGATCCTAGACCACCCCTCCTGTCCAGGCTCCCGGGGGGCACTCCTGTTTCCACCAGTGGGGCTCTGGGGTCCTTGAGGAGGGGGACATGGCAGTTACAATGGACCCAGCTAAGAAATGATGCTTTGGATGAGGGCTGCAAAAGAGGAAGGCGGGGACAGGGGCACACGGACACACACCCACAGTGATCTTTTTCTCCTGAACTCTCCCTGCACCCCGACGACCACAGCCGCCCTGGGCAGAGAAGGGTGAGGGCCTGGGGGGGCACAGCTGTCTGCCCAGGGTCACTCTGAAGGACCGGTAAAGCTGGGGCCAAGGACACAACACTCAGCCTTCCCCAGGCCACACCCAGAGCTGATGGGCTCCGCCGTTAGGGAGAAAAGTGATCTGTTGACCTCCACCCGCCATCCTCCCAAAGCACCGCCCCCCCACCCCTGGCCCTTCCCAGCCCCCCCCACTCCAAGACTCACTCCAGCTCCTCCAGTTGGTGACAGTGGCTCAGACCAGATGCCAGGTGGGCCTGGCCCTCAGGGCTCACACGGCTGGAGGCCAGCCTGGTGGGGATCAAAGGACAGCAGGTCAGGCAGGAGCTCTGAGTGTCATGGCAGAGGGCAGGGAAGTGGGTGGGAAGCAGTTCTGGGGGGGGGGCAGTGGGAGGGACCTTCCTTTCCTTCATAAATCTCTCCCACCATGGGGGCCATTAAATCAAGATATAGTTTGGAGACAGGAGCATGGGCTAGCCAAGCATTTCCCTGCACTTGGGTCATTCCGGTAGCAACATGACCACTGATGCCGCCATAATTGGGCATCACTGTAAAGTCTGGCTGGCTACTATCATGTTCCAGGAGCTCTGTGCCTTTATGTGAACAACAAAAAAGTAGCAAGTCCTGGAGAGCTGTTCCAGATATACTGGCAGCCAATCGGATTAACACGGAACTCAGAGCTGAGGAAACTCCATTCTGCAGCCATCGTTACTGTATCTGATTTCAGGCAAGAGCTTCCCAACGGATGCCAACATTCCGTGGGTGAAAGTTTGAGGAAGAACAGGATGTTTACACAGTCTTAAAGTATCTGATGTGTTAATTAGAAAGGGAAAAGAAAGCAGCAGCTTGGCAAGTGAAGAAACCCGGCAGAAGCCGCCTTCTCCAGGTGACCACAGTTCACATCCCCAGGAAGGGGACACACAGACGCCCATGTGCCTCCAGACGTGACACGCCAGGTGCATGGGATCGGAAGGACGGTCTACACCATAACTGACATGTAGATGTCATGCAAATATCGTGAAAGGCAGAGAAGGACGGAGGACCTGTTCCAAAGCGAGGGAGGCTAGAGAGAGATGACAGCAAAGTGCAGTGTGTGACCCTGGATGGAGTCCAGGACTGGGGGGGAAATGCCAGGAACCACACTGTTGCGACCATTGGCAACACTGGGCTATCAACTGTAGCCCAGTTGGACAACAGAAGTGTAACAGTGTTAAGTTTCCTCAATTTTATGCTTTCACTGGAATACGGGAGGGAGTGTCTGCTTTTAGGAAATCCACTGCAATACTAAGGGGTGAAGGGCATGACCATGCAACCTACTTTCCAATGGTTGGAAAGAAGAAAGAGGGAGAGGGAGAGAAAGGAAGGGAGGGCTGAGGGAGGTGGGGGGGGCGGGGAGGGAAAAAAGGGTTGACAAAGGATAAATTTGGGGAAATGGTATATGGAAGTTCTCAGTCTTCTTGCAACTTGTCTATTAGGTTGCAATTCTTTCCAAAAAATAAAGAAAAAGAAAAGAACAAAAGGGTGTTACTTTCTCGCCGTGTGACCAGGTCTATGAGCACACACCTGGATGCCTCTCCAGGGCTGAGTGCCAGCCCCAGCCCACAGGGTTTGGATACCCAGTTCCTGAGCTCAGGCGGGAGAACTGGTTTGTGGGGGCAGGGCGGGGCAGGGCAGGCCCAAGTGACAGTCTTGTCTGCATACCTGAATTGCCTCAGCTCCGAGTGGGACAGCAAGCTTTGTAGCAGCTGGGAGCCAGCTGTGCAGATGTTTACCTGGGACAAGCTGGAAAGAGCCAAACACATTCCAGAGGATCAGGGTGGATGACCTCAGGGGATCATCAATCGCATGGGGGGGCAAGAAAGGGCAAAAGACCACCTAAGAGCTGCCGGAGGGGCAGGGCTCCCCTGTGCTACCCGGGGGCTGTCCCCACTGGCCAAGTGCGATTCTCCCCTGCAGAGGGAAGAATGCCAGGGTCTGGCACTGCCCCCGGCTCTGCTCACCCCCATGCCGGCCTGGCCAACCTCTCACATGTGGCCTGGAGTGGGCACTGGAGCGGCTCTGAGAACACAGGGCCCCAGTAGTTTCAGGGCGCTGACCTGAGCCGCCGCAGCCAAGTGCACCTGTCCATCAGCCGTCTGACGTGAAGACTGTGGTGGATGCCGAGGTCACAGTAAGCCAGCCTGGAGGGGGATGGGGAGGCAGCATTCTGCACAGCTGGGTCAGCATTAGGGACTCAGGCCCTGCTTGCAGAGACCTTACCTTCACGGGGTATGTGAATGCTCATCAAACACAGCCTCACAATGTTCTATTTGATTACGGGAGTGCTGTGCAGCAGCAGGGGTGCAGATGGGGAGCTGGCCTGGCCATGCAGGTTGCTCACTGCACACAGGGACCTGGCCCCAGAGGTGAGCTGGGGCTGAGATCCACTGTGGGCCCTTCCCCAGACGGCATACTGCAGGGCTGCATTCCTCCCAAAGGGAGGACTTGATTAAGCCTTGGGGTTCAGAGGGGCCTCCCTGAGGTGGTAGTATCTAACCTAGACCTGAAGGATGAGGGGGAGTTAGCCAATTGAAGAAGGCGCAAGAGGGGAAGAGAGGAGAGAACATTCTGGGCAGGGAACAGCCTGTGCAAAGGCCCTGAGGTCTGCAGGAGCAAGGTGGTCTTCGAGAAACTACATGCTAGTAGCGAGGATGGGGGCTGAGTCTGGGGCTCGGGGTGGGGATGGACTGCGTGGAGAGGTGGGTGAAACCAGACCTCACGGGCCTTTGTAGGGACTTGGGACATCAAGGGACTCTCTGAGCAGGGGCATGGTGCTCAGAAGCAGCAGTCCCCACCCCATCACCGAGCACACCCTTGGAGCCCCAGGTACTGGGTCTCACCTGAGGGCCACGGCCTCTGGGTTCTCCTGCCGAGGAAATCTCAGCTGGATGCACAGCTGCTGCTGGGTCTCGGAGATGCTGCGGAGGGAAGGGGTAGCCGGTGTGAGGCTCCCAGCAGCTCCTGGAGTTGGCTGAGCTGGAATCCAAGGTGCTCGGCCGGCTGGGCCTGAGCTCCCAGATCCTGTCACCCCCGGTCACTGAGCCACGATGTGTGTTGCTGTAACCCAGGGGCCACTTCTAGGCAACTCGTGTGGAGGCCCAGGCACGTCACCGGGATCCAGCAGCCCTTTGCCGGCATCTGGGGCTGCTTTCCTCTTTCTGGCCCCGCAGCCTGACTACCGCACGAGTCTCAACACACGTGTGTCGCTGTCACACGTGCCCCTGGAGCGCCTGCCATCTCGGGGACCCAGAGATCTCACAGGACAAGAGACTGGTGTCTAGAGGAGGGCAGGTCCCAATGGTCAGGAGAAGGTGAAGAACTCAGCGGGGCCTCCTCTCCGGACTCACCTGATCTCGGTGACGTTGCCCGAGACCTGGGCGCAGACTTGGCGCAGGGCGAGCAGCCCGGCTCTGCCCATCCACCGCTCCTCCACCCTGTCACGAGAGCGGACACAGATAAAAGCCCCCTCGCAGAAGCAGCGGGGGGGAGGAGAGAGCCGAGGGAGTCCTAGGGGCTTTTGGGGGGGGGCGGGTTGCTTATCTTAAAACTATAAAATTATACAACCAGGCGTAACATGAAACGAACATTCCCATTCCAATAGTTATTGCAACAACCCAAACAGCAAACGTCATTTCTTTAATAACACTTTTTAGATTAAACAAAAGGTCTACACCATGTTACATTGCAAAGAGAAGGAAATAAAACTGTATAAAAGATGACCCTAATTACCTATTTGAAAAAGGGGACACTTTTAAAATATATATGGAAAAAAAGAGAAGAGAGGGAAATATATTAAGTGTTAATGGCAGCTGTTTAGATGGCAGCATTCTCATGACGATTTTTACTTTATTTCCTCTTCAATTTTCAGTATTTTCGGGACTTTCTAAATGTGTATGTTAACTCGGATGCAGGAAAAGAGCTGTTTAAAATATTCCTACTTCTGAAGTGATATTGTATTTGTTTTCAAAGTTTTAGTTTCTTCTTAGGCTCTTAATGGACTTTTCCACAAATGTTTACAATTAATATATATTACTTTTATTTTTAAAAAATATTTTATTTCTTTTTTTATTTTTAGAGAGCGGGGAAGGGAAGGAGAAAGAGTGGGAGAGAAGCATCCATGTATGGTTGCCTCTCACGTGGCCCCCACTGGGAACTGGCCTGCAACCCAGGCATGTGCCCTGACTGGGAATCGAACCGCGACCCTTTGGTTCACAGCCCGTGCTCAATCCACCGAGCTACACCAGCCAGGGCTGTATACTACTTTTAGAGTTAGAAAAGTGTTATTGTAACATGTCATGTTGGGTCCACACCCGAAAGAACTGAAAGCAGAGACACAAAGAGGTATTGGTGCATCTATGTCCACAGCAGCCTTGTTTACAAAAGCCCCAGTGTGGAAGCCACCCAAGGGTCCCTCACGGCTGAGTGGAGAAACAAAATATGGTTGCCCACACATGTGCACCGTTAGCCAGCCCTAAATAGGAAGAAACCAACACCGGCTAGCACACGGCTGAGCCATACGCCCATCCTGCCGAGTGGGAAAAGCCGGTCACGAAGAGACCAATGCTGCACAACTGTACATCCGAGAGGTTCCCAGAGTCGTCACAGCCACGGGGGCTGGGGGAGGGGACGGGAGCTGTTCAATGGGGGCGGAGTTGCAGCTTTGCAGCTTCAGTTCTGGGGACTGGTCTGCACAACAATGTGAGTGTCCTGAACGTTACTGAATTGCACGCACACTTCAAAGTGGCTACGGGGGTCGTATCACACCACGACTTAAAAAATGTTATTTGGGAAGCAAGCAGGCTTGGTGTGCCTCATCTCGGCTGCACTGAGAAGTGACCAGCACTGGACCCGACGTTTCTGGTTTTGACACAAATACGTAACTGAGGCACAGCCCCCGTCTCCCTCCCGGTTCCAGGAGAGCCAGGGGTTAGAGGAGCAGACTCAGTGACCTCGAAAGGGAGCGATGAGACGGGGCCACGGAGAGAGCCAGGGAGGGGGCCGGTCTACGGCACCGCGGGCTGGTTTGGTCAGCAGGCCGCTGACGTGGAAGAGGAACTCGGCAGGAGGTGGGGACACAGACCAAGAATCCTCCGAGCCGGTCCCCTCCCCACCCCACGAGAACCTTGACTGGATCCTGGATCCAACTGGCCGGCTGTCCGCTATGAGGACCATGGGATGTTTATGATTGGACCGGGGAGTACACGACAGTGAGGAATCACTACTGAGTTTTGTGGGGGCCCTCGTCCAACTGTGCTTATGTAGAAAATGTCCTTATTTTTTTTAAAGATTCCTGGTGAAATATTTGACGGGAAAAGGAACTTTCAGAACGACTCTACTTTTTGGTTCTCTTCTCTCTTTTCCTGGAAGTTTTAGATAAAATGACCACAGTGAATACTCCAACGCGGGGTTTGCTGGGTGTTACTCTGGACCTCAGCTGGGCGTCCTCTGGGGTTCTTTCCTTCCTAGTCCCCAAGCCCAGGCCCCGCCTCGAAGAGGGCGGCTTCTCTGAGTGCCTGCGGGGGTCTCTGGGATGAAGGGGCAGGGTCAGCCCTGTGACCAGGTGGCAGGGCTCTGGCTGCACAAAATGGCCAGGGCCTCAAACTGGGGGGGGAACCCACACTCCAGAGCCTACCCCTGCCCCTCCGTCACGCCACGCGCCACGCCCCCCCCCCAGAGGACCAGAGGAAGACGCTACCTGAGACTGAGCAGCCCCCCTGGCCTCCTCACCAGACTCAGGAGGACAGCGAGGTCTTCCAGGCTCAGGCAGCACCGCATCAGCCTGGGGACAGAGGCAGGTTATGGCGGCAGCTCTGCTCCAGGACGGAGCCCCCACCCCTCAGCTGCCCCGTGGGCTGGGCCCGCTCACTCACGAGAGCTCCGTCAGCTGCCAGGCCTGGCTCAGGCCAGCGGCCAGTCTGGTCATGTGCTCGGGTCTGAAGATGCACTCGGTCAGCCTGAGGGCAGAGGGCAGAGCCTGGGTGAGGCCTGTCAAGGCTGCAGTCCTGCTCCCTCCCAGTCCCCCTGCCCAGGACATATGGGGGCCCCAGCTGAGTGCAAAGGCCGGGACGGGGGCCTGAGAACCTCACTGAGTTCCAACAGTTTCATCCACCGGCAGAGTGACGGGCTCACCCGGGGCACAGAGCTGGTCAGAGGAAAGGCAGAGCTGGGTTTCAGTCCAGCTCGGCCGGACCCCAGACCCCAAACCCATGACCACCCCCTACTCTCGCTCCATTCCAGGCTCCCATGGAGGGAGGAGAGCCTGGGATTCTCTCTGCAGCCGGGCCCCCAGGTGCTGGCCTCACAGCGTGGCCCGTAGACAGGCCCTGGATGCTGTCTGTGGAGGGTTCATTCCGACAGAGAGGGGCCCCTGGAGCTCTGCAGGAGGAGCTGACACTTGGGCCTTAAAGGACTGGGGGGCATCTCATCCCAGAAAAGGCAGGAGCGAGCCTGTCAAGCCGAGCACCCGGGGCAGGGGAGCTGCATGCGGCTGCGAGTGAGGAGCAACGCCACTTGTGGCTGAATGTGTGCCGTGTGTATGGCGTGTATGGTGTGTGTGTGGTATGTGCTGTGTGTGGTGCATGTATGGTGTGCGCTGTGTGTGGGTGTGTGGTATGTGCATGATGTGTGTGTGCTGTGTGCATGGTATGGGAATTGTACCTGTGTGGTGTGCAAATTGTGTGTGGTGTGGGTGTGTACCACATGTGTGTGTAGGTGTGGGGGTATATGGATGCCTGTGTGAGCAGTGAGAGACAGAGCCCAAGGCTACTGAGGGGTGGTAATAATAATAATAATAATAATAATAATAACAGCTGATATAGTGCCCAGATGAACCAGGCCCTCTGCATGAACGCTATACATTTTAACTCATTCCATCCGCACAGTAACCCTAAGGCGGATGGTCCTACTACTATCCCCATTTTACAGATAAGGACCTGAAACACAGAGAGGTTAAGCCACTCGTCTAAAGTCACACAGCGGGTAAGCGGTGGAGCTGGGATTTACGCTCAGGTGACTCAGCGTCCAGGCTTGTAACCACCGTACGCAGGAGCCTCCAGAGTTAGAATTAGGATGTGGTGAAGAGGCACAAATACAGTGTGAAGGCCCCGCCTTGGGGCTGGAAGTGCAGGGGTGCAGGGGAGCAGAGGAGGGGCAGTGGGCCTGGAGCAGGGTGCGTGGAGGAAGCACGGAGCCTCCACAGGGTCAGCCTCCTGTGTCCCCGTCCCTCCGCTTCCCCCTCACCCCAGATCAGCATTTACCTCAGTGTCTTCTCAGTCTCCTCCTGTCGGGAGAAGTGAATCCAGAAGCTCTGCTCCGAGCCCAGGCTGCAGAGACACGGGTGTGAGGGAGCCAGGGGCCTGCCAGCATTCTCAGGCTCCGGGGGGCCCGGGGGCGCCCGAGAGAAAGGCGCTGGGCGCAGGGGCAAGAAAGGGGGAAGCAAGCCACAGCAAGGCCTTGCCGACCAGCGGAGACCCCGGATCCATCCTGTGAGCACACTAAAAGCTGGCCTTTTCACATGTGGCCTTCCCAGTCCCCGTGGTGCGAGGGTCTCAAAGCGAGGGTCTCAAAGTGAACCGTGAGACTCCGAGGCTGGCCCAAGTCACAAGGACGGAGGCTACCAAGAATGGGGGTCTTGCTTCCCCACCAACAGCAAGTGGTGCCACTGTTAGCTTACTTCATGGTGGCCTCCCGGACACGCGGGCAGGAAGGGAGGGTCTCCACCAGGCACAGGGCGCTTTCCTGAGACATGCTGTTGCCACTCAGACTGGAAGGGAGACAAGGTTCAGGGTGAGGTGTAGGGGCAGCAACTCCGTGGAGCCTTTCCCGGCCCCCATTATCCCCCCCCAGCTGTCATCTCCACGTCCAAGTGTTCAATCTGCAGGTGGTGACACGGAGGTCCAGAGAGAAGGGCCAGCGGGGCCCAGTCTCCATACGTGCAAGAGAGACACCCGGCCCCGAGCCCTGGGGAGCTTCACCCTCTGTGCCTGCTGTCCCTTTGGTCTGGGACAGGACACTGACTGGCCAGGCCGGCAGCTCAGCCCACCCAGAGCACCAAGCGCAGCTGCCTAGCAGCGGGTTGTACCCTGGCTCTGGCTGCCTGCCTCCCAGGTCCTGGGGCATCGGGTGAGAGTGTGGATGACTTCTGGAGGCCCCTCCTGTCACGGGAACATCTCCAAATCCGTGTCCCATGGATTTGATCAGACTTAGATTCAGGGTGGAGCAGGAGCTGCGGCAGCTAAGGTCCTGCATCAGCCGCTTAGGGCGTTCTCCCTGCTGGAGTCAGCAGCCTCTCCTGTTTGCCTGCGTGGGACTCTTCCCAACACAGGCCACAGAGGAGGAGGAATGGGCTGAAGGTGGGGAGGTGTCAAGGTAAGAATCACCCCTTTGGCCCCCTGGCTGATGTGGCTCAGTGGACTGAGTGCCAGCCTGTAGACTGAAAGGTCACCAGTTCCATTCCCAGTCAGGGCACACGCCTGGGTTGTGGGCATGCGAGAGGCAACCAATTGCACACCGATGTTTTTCTCCCCCTTCTTCTCTCTCCTCCCTCTAGAAAACAAATCCCCCCTTTCACCTCCCCTTTGTCCTCTGGAGTTCTCTAGGGATCCCTTGGAAAATCCCTCACAGCTTGCTCTTAGCCCCAGGGAGTCCTCCTCCTTGCTGTCCCCTGCTGTCCCTGAGACTCGGCGTCACTTACTTGAGCGACGCGGAGATGGGCAACTGAGGCAGCCCCTTCAGGAGGCACCTGAGTCCGTCATCACCCAGCTGGTTGGCAGAGAGGCTGCAAGAGGTAAGAGGAGGCGGTTGGCGGTCAGCTGTGTCTCCTCCATGGGGGGTCTTCCCTTCAGCGACGTCACTCTGCCCACACGGCCCTCTCGTCCTCACCTTTGCATCCCTGCCACCAGTCAGCGCCGCCTGTGCCCCAGCGCCACCCATTGCCACCAGCTTTCATTGCATCCTCACTGCTTGCATCACCGCCCACCAGTGCCACCCCCACCCCATCACATGACAGCTCTGGTGTCCCCAGCACCCCCGTTAACCAGTCTTCATCTTCCCCTTCAATACCAGTACCTGCCGGCCACGCCCAGGGCCCCGGCAGGCTTGCAGGCCTTAGAGAAAACCCACTCAGCTCTCACTATGCCCTTGGCCTGCGTCAGCTGGGAGCGGCCGTTGAGGATCAAGAGTCAGTTTAAGAAGAAGAGGTTTGGGCATGTGTTTGCCCAGCAGAGTTCCTCCTTCGGTTTGGGAATACGGTGTCGGAAATTGCACTTAAGTACTTTCTCACTTCCCTTCGCTGTAATGTTGCGGTTTTTGCCACTTCAGAAACAATATGGTCAGTGGGCTCTGAACTATCTGATTTTTGTCCCGCATCTTTGAACTTGTCTTGTTTCTGATGATGATGCTTTGGAGGCTTGTTTATTTTGCCTTTTCCTGAGGAACTGTACAAATTAGTTTGCCTCCTGAAGCCCCTTAATAATCTTTAATGTAAGAAAAAGTACCCTCTACAATGAAAAAACAACAATCACAAAAACACACAGGCCCTGGCTGGTGTAGCTCAGTGGATTGAACGCCGGCCTGTGAACCAAAGGGTCGTCAGTTAAATACCCAGTCAGGGCACAGGCCTGGGTTGCAGGCCAGGTCCCCAGTAGGGGGCGTGCAAGACACAACCACACGTTGATGTTTCTCTTCCTCTTTCTTCCTCCCTTTCCCTCTGTCTAAAAATAAATAAATAAAATCTTAAAACACACACACACAAAAACTCAAAGACACATTGCTTATTCCTCTTTCTTTAAAATACATGATTTTTATCAGCCCTGTTCTCTTCTTGGCCACATCACGGCAGGAACTTAATTTATCTTTTTCCCCTCTGCATAGAACTCTTTTGAACTCCTACAGGTCCTAAGCTGAACTCCTAGCAGTTGTGAAAAGACTGCGTTGTACTAGCTGTGTGACCTTGGACAAGTCCTTAAACTCTCTGCACCTCGTGTATAAAACTCTCCCAGGTATAAAACGGGAGTGATAGTACTGAGGTCCATTGGAAGGATAAAAAGAATCTCTAAGGCACTCAGAACAGTGGAGGTTCCGGGCAGGACAGGAACAGCTGTTAGCCATTACTAATATTTTTCTGCCCATGCGTGGGCCACACTGGGTGGGCACCCAAGACTGGCCACACTTCTCAATGGTGCGGAAGCTCACAGGTCCCCACCCAGCTGGTTCCAGAACCCTCCACGGGCTGAGGGATTTGGTATTCTTTACCCCCTGCCAGGCAAACTGGTGGATCCTTCCTGTAAGTGCCCATGAGCCAGCAGAGCTCCAAGGCCTTGACCAACACGAGACCAAGGAGCTCCTGGGGCCCCTGTTGAAGGGTCGAGGGCACGGTCTACCAAGGCAGCGGTGAGGGGGGTGGGAGGGACAAAATGGGTATAGGGGAACCTTAAGGACGTGACCCAGAGTCCTGGGCACCCTGATAGCTGGTCCCCAGAGGTGCTGAGTGCACGTACACACCCCCCCCTCCTGAACCCCCCAGGTGCATGCTCCCAGACTTCTGTCTCTGCTCCTTTTCCCCCCACTTACTCCAGCTGGCTGAGGTCCTCACACGTCCTCAGCGACCTGCACAGTGTCTCCACGTGGTCCTGGCTGAGGCCACAGCCTGTGAACCTGCTGGAGGAGAGGAACGGGCTGGGACGTCGAGCCTCCCAGACCTACCAACCCCGGTGAGGCCTCCCTCACCCACGCTTGGACTCTCTGGAATATCCCACATCCACCACTTCCACCTCCCCCACAAGAGATCCCACCGGCTCCCCCACCCGCCCACACGCCCTCTGGGGAGGTGCCTCTCAAAGGAGGAACTTGTTAAGGCGTAAAGCCTGGGAACTTGTTAAGACGTAAAGCCTGGGGACTCCGCCCAGACGCCCTGAGTCAGGGACTCTAGGGGCAATGCTCTCCAGGTGGCGGATTCGGCTCCAGTGGCAGAACACAGCTCTCGGGGGTCCTTTTAATGAGCAGACATGGGTGGGGTGGGGGAAAAGGGCGAGGTCTGCTCTCACAGAGAGCCACTGATTTCAGAATTCAAAGAAGGGTAAATCCGCCCTTGAAAGGCCTAAAATGAGACCATACGATAAGGTAAAGGGAGAGGCCGTGACCAACCAGCGACTAAAAAAAAAAATCTTAAAATCAGGATGTTCCTAAAATTAGTATTTCAGGTTTTGATCCGTTACTTTCCTTCACTGTTTTTCCCACAGCCTCAAGTTCCCCTTTATGCTATTTTTAATTCCTAATTTTAAATGAGCTCATTCTTTCTATTTGATTCATTTATTGCAAATGGAAACCCTGTGTCACTTCAATGGGAAACCGGCATCGCATGCCAGGAACAGACCTCAGCGGCAAAGCAAAATGACATCATTAAATCCCAGCCAGGTGCGGACCCCTGCTGAGGGCTCTCTCTCTCTCTCTCTCTCTCTCTCTCTCTCACGAAGGGAGCTTAGTGTTGGGTGTTAAAGACCCACCAACCCTACCGGGAACCTCTTCTCGGTCTTAGTCAGACAGAGGGAGCAGTGACCTCACCAAGGACCCTGTGAAGCTGGCCTCTGCCCTACCCTTTGGAAACCGCTGACCTACAAATGGTCATGACGTTCTAGAGGTCGGGGTAGTGTCAGGCAAGGACAGGGGTCCCAAAGCTGCAGCTAAGGCCACCTGTTTTGATATGGCTTGCAAACTAAGGACGATTTTTCCATTTTCAAAAGGTTAAGGAAAAAAATCAAAAGAATGGTAGTTCATGACACAAACATTATGTGACGTTCAAGTCCCAGTGTCCTATACACAGCGAGGCCGGCATGCAGCCACCCCACTGCCGACGGACTGACTGTGCCGCTTTTAGGTCACAGCCGTCGGGTAGCTGTATGGCTTGCAACCCCCCAAATATGTATAATCTGACCCTTTACTAAAAAAGTCTGTCTGCCCTGGGCCAGGAGTGCTGCAGGATGGTCTGGGCTCCAGTCCCCAGCTGCACCCCTAACTACACGTGATGGGCACAGTGGTCACAGCTGTGAGGTGATGAGCATAAAGCTCTCACAACAGCGCCTTGCAGCCCTGGCTGGGTAGCTCAGTTGGTTAGAACATCGTTTCGATTCACCAGGATTACAGGTTTGATCCCCAGTCAGGACACAAACAATGAATGCATAAATAAGTACAACAACAAATTGATGTTTCTTTCTCTATCTCTCTTTTCAATCAATAATATTTTAAAAAACAAGAATGGTGCTTTGCAGGTGCTTAGCAAATATTAGCTCCACTGTTTATTATTTCACGGCTCAGGATGCTCTGGTCCAAGGCCTCTTGGGGAGCTGCTAGCATCAAATAGTTACCCCAAAAGTCGCCTCTGCATTCAGAGGTCACCCTTCTGCCCCGTCATCCTGCCTCAAGCTACAATACCTGCCCCTTCTCACTGGGACAGCCACAGAGCACTGGCTGGTCCAGGAGTCAGCGGGGGAGGGGCACTCAGACCGGCGACACTTGCCTCACAGGTTGGCTCGTTTAGTCCTTGCGGAGGCCCTGTGGCACGGGGCCTCCCCGCTCCCGCCACAGACTCTGAGGACCAGAGAGGTTAAGGAAACGCCCAAAGTGCCAGGTCCTTGTGGAGTTGTTTTTTTTTAATTCTTTAGTTGTACTTATATATTGATTTGAGAGAGAGAGATTTGTTGTTCCACTTACTGACGTATTCATTGGTTGCCGTATATGCCCTGCCCTGGGATCAAACCTGCAACCTTGGTGCATTGGGACGATGCTCTGTCCAACTGAGCTGCCCGGCCAGGGCTCTGGAGCTGGGACTTAAAGCCCCGTGGGCAGGTCGTGAAGTCCTTTTCCTTGAGTTCTCGGTTCTGGTCCAGTCTGATGTGTCCCTCGACAAAGGCCAGCCCTCTCTGGACCCCTGCTTCTTCATGTGGGAGAAATCGAGTCCCCTTGCAGGTCCTTCTGGGGGAACACTCTGCACGTCCTCTGCTGTCTGTCCTACTGGGCAGGTTGACTGGTCCCCACTCCCCGCTGGCTGCCAGGGCATGGCCCCGGGGGACTTACCCACAGCACCCGCCTTTCTGCTCCTTGCTGGACCTGAAGTTCACAGTCACCTCATGCAAGGACCTGCAGCACACAGTGCCTGGGTCAGCCACTCTTGGCCACAGCCTCAGGAGGCACCCCTCCTCCAGAAGCTGAGCCTCCGACTTGGGTCCTGCTGCCTCCATCCCACCCTTACACCTCCTGGCTTTAGGCACAACCCTCCAAGGCTAGCCCAGCTGTCCCAGGGCAGTGCCCACCTGAGGTCCACCTTCTGAACTCGTGGGCACAGGCTGAAGAGGCGAGCCAGCAGCACGGGGCTCCGTGCGGACAGTGGCGTCTGGCTCAACCTGAGAAGGAAAGGGGCAGGGCCCTAAGTCAGCAAGTGGGAGTCAAGCAAGATCAGTGGGCAAGGAACTGGGCTAGGCTGGTGGGGAAGGAACCAGAGGGTGGGTGAGCATGGCAATAGGAAGAAGGCAGGGACTCAGGAGGGACAAACGGGGACTTGGGGTCACACAGTCTTGGGTTTGAGAGCCGATTCTGCTTACTGACTGTGTGTCCTTGCGGGAGTCATTGAAGCTCTGAGCCTCAGTTTCCCTACCTGGCCAACAGGACCCTACTCAGAGCATCCCTTCCTCTACAGGTGTCCTGAGGATTTAATGACATCGAGTGTATGCACTGCCTAGCCAGGGGTGTCCAACCTGTGGTCCATGAACCACTTTCGGCCCAGGGTAGTTATGAATGCAGCCCAACACAAAGCCATAAATTTACTTAAAACATGATGAGATTTTTTTGTTATTATGTGTCACAGTGTATTGAATGTGTGACCCCAGACAACTCTTCTTCCAGTGTGGCCCAGAGACACCAGAAGATTGGACACCACCCCCCCCCCCCCGGCCTGGCTGATACCCAAACGTGCTAATACACCATTTCTCCCTCTGGCCCAGACTTGACAGGCAGGTCTTGATGGCAGGTAGGATGCTTCAGCGTTCAGAGTGGTTTCCTGGCTTCAGCGCTGCTGAGACTGGGGGCTGGATAATTCGATGCTGTTGGGGGCTGTCCTGCAGGTGTTTAGCAGCACCCCAGACCTCTCCTCACTAGATGCAGGTAGGAGCACTAATCCCCCTGCCCCCCACTGTGTCTCCAGCCCCCCCCCCAACAAAACCTGGCTCGCAGCAGTGCACACGCACTCTGGACTAAGTAATACAAAGTGTACGTCCGCGCGGCAAGCAGGCTGACCACACCATTCCAGACGAGACGCTGTGTGACTGGGGCGTTGAGAAGTCCCTCTCTGGCCTGAGGTTTTGCTCCTGTTCATTTTAAGCTGCCACCTTCTGTGTCCAAAGCAGCCCTTCCTGACCGGTTCTCTCCTGGCAGGGTGGGACGGGAGTGGGTGCCCTGGGGCTTGGCATGAGCTCTGCGGCAGGTGCCCACCTCTGAAATGTCCCTGTCTCCCACCCCTCTCCACACGGGACTCAGGGATGGTGGGGACCCTGGCTGGGAACGGAGCCACCTCAGGAGTCCTGGAGATCCTTAGCATCAGAACCGGTGTGGCTGTGCTCAGTGGTACGATTTAATTTCCTCCTGTACTTTTCCATCTCACCTGCAGCCTTCCCTGCTGCTAGAGGAAGATTTAAAGCAAATCCTTTCTAAATTCTAACCAGCCTGAGCTGAAATTAGAAAGTAGAATTTTAAATACTTTAGGGATGCTGCTAAATCCCCCTTTAACCATGTTGGATGGTGACCTTTTAAAAATGGTGCGTGGCTACACAGGACCCACAGGCGTGAAGTCCCTTTCTAGGAGCAGGTGCCTTCTCCGTGGGCGGGGAGAAGTATGACAGCCCACCTATCTGGTTTGAGTCTCCTCCTCTGGTTTTGAGGGAGGGGTTGGGGAGTACTAACCCCATTTATCAGATGAGGAAACTGAAGCTCAGAGGGGTCAAATTACTCCCCCTAAAGGTTGATAAAGGATGGGAAAAGAGCTGGAAGCAGTCTCAGGCTCCCAGTTGAGACAGATAAAGAGGAGGAGGGATGGGAGGGGAGGGGATGGCTTTGCAATGCACAGAAAAATGGGAAAACAGTCTTACTGCAGGAGGCTCAGCTGGGGGATACTCGGCAAGTGCCACAGCAGGGTGTCAAGGCTCTGGTCGCTCAGGGCCACGCAAGACAATCTGTGAAACACAACATCTGAGTGAGGTGCGGAGCTTGGGAGCTTGGCCGCACAGCTGCCCAGAAATGAACCCTCTGCCAGGGTGTGGCCTAAACATCCCCTCGGAACACTGGGAATTGGAGTTACCACAGAGGCTGGAGGAAAAGGAAGACCCCACCCTGCACGTTCGGGAAGTGCTGTGTTATGACAAGTCAGTTTTTCCTGACTTCTCAGGAGAGCCTTTTTAGAAGCATCAGCTGTAGTGCAAAACAAAACAAAACAAAAAGCCCAAAAATCAAGAAAACAAACCAAAACCAAAACAGAAACCAAAACCAAAAGTACTGGAAGCAGCCTAGATGTCTACCTAGATTCTGGGGCTGATGTTGGGGCGTGCGGGGAGGAGGGGTGGCTGAATAATTTGTGGCTTGTGCACACTGTGGAGGGTTAGTGTTAAAAAGCAAACATGGCATAAGAAACACACAATCGGGGCAATGAGACGTTGACAGGGTATCTGATGGTTTTAGTTCGGCATACAATGATGTGACTGCTATAGGGTCCTTAGGACTTTGACTAAGTTTAGATTGAGTCCTAGCTCTAGAAACCATCTCTCCCTCTGCCTCTAAGAGCCCTAACCTTTTCCCCAGGTAACCAGCAGCCCTTGAGGCAGCGGAACACAGTGGCAGGGACCTGGGAAATAATCGGGCTAAAGATAGCATCTCGACTAAGTTATATCCCAGCTCCTGAACCCTCAGGTGGAACAGACCCCCAGCTACCCTCCCAGGAGATCAGACAGAAGGACACTGGAAAAGACCTCCAAGCTGCCCTCAAGGCCCAAAGAGAGGATTCATCACCTCCACTGACCAATCACCTTCCAGCACAACCACAAACCCCTAACCTTCTGTGTCTTATGATTTCGTCTTATAGACTCTGTAACCTGCATGGCACCAAAAGCCATTCTGCTCCTGAGTCCAGCTTCCCATGCTCCCAGATGGCACCACTCATAACAAGATGGCACCATTCAGAAGAAGAGAGCCAATATTTCACCCTGCAGTTCTGGGTGTCGACTGCGGCTCTACAAGCACAGGCTGGATGAACTCCCGCTGTTCTGCAATGACACTGGCTTTGTGGGAGGTTAAAAACCAGAGTACTGGTCTTTTAGCTGGGCACACGGAACATCTACGGAGGAAGTTATAAGGCGCCTTGGAATTGCTTCAAAATCACGTGTGTGTGCATGCATCTGTGCTCATGTGTACGGGCGTGTGCACAGGTGTGTGTTGGGGCCTTGGAGAGAGAAATTATTGAGGCAGGTCGGGGGGAAACTGTAGCTAAGGGTTTCGTTCTTGCCTGTGACACATGTGCCGTGTTAATGGGCAGTGTTAACAAGCAGGGGCGGCTGGGCGAGGGAGCTCCGGACTAGCTTTGCCGCTTCTCTGCAAACCAAGTCCGGAACTATTCAAACCTGAACGTGGGGGAAATCCACTGGGTCCTCCCATCTGGATGTTCCAAGAAAGCCCAGGGCAGAGATCTTATGTGATAAGATCCTGTGTCTGTTTACAACGTGGGCGGCCCCTCCCCCTGGGTCCCACGGGTTTGAACTTGTAGGAAGGCGTGGAAGGACGTACACAGCTGGTCACCACGGATAAGCCTGTTACAAGGCCTGGGGGCGTTTGAGATAGGAGCTGGAAATCCCGGGGTGGAGAGCGCAGGGGAGGGACTGGCAAAATGGAAAAACCCTTGAGGTGCAATGGGAGGTAACACTGTAGCATTCGGCTAGTCTGTGAGCACAGAGAGGTAAAAGCTGGGCTCGCCAACCGACAAGGAGCAGAAAGTCACAAACACAATGGCAACTTTGATGAGCCGAAGGGGTCGTGTAGGTGAGGCAGGTTTGTCTTTATTTTAAGGTAATTACGGTAATAAAACTACAGCAAAGACAACAAAAGGAAAGGCCGACTGTCCTGTTTACACAGGACAAAGCTAGGCCCAGTGAGTTCAAGTCCAAACTTCCCAGCTTGAGGGTGACTCAGCCAAGACCCCTAGTTTCGAGTCCTGGCTTTGGTCACAGCCCCAGGGGTTCTGGGTGGGGGCACTGTTCACCCAAAGGGGGATGCCCTGAGGTGGGGCCTTCAGAAGTGATAGGCCCAGGTGGGTGCGAGACAGGGTGGGTTGGCCCTGTCCAGCCCTGGGCCCAGCACAGCCTCTCTGAGCCGAAGCAGCGAGGAGCTGGGCTACCAGGAGCAACAGGGCTTCTCAGTGGTCAGGGAGCGCCCACGGGGCTGGCGGGAAGGAACCAGAAAGGACTCACCTGGGTTCTAGTGGGGACACCCAGCCCCACTCCCCCCAGGTGGCTGGGCAGATGCCTGCGTTGCGCCCTCTGGGGCTGCGTCCTCCTCACTTACTTGACCTCCAGGGGTCCTGGGCACTTCTCCAGGGTCTTACAGAGGCTGGTGAGGCTCAGGGGTTCCAGCTGACACTCTCTGAGGCTGCAAAGAGTCAGGGGGCAGAGCAGGGGCTCAGAGAGGGCTCAGGGCCCCTGTCCAGCCCCAGGGGCCCTCCCCTCCTCCCAAGAACGCTGGTCCCCGGGCTGCAGGCAGCAGGCTACTCCCCAACCAACCACACTCTCCACCCCCAAGTCTCCCAGAGCCCCCACTCCCTCCAGTCTGAGCCTCAGAGTGTCCAGCTACCCTCCCCCTCCCCTAAGGGCTCCCCGCCGAGTCCGGCCAGAGTCTGGGCCACCCCTGCCCCTCCCCCGGCCACATCAACACCCTCTGGCTTTCCCCACTTGCCTCCCTGCCGTCTTCCTCCACCCTGCCAGGGTCTTCTCTTTCAACAGTGCAAACCCGGCCAGGCCTCTCTGGGGCCAAAAGCCCTCAGTGGCCCCTACTCTCTGAGGCTGACAGTAGAACACCTTTTCCACAGCCCTTCGTGCCCCATGCTCCCTGAATAGGCTCCGGCCCCAAGAGCCAAGTTTTCACTCCTCCGGGCCTCTGTGAGACCTGGCCAACCTGCCCGGACACCCACACCCCCTTGGGACAACCCCAGCTCAGTGAGGAAATCAGGGCCAGGAGCAGGGAGGGGCCCAGCCAGGGTTTCACAGCCCCTCACGGCAAAGCCGGAGTTCTTCAGGGAAATCTGTATGGCCTCGGAACTCTGGCAGCCAGCTCTGTGGTGTCTGGAGCCGTGGTGCTCACACTCAGCCTCCTTCTCTCCCCTTCTTTCAGATTCTCTTCCCCTCTCTCCCAGTCCCCAGCCTACCCCTCCCCCAGGCTCTCCTCACTCCCTGAGCCCCCACCCCATTGTGGTTACCCCCAAACAAGAAGTGGGTAAGACGGTACCAGAAGCTCCTGGGGGTGCAGGGCCGACCGAACCCTGAGGACTGGGCTCCAGCTGGGAACTCTGGCAAAGGCTCGCCAGCCGACAGGTCCCTTGGAGTGGGGGAAACATTTTGAGAAGCAAGTTCAAATCATCCACACTGGAAGATGAGACCCATCAGTCAGGGCTGGAAGGGACCCTCATGACAATCAAACCCCTCACTGTACAGATGGGGAAACTGAGGCCCAGGGCAGGGAAGCCACAGTGAGAAAGACAGCAGCTTACACCTGTCCAGGGGGCGGCACCTGACCAGGTTCAGGGGAGCCAGGACAGCCCCTCCGGGATCTGATCACCGATGTGGCCTTCACATGACTTCTGTCTCCCTGAGCCTCCATTCTTTTGGCCTCAAAAACCCAGAGGGTCCCCAGAAACAGAGAACCCTAGACCAGGAAGCAAGATCACCCCAGCCATGGGCCCTCCCTGGTTTCAGATGGCCACCTGGCATGGCAATGCTGTCCCCTGTCACATCAGCCCAGCCAGCCCCACATTAGGCAGCTCCTATGCCCGCCAACCTTGCAAAGGAGATGGGGTGCCCCGCTAGGGGGCAGCTGGGAGCACCTGCGGAGAACTAGCCATTGCTCATTGTTTACAACACAGACATGGAAATTTGCAGAGCATCAACGGTTTTTGCAACTCGAGCCTCAGAGTGTGAAAGTCAGTGAGTCACATGAAAGCCTGAGGTCTGCAAAAGTCCCCGAGGGACAGAAATAGTGTTTCTCTTCCCTCTCACGTGGCCGCCCTCTGCTAGCACCTGCTCTGCTGTGGCATCACACACCCGTCCCTCCCCTCCATCCGCACTGGCTCCTTCCAAGAGAGATTTAAGGCAGCTGATCACTGCAAATTTATATGAGCGGGTGCAGTTTACTCTAGAGCTGGCAGTGGGTCTGGGGTGGGGGGCTCTTGCAGGAAATGGGGACCACAGGGAGAGGGTAGCCCACCTCACCCTCGGAGCTCTCTGTCCTCACCTGGCTCTTCTGTCACCTCTCAGGATGACACGTTGGCTCTTGAAGCTGCAGGCAGAGAGGAGGCAGCAATTAAGAGAAGAGGCAAAGAGCCCACTTCCCAGGAAGGGGCCAGAGAGCAGACTGACCAGGGCAAGGGGGCCCTGGAGGGCGGCCTGTGTTCCCAGCAAACGCCACGAGAACTCTACTGACAACCACCACGTGTACCAGGGCATGTACACAGCACGCCAGCGACATGATCTCCTTTGCTTCTCACGCTAACACTGAGAGATAAGGAAGTATTCATATCCCCATTTTACTGATGAGGAAACTGAGGTGGGAGAGGCTCAATGAGCAACTCAAAGCCACAGTGCACGGAAGGGGTGAGCCTGGACTTGAACCTGATCTGTCTGCTATCACACCTCCCACTTTTGGGAGGGGAGGGCAAGGAATGGTGGCTTCCTGTGAAAGCGTGGATGATCTGCACTGCATGTCCCGGGGCTGGGGGGCTCGGGGGCTGGGGGGCTGGGGGCCTTTTCCCTGCTACAGTCTTGTCAGCTCCAGAGACCCCACAATGAAAGCAGGTTCCTGAGCATTCAATGGGCACAAGGGAGCTCCCAGCTTTCTTCAGAGTCACCCAGAACAATCCAGATAGTGAGTTAGAGAGTCAATGGGCTGTGTCCCATGGAGGAATCTGAGTGTCTCTGGGGCTCCACCCATCCATCCATCCATCCATCCATCCATCCATCCATCCATCCATCCATTTGTCCATTCAGCAGACACCCATCACACTCACTGACTGGGTCTCCCGCACGTCTTGAGGATGCTCCACCGCGAATGCTGCAGACGGGCCCGGGTGGGGGCGGGGGTGGCGGGAACTAGGTGGGGGCCCAGAGGCACACTCACCTGACATCCAGGTGGAGAACCCACCGCACAGTAGAGAAGCACTGGACCAAGCTGAACACGGTGTCCAGGGACAAGCCATTCTCGCTGAGACTGTAGAACCGCAGGAGTGGTGTTACAGGGGCGCCCAGGACTTAGAAACGCCCTGTCTGTGGTCAGAGCACCGGGGTGTGGACAGGGCTACCCCTGACTGCAGACGGTGAAACTCACTGAATTCTGGATGGTCGGGGCGCCTCTTCCCACTCCCCCTGTACGGACTGGGAAACTGAGGCCCATGCAGCAGCAAGGTCGTGCCCGCAGTCCCCTCTGTTTGGGATGAACCTGGGGAGCACTTTTAGGAGGGGTGGTGTCCAGTGACAAATGAAAATGGAGGAACTCCTCTTGCTTAAAAAGCAGGAACAAAGGTGTCCCTTCCCTTCCTCATCTGTCAGTCTGTCGAGTGGTTTTGATTTGCCAATGACACAGACCTCAGGACGGGGTCCTGGGCGGTGACTGCAGATGCTCCCAGGCCCTGAGTCAAACCAGGAGTTCACAATACTGAGAAGATCAATACGAGGGTTCGCACCAATCAGCATATAATTTGCCTGTAGGGGTGAGGACCTCCCTGCAACCCAGGTCCAGGTCCCCTGACCTGAGGCAACCTCCCCTCCTTCCCAGGACACCAGTGAGGCTGTCTAGCAGGAAGGACCCTCGGGCCACAGCTCTCATTCTAAAGCTGCAGACAAAATCCACCCCCTGTACAGTTCACGGTGTCAACTTGACTGGCAGGGGCTCGGAGAGCTGCTGTAACTTGCCCGAGGCCACAGAGGAAACACAGGGCCTGTGGCCTCTCCCCAGCTCCTCTCACTCTGTCCCAGAAGAGCTAGGGGGGGAGGAGGGGATGTGGGAACCAAAACCACAGGGCCCAGGAATTCCAGTCTGCCTGCTCAGGCAGAGTCTGGGGGTTCCTACCAGAGCCCCCCTCCCATACTGAAGGTCTCCCCTGTCTCCGCCAGGTGCTCAGAAGCCCTGCTTGCCAGTCCTGTGCCATCTGAACCGGCCCTGCCTGCCCGGCTTGCTCGGTATCAAACAGCCCCACCCTGCACCCGAGGGCGGCAATGGCTGCCAGCCATCTGGCTAATCAGCTCCTGCTCCCCACCAGGCCCGCCTCACCCCAGGCGACCTGGGCCTCCTAGAGGCAGGTTCCGGAAGGGAGACCTTCCATCAGAAGCTGGATCTTTGAGTCTCTATTTTAATGAGAATCACGCCCTTTCCTGAGCACATGTCAGGGACTAGGCTAGGCCACGGACAGGCATTTTCTCATTTAATCTCGTGCACAACCTCAGGAGAGAGTGAGATGGGAAGACACAGGAGAAAGGCCCCCACCGCCACCCCTCCCACATCCCTTCACTCTGATGAGGAGGAGCCTCAGAGGCTGTGCCCAGCCAGCTACTCACTTCAAGGACTGCAGAGTCCCCAGCCCTGGGAGCCACTGCACCAGCTGGGCCGCACCTTGGTCCCCCAGAGCATTCCCTGATAAGCTGGGAGGGGCAAGGGGAGAACAGGTTAGTGGAGGGGGGGATGGGCAAGAGCTTGGTCTCTCCACCCCACTCAATCTCTCCTCTTCTCCTAAAACTGGGCCGGCAGGCCAGATCTTAGCATGTTGCTCTGGGTCAGCTGGGGTCTCCCCCAGGGCCTTTATCCTGAACTTTGTGACCCTGAGGGGGCCAGGAATGGGCTTCAGATGGAGTCAAAGGAGAAGGACCTTTATCTAGGGGTTAAAGGCACAACTTTTACCATGTCTTGAAGGGGTTCCGGACTGCAGCAGGAAAAGAACCGCTGATCTAAATCTTAAAAAACCAAACCCAACACTCACAAACCCACTAGTCCAATAGCAGCCACTCACTCGAGGTGGCCCAGGCAGCAGCTTCCTCTCAGTGCGGCACAGAGCTCCTCTAGATGCTCAGCTCGCAAACCGCAGTGCACCAGCCTGCAGAGGACAGAACCGCAGCCCTGCAGCCCTGCCCCGCCCTGCCCAGCGGAGGCCAGGGCGGCAGCCACCCCAGACACACAGGCAGAGAGGACAAGGCTTGCAGGAGTGGGCTGGGACACATCTGACACTCACACAGACAGACAGACAAAGAGAGGCAAACACACAACACACTGAAGGCCGCAACACATGGGCAGAGAAGAACCAGAGACTGAGACATAGACAGAGAGAGACCAAGGTGGACAGACCCGAGGTTGTGGGGCGGGGGGGAGAACGAGAGAAAAGACCGGTGCACATTCAAATGCGCACATACATGGTGCCAGAGGAAGGCAGACAGTCAGTGAGAAAGAGCCATGGGTAATGAGACAGATGAGGACTGAGAGAGACGGACAGAGAGGGAGGGAGCTACAGATGGACAGAGAATAAGAGAGAGGGCCAGTACCGATGGGTGCCCTGGGGGACTGAGCTGAACCTCCAAGCCCAGGACCCAGGATCTGAAAAGAAGGAGCTGCAAGCTCCCAATTCTCTCTGTCCAGAGTTCCCACAACCCCTCAGCTGCTGGAGGCTGGGGGCGCTAAGGGGATGGGGTCAATGGGTGAGGAAGGTGACCACGGGGGCTGCCTCATGAGCCTCATCTGCAATGGGCTGAGCAGAAGAGGTGGGAGGCTGGGAAGCCAGGCTCTAGCTGATGGATGCAGCAGGTGGGGTCCTCCAGGAAGCACCGAGGGCTGGGGGCTGGGGACAGGCTTTGTGCAGAGGAAGGAGGGAGGCTGGATCCACACTCGGGACCTGCAGGTCATCACTGTACCTGACCCTTGGGGAGCACCGGGGCAGCTCAGAGGGCATCTGGAGCATAAGGCTGTCAGGAAACACAGCCCTGGGGAGACACACAGCAAGGCCGGGCTGAGCAAACGCCTCATCACTGTCTCCAAAGTCCGTCCTCAGCTTCACTTCCCACCATCCAATCTGTACATGGGCCTGGGGACGGTCAGACCTTGGTTCCAACCGGGCTTCTCTGCTTGCTGGCTGTGTAACCTGGGGCAGATCGCCCAGGCGTTTACTGGGAGCATGTATGCAAATGCTCTTAGTCTGGTGCTTGGTGCTCAATTAACCTTGGCTGTAAGTATCATTAATCCCATCCTCCTCCTCCTCCTCCTCCTCCTCCTCCTCCTCCTCCTCCTCCTCCTCCTCAGTGCCTTCAGAGACATCAGCCTTGGCTTCAAGCGAGTCTCCGAAAGCTCAGACCCTACAGAAGATATTGCAGGCGGACACTGAGGAGCAAGGAGCTGAGTCTCTACCCATGTGCTGGGCTGGGGTAATGCAGGAAGGCACCTTGGAGGAGGCCAAGACTCTCTAAAGGGTCCTTGTGACTAAGGGAGCCAGAAGTTCTGACCAAAATCAGTGCTACAGGCCAGAAGGCCCTGGGAGTTCAGGTCGAAGGCCCTTGGCCTCTCTGGCTGCTCCACCCTGCCCCAGAGTCCCCCTCCACCCTGAATCACAGGGCTCACTCAGCCCCCACTAGGGACATGGGGCAGCGGTTTGTCCTATGACCCTCCCCTGTAGGGCTGCACCCCCCTCTAAGCCTGCTGGCTGGCGGAGCCTTTGTGAATTTGCCAAGGTCCCCTGGCAGTTGCGTGGCACTGTCCAGCTTGGGGAGCCAGGGAGGAGGTGGCGCTCGCTGGCCCAGGGTGGGGCGGGATGCTATTGAGGCCCTACCTCTCCTGGGTCACCTCCTGCGCCTCCGGCTCCGGGGCAAACGTGAGGACCACAGTTTTGTGCTTGAGGCTGCGGCGAGAAAAGAAGGAGGAAGCAAGAGGCTTATGGAGTCCCTTCTGCTCTGTGTCATGTTTCAGCCCAGCCTGGAGGGACCTCCTAGGTGCCACCCCCAAGCCTTTAGCTGCAGCCCTTCCCCCAGACCCTCCCCTGACTCCCTCCGAGCTTCCTGGGGGCCTGAAGTCTTCCCTCCACAGAGATTTCACCCATTTATCTGCCCGCATTTCCTAACAAGTCCTTGAAAGAAGACTTTAGTTCTTTAGTCGCTCTGCTTTGGGCCTCAGGCTGATACCCCTGCCTGTGCCCACTGGTGGCGCCCTCGGCAGAAGGTGCTCACCCGGCAGGGCGAGGTCACTGCCAGGTCAGGAGAACCCACACGAGGCTGTAGCTTACAGCCGTGCATCCCTAACCTCGCCTTGCAAACCGAACGTATGTATATATTTTTCTCATCACAAAAGTCATACTACATTGCCGTGGGGAACTTAGAAAGTACAGAAAAGTAAAAGGAACATGAAGGAAAATCACCCACAATCTCTCCCAATATCAAGACCACCGATAACATTTGGGAGTGGGTCCTTCACGTCTTTCGTTCATTTAAAAAAAATATTTCTCTTTACTATTAAAGATTTTATTTATTTATTTTTAGAGGATGGGGAAGGGAGGGAGAAAGGGAGAGAAATATCAGTGTGTGGTTGCCTCTTGCATGCCCCCTACTGGGGACCTTGCCTGTAACCCAGGCATGCACCCTGACTGGGAATCAAACCAGGACCCTTTGGTTCACAGGCCCGAGCTCAATTCACTGAGCTATACCAGCCAGGGTACGTCTTTTGTTTTTTAATGCAGTAAATATTCTTTCTTTCTTTTTTCTTAAAAACTGGGGTTAAAATGGCAAACTCTCTTCTAAAAGTTAGGTTTGCGAGGGACAGATGCAGCAAGAGCAACAAAATGTTGATGACTGTTGGTGGGAACAGGGTGTTCTGTCAGACCGTCCTCCCCAGCCTTGAGCACGTTTGAAAGGCTTTATTATGAAATGACGAGTTAAAGCATTTATGTCCCCTTCATACAGCGTTGCACGCTAACACCGCAGCTGTACCATGACTTCATTCTGTTCTGCTCTCTGGGGGCAACCAGGACTGAGAAGGGTGGGAGAGCCGGGTGCTCGGGGCTGGAGGAGGGACTGGGTGACGGGTGTCCACTGCGAGCTCACCTGACGTGCAGGTCCGCCAGGGTCCGGCATGTGCTCAGGGCACTCAGCACTTCGTGAATCCCAGCCACCGAGAGCCCGTTGTCGCTGAGGCTGTGGAGAGCGGGAGAGGGGCAGCCATCAACAGGCGGCTGAAGTCTCCAGCCCCAGCAGCTCCAGCCCCGCCCCCCTCCTGGCTCAGCAGCTGGTGGCTTCACTCCTGACATGTCCTGGCTGCTCAACCAGGGAGTCTCAAAGGATTCTGGCCCACATGGGTGAGTCAAGAGATGCCCTGGAGCGACAAGAACCTGCTCACTGTTTTTTGCCTCTCTGAACCTCAGTTCCCTGGTGTGTAAGATAACCACCATTCAAAGCGAATTTAACCAAAGGGGAGACTGAAGCTCAGAGACATCACATTGCTTCCCCTAGGTCACAAAGCCCCTCAGGGACAGAGCCAGGATTTCGACACAGAGCCAAGCCTCCAAACCAGCTGCCGCACCCCAACACTCCCCCACCCCAGCCCCCACCTGGTGCTGAGACCCCAACACACCCACCCAAGCAGCGCCCCACTCCACACCACGCAACCCCACAGCACATCCAAGAGCTCGCCTCACCACCCACCCTTTCACCCCAACACTGTGCCCCCCCCACCACAATGCTCCCCACCCCAACATCCCAATCCAACACCCCAATGTTGCCTCAATGCCACACGCCACCCCCGCCTCCCATGCCCCCTCCCCACCGGGGGCAGTTGTAAGGACCAGCTGCAACACAAGCCACGGGGGTTAGAACGGGGACTAAGTGGCTCATGTCAGAGACAAAAGCAGGGCGTGACTGAGTCACCCCCACTTTGCTGCAGTTGGGGGAAAGGAGGGGGTGGGGGCAGCTCTCTGAGCGACCGTGGGCACAGGGCTCAGGGGTGGCGGGGCCAGCCCGGACTCTCCAGGGCCCCCCTGTTCCCCGACAGGGTGGGCGACACTCACTCCAGCTTCCTGGCGATGTGCCGCTGGGAGGCGGCCTCCGCCACGCACAGACAGCCTTCGCTCTCCAGCCGGTTCCCTGAGAGGCTGAGACAGAGGGGCCGCTTTCCTGGGCTGCTGGGGTGGGTCCCCCCAACCCTTGGCATGGGTGCAGCCCCTCACTGACTTTAGCAAAGCATCACTCCGGTTAGCGAACCCCCTAACAACAAACGCTGGGAGACAGCGTCCTGGGAACTTTTACAATTAGATTTTTCATCCCCGCGACAACCCTAGGAGGCAGGCGCTAGTATCCTCCTCATCTCACGGATGAGTAAACCGAAGCACAGACTGGTGAGGGCACTCACTCAAAGGCGGACCTGGGATTTGAACCTAGGCAGCCTGAGGTCAAGGCCCCGCCCACAACCATTTACTTATGGTACAACCTGCATGGTTACTGCCTGGGATGAACTCCATGGTGATAGGGGCGGGTGACCTAGTCTGGGATCAGGGAGGCTCCCCTGATGTTGGAGCTGCTTGCTAGAAAAACTAGGAGTGCAACAGGCAAGGGGTGGGTCACAGGGTGGGGTTTGGGGGTTGGGAGCAGGTTCTGGATCCCACGAGATTTTAGGATTGGGGCTTTATCCCGAGCAGTGGGAGGGAGTGAAGGGGACAGGTAGGGGTGAAATGCAGTTTACACTGTGCCAGGTGGAGGTGGCCAGGGTGGCAGCAGGGAGCCCAGGGCGGGGGCTGGTGGGGTCATCCAGGTGACAGAGGAGAGCGCAGGGGGGGTGGAGGGGAAAAGTTCGGTTTGGAGAGCTGTGTAGGGCACAGGTCAGCTGAGGATGGACTGGATGTGGGCAGGGGGGAGCTGAGAGGGGACTGGCCCACGTAACCAGGTGGTTGATGGGGCCCTGGCTGTAAGGCAGAGCAGGGGGGCAGAGGCAGGCTGGCGGCGGCGATGTGGGTAGAAGCATGCAAGCTGGGTAAACCCACCTTTTCTAATCTTGCCTTGGCTCTCCTTGTGGGATAGGCCAGGGTGTGTAACTAAGCTTTAGTCAGTGAAGCCGCCTGCATCCACCCATGGTACCTTGGTGGGGGGCCACTCCCCTCAAAACACATGCTGGCAGCCCATCACTCCACCCTCACACCCATTTGATGCCTGGGATGGTTCTGGCAGGGGTTCCCCCGCTGACATTACAGGACCTCCACCCTCCCCCAAGCCCCTCTCTCAAAGGCTCTGCCCAGGAGCGGGGCATCATGGAAATTTCTCCAGCCAGAAAAGAGGTCCTCTCACTGTAGTCTGGGAGGAGGACAGGGAGAGGGGACCCCGGAGGCTATGGTTGGGAAGACAGATGCAGGTGTGGTGAGGTTGCTGCTTTGCCAATCTCAGTGACAGTAGTCGTGAGGATGAGTGGTCATGAGCAGAGTAAGACTGAACTTGAACCCTGGCCTGAACTTGCCCTAGGTGTGTGACTTTGAGCAAACTTCCCTTTCTGTGGCTAGATTTCCTCCTCGATGGAAGGAATGTGCACGGTAGTGATACTTAGGTCCTAGAGGTAGGAGGATTACAGCGGAGGGTATATGTAAATGCCCTTGGCACAGGGCAAGTGCTAAAATGCAGTGCCTGTTATGATGGTCTGATTCCCTCAGGTTCTTGGTGAGGCACCTTCCCCACGCCATGCACCCCAAGCTGAGGCCCTTTCTATACCCACCCCACCGCCCTCCCCTCCCATCTCCTGCCCCAGAGCCTCCCAAGATACTCACTCTACTTCGTCCAGGCAGGGGCCTTCCCGGAGCTGGGCTATGAGCATCTCCACATCATAAATGGTTAGCTGACACTCCTGCAGCCTGGGGTGGGGTGGGGGCCAGAGGGGTTCAGGGCAAGACCTACACAATGCCTCCTCCATCTCCCAGGTCCACTGCTAGGCATGGGAGCCGAGGGAGCCCGGAGGCTGACGGACCTGCTGGCTAATGCGGGCCTGCTTCTCAGTAACTGGGTGACCTTGGACGGGGCACTTCGCCTACTTGAGACTCAATCCCCTCCTCCGTCAAGTAGGAATAACACTGTTTACTTTGCAGAATTTTTCAGAGTGACCAGGAGGTAATGGGTGTAAAACACCACGGTGCCCAGCACATAGCAGGGGCCCATTAAGTTACGGTTATTATGTTGTTGTTTTGCTAGATGCTCCCTGTTGAGGCCAGGGTGGGCAATCTGTGTCCTCTCCCTGCCCCTGGTCTGCTTGTCCCTTTACCCTCCCTGTCCCTGCTATGCGTCCCCTGAGAAGGGAGCCTCTGCCCCATCGTATCCCTCCCCTTAAGGCAATAGATTCCGCTGAGGTACCTGAGGGTCAGGCTTCTTCTCTGAGCCTCTCTGCTCTGGCTGGCATTTCCCTGAGGACCTGGGGATCTGGCAAGAACAAATCCATCATTGGTCTGGGCTCAGGAGTCCAAGTTCTGCTCTTGGCTTCCAGGGCCTGAGGACTCTTTAGCATGTCCCACAGAGAATGAATAACGAAGATGGTTGCTTGAAGGTGCTGAAGGCGTTATTCAACAAAGCAGCAGGAGCAAAAGGTTTGAAGTCAGATGGAACCTTTATTCCAATTCTGGCTTGGCCATCTATAGCTGTGTGGCCTTAGGCAAGTCACATCACCCCTGAGCCTCCGTTTTCTCTTTTCTAGAATGAAATGGCAATATCTAATGCGTAGAGTGCCGTGTGGATTGTATGGGGTGACATGTGATCAAGCGCCCACCACAGGCACAGAGCTGAAGCTTAGGGAGAAGCCACTGCTGTTGGTGAAGGTGTGGTGGTCTCTGCAGACGCACCACCTGGGGTTCAGGAGGCAGGGAGCAGGGACTGTACATGGGTCAGGCTGTGAAAAGCCACCGCACCTCAGACTCTCTTTCACTGGGCCAGGGGCATGCTGGGGTCTGTAGAGAGGCTGGGACATTGTGACCCAGGTTTTCACAGACCTGGAGATCAGTGCCATCCTGCAGAACTTCCAGCAATGGTGCAAATTCTATATACTGAGTTATAAGTTATGTAAGTTATAAGTTTCTACAATGGTGCCATCCATTCCAGCAGCCATTAGCCTTCTCTGGCCACTGAGCATGTGAAATGTGGCTAATGTGACTGATGAACTGAAATGTCCATTTTACTTAATTTTAAGTCATATCAATTTAGATGGCCACAGGTAGCTAAGGGCTACTGGGTGGATATCATGTCACTAGACACAGGGGAAAAGCACAGTGGTCCTACTGAATCACTGTATGGGTGAGGAAACTGAGGCTCGGAGCAGGGAAAGGACATGCTCAAGGACACATGACTTTATCTGCCTCTGAGTCTGAGCTGGGGGGTGGTGTGGGCGGGCATGGATGGAATGGTCTTTCATGGAAAGCCAGCTTCCCTTTCTTTGCCCATCCAGGACTGGCCGAGCTGGGATCCATGCACTGCTGGAATAGCCAGGGTAGAGTGCTGGCTGGGTGCCATTAGTGTTCTAAGAACTTTGAACATATTATTTCATTTAATTCTCAGAACAGCTCTAAGATAGAAGTATCATAATTGCCTTCCCCCCTTGTTTCCAGTTATAAGACCCTTCACTTCTGGGGATGCTCCCTCAGCACAGGAGCCAGATGTGGTCCAGAGATGCTGGAGGAAGCTAAAGTCCTTTGCCAACTCTGAGAAGTCAGTCACTTCTCCGGGCAGCGGTAGTAAGGAGAATCCCCACTCTGAGGCTCTCCTAAGCTTCCTTCCTTCGCCACCTTTCCCCACAACTGCCTGAAGCAAGATCACATCTCAGGAGCCCAGACCCATGCCCTCCCTCACTTCTTACCCACGTAGCTCTGCAGCTGCCTCTGCGGGTGGGGAGAGAAGGATGATGAGGTCCGTCTTCCTGCAGGGTCAAACACCAAGCCGTGAAACCCGTGGACTGGAAACCAGCACTGCACCCCTGGCCCACGCACCCGTTGCTGCCCCCCAACAGCCAGAGAAAGCTGATCTTGTGATTGACAGCGGAACAACAGACCTGGGAAAAGTGCTCCAAATCAGACACATAAAATAGTGGCCATGTGCTTGTGGGATGAATCCCGAGTGTCTCAAAAGTCAGGAAAACAACTTTTACAAGATAGGAACAATTAGCAATGCTGAGAGATTTTTATGAGTTACTGTGTTTAGGACTGAGAGGCATAGCACTTAAACCCAGGACCCAGACAGGCAATGCTAGTTCAGCACCACGGAGAGCGACACGTGGCCTCATTGCTTGGGCTGTTGCTTCCTAGATTTGTTGATTCATTCTTTCCTCCATCGGTCCTCTGTCAGTCAGTCTGTCTGTCCGTCTGTCCTTTCACTCACAACTTATTGAGTACCAGGTGCCAGGCCTGAGTGGGTGAGGCTCTGGATACACTGAAGCGAGTAAAACAGACTCAAGCAGGTCCATCTTGCAGACTAGGGGGCTCCTCTTTTTCCTCCCCCCTCTACTCTTCTCAAGACCCTGAACATCAGGCTCCCAACCCCTCTGCTCACCTGACTTGCAGCATCCTGATAGTCGGGCACGTGACCGCCACTTTTGTCAAGCACAGTAGTGTTGATACGGAGATGTTGTTCTGGCTCAGGCTGCATGATTGAGGCAAAGGCACCAGAAGTGAATGCTCTATCCCACGGGGCCCAGAGCTTTGCTCTCTCTTCAAGGGCGGAGGGTGACTCAGGCAGGGGCTCAGGTGGAAGGACTGCTTACTCAAGCTTCTGGAGCCACGGCAGGGAAGGGAGGACCTCCACGATTTTCAGCACCTCCTGGTCCTTGAGCTGATTGTCCTGAAAACTGCAGGGAGACCAAGTCCCTCAGTCCTGGGGAAGGGGCACTTAGAAGCTTCAAGTTGGTGGGTGACAGGCATGGCCACCCTCACGGGGGGAGACAGAAGGTGGGGCCCAGCATGAGCTGGTGACCAGTTTCATGGTGTCCAATGTGTCCAGCTAGGAGGAGAGGCCCTCTGCTGGCCTTACTTCTGTTCTTGTTCGGTCCCTATGGGGGGGGGGGTTCTGGCTGGTGGCTCAAGGGATGCAGGTGTGGGCTCTGAAGGCTCACGAGGTGGGATGGGGAGACCCAGCAGACCCTGCTCTCAGGGACTAGTCTGGGATGTGCCTGAGGCCAAGTTCATCGGCAGGGCTTTTTGGCTCCCAGGTGATGAGCTGTCTAGACTGGAGTGCAGCAGAGGCCACTTTCAGCCTCAGCTCTGGCCCTGACTCCCCAGAGCTCTAGGCCAAGTGCATTCCTTCCTGACCTCATTTTCCTCACCAGCCAGGTGGGGTCCACAGCCCCACCCCGCCTGGGTTCTTAAGCTGGAGGGACAGAAGAACTGAAGAGTTCAAGGGCACCTTTGTATGTGATCATTCTGGCCAGAAAAAGGGTTTGGAGAAATGGAACTTGTTGACCTTCACTTTTCTAATTATTGAGTGCAACCTTAATCTTCTCTTCCACCATGCGGAGTAATCACACGTGAAGATGCTCAGCAGAGGGGACAGAGCAGAATTGTGGTCCAGCTAACGCCCACTCAGCAAGAGGTGCACCCTAATGCAGGGCTGCGTCTGCCGGGATGAAGGGGTGCCCTTTCTAAATCTCTCAAAGGTGCCAGCTTGCCATGGTTCCGCCGGTGAACTGCTAGGGAGGTGCCTCGGCCCCACCCACCCTTGGGCCACTCATCACAGACACAGGGCACGAGTATAGTTGTGCCCATGCACTTAGATGTACATGTGAATCTAAGTGTGTGTACATGCATGTGCTGCACATATGCACACCTAACGTGCATGCACGTGGGGCAGGCATATACTTAGGTGAGCAGACAAGTGCAACCGTGAACACATATGCGATGAATGTGGAAGTATGTGTATGTCTCACGCATTTATGTGTCCCACAGTGCCAATACCTGCCTGCACACTGCCATCCCTCCTGTCGGGGTCACAGGGCAGAGGGGGCCTCACAGCTCAAGCTCCTTCAAAATGGCCCAAAATACTGGATGACACAGGTACTTCTTTGGGGTCTTTGGGAGCCTTGCACTTCGGTCCAGCCCCAGCCTGTTTTGGGCTGATGCTTCCTGTCTCTCTGAACTGCTCTGAAGAACTATTGTCCAGACCCCACAGGACATGCAAGACCTGGGCAATGACCTCTTCCTGCAGCCAGTGAGCCCTGATGGAGATCACTCACCTGACCTCTTCCAGGTACGGACAACGGGGCAAAGCCTGAACCAGGTGCTGGATGCCTCTGGCAGTGATCTTACTTCTTGCTAACCTACAGAGTAAGCAAAAATAGAGGGGAGAAATTGGAATGGAAAAGGAGATAGGCCCCGAATCTGCCCTGTGTAGCACCGAGGGAGGGAAAGAGAGTTCCAGCAACCCTGGACGAGGATGTCTCTTGTCTCTTGGTTCCAAGTCCTGGCTCACCCCAGCTTCTTCAGGCTGCTCATTGTTGGCAAGCTCCTGGAGAGGGCTTCGGCAAAGGCGTCCCCACACCTCCTGCTCTTAAAGCTGCCACAGGAAGAGACAAGGCAGCACGTGATCAGTGCTGGGCAGGGCTAGAGGTCATGACCCACCGATCTCTGACAGAAGGAACTGAACACAGTCACGTTAATAGTGGTAATTGTTGTTGCTGTTGAAATGGTGGCAGCTGTAACACTTACACATTATGGCAGAGTCTGCTAACTGTTCGCCGAAATCCACCCTCCACACATGGAGCTACAACTGGGAACGTGGTTTCCCAGCCATCGTTTGCGGCCGAGTGTGGCCAAATGACAGTGCCGTCACCACTGGAATGCGAGTGGACAGATGCGCCCTATTTCTGGGACTGGGCTTGTCTAATTCATGCTTTCTCTTTTCCTCCCCCCAAGCCAGAGCACAGATGTGCCCATGAGTCAGCTCTGACCGTGCACATCAACACACCCACGAAGGTGACTGAGCAACGAGGGGAGGAGCCAGGTCCTTGCATGATCACGTGGAGCTGAGCCATCCCCTCTGACCTGGACTCTGAGTCTTCCCTGAGAGTGAAAGCAAACACTCCCTTGTTTAATCCATTGTGTCTTGGGAGAGGGGGTAGAAGGTCCTCTGTTCCTGCAGCTTAGCCTCTCCTCCAGCCCCTACACATACTGAGCCTTTGTCGTGTGCCAGGAGTGTGCTGAGAAGTGTTTTTTCATGCCTCATTTCATAGCAGCCCTGGGAAGTAGGCATGACGACTGACTCATTTTTAGGGTGGAAAAACTCAGACGGAGAGGTCGAATCACCTGCCCAGAGTCACCCGGCCTCCGGCAGCACAGCCCACGACTGAGGGAGGAACACTGGCAGGCCAGACGCCAGGATGAGAGGAGAGCCAGCTGGACCCCAGGGGTCATGGCGAGGCACTGTGTCCCAGGCCAAGGGACAGGAAAGGCCTATCTGCTCTGATCCTCAAGATTCTTATTCAGCCTCCAATCAGGGGTCTGCCAGACTGGTTGGCCCCACGTGCCCACAAGTCCAGTTCCCGCCGTGGTCCTGCCCTGCCCCTCCTCTTACCTGAGATTCTCCACCTGCCCACAGCCTGCCAGGGCCTCAGGGCAGCAGGGCTCCAGGGGGCAGCCCTCGAAAGCCAGGTGGATGGGTGCATCCCTGTGCTCCAGGATGCTGGTCAGGGCAGCCAGGTCGGTGTAGGTCAGCAGGAAATTGTGGAAGGGCAGGTGGTAGGGGAGGCTGCGGGCCGTGAGGCTGGCCAGCTCAGGCTCCTGTGTCTCACCCACACAGTGACACAGCTCTATAACCTTTGGCCCCGTGAGCCGGCGGGTGGCCAGCTTCTTCAACGCCCGTATGACTTCGGCCTGCCTGGAGCCCACCCACGCCTCGCCCCGCTGTGTCAGGTGGTTGAGGAAGGGTCGGCAGGCACAGGATGCCAGACCTGCCAGGAAGGCGGGGACGTGGTCTAAGAGACCCAGTGTAGCTTTGGTCCTCAGCACCCAGCGAGAGTTGAGGGTGACGTGGCGGGTGAGTGCATCTTTGTCCACGCTGGGGCTGACCATCAGATGCAGGGCAGCAAAGAACTGCTGCAGGCTGAGGTGGGTGAAGGCGTAGCCTATCTGCTGCTGCCTGGGGCCCGTGCAGACGCAGAAGGAGGTCAGCAGGCCCAGGGCAGCCCCGAAGGCCATCACGGATGGAGGAATGTCTGTGGCAAAGAAGATAACCTTCCCTGCCTCCAGGGCTTCCAGGGCCACCTCCCCAAGGCCCATCAGGGAGCTGGTAGCCCGGTGCCCTTGGGGACTGAGGGCGAGCACCATCTGTACGTAGTTCTGAGTCACGGTGGGCAGGAGGGCCTCAGACTGGCCCGGAGAGAGGCCTGGGAGAAGATGGCGGAGGCAGAGGCAGGCGACTCGGCACAGGGCAGGCACCGCACACATGCTCCGGAGACGCCTGTTCACCCGCAGCTCCTCAAGGGCCGCCTCCTGCAGAGGCTGGGTGCTGAAGAAGCGGCCCACGTACTCCTCCACCCGCGGCCCGTCGAAGCCCCACATGTGGATCGTCGCGGCCTCGGTGGGCAGGCAGGCTGGCAGCTTCCCTGGACGGGAGGTGGCCATGATCCTGCAGCCGGGCAGCAGGGTCCCTCGGCACAGGCCAGAGAAAAGGGCAAGGGCTGGACCTGGGGCTTCAGGGCCGGCACCGTCCCTGCCGGAGCAGGGATGCAGAGCCTCCTCCAGCCCGTCAAAGATGAGCAGGACCCCGCTGGAGTTCTCCTCCAGGTACTGGAAGACGGCCTCGGAGTCTGCCTCGGGGCTTAGGTACACGTCGAAAAGGAGCTGAGGCAGCGTCAGGCCGCTCTTAATCAGGTTGAGCTGGCGAAATTCGAAAAGGAACAGGGCCTGGAAGCGGTCCAGCTGGCCGTCGGCCCACCTCTGGCAGAGCCAGCGGGTCAGCGTGGTCTTGCCCATGCCGGCCTTCCCCAGGAGCACCGTCACCCTCGGGCCTTTGTCAGTCCTGGCATTGAACAGGTCCTGGAGGCTCACATCTGTGCCATCTTCTGCCCTGGGGCTCCCCATGGAGGCCCCCTCCGGAGTGTTGAAGGGTGCGGTGGCCCGGCCCCACTGCAGGATGGTGGGGATGTAGGCCTGGTGGAAGGCGAGGGGCTGCCCTGGCCCGGGGAGCTTGCCGCCATAGCGCTGCTGGGCAGAAGTCCTCAGCAGCTGTAGGTACCTCCTGGCCAACTCTGCTGGGGGTAGGAAGATGGCATGAGGGCAGGAGACCTTCCCAGCCACCAGCCTCTTCACCCCAGTACTGGCTGTTGGGAGCCTCTGGCCTCAACAGCTGTGTATATACGAAGGGGGCTGGTGAGAGCACACAGGGACTCTTATGCCACCCAAATCCCAGGGAGGAATTGTCTCTGAAGAAGCGGAGTCTCGGGCAGCCATTTAAACAGGATGTCTAGCAGGGAAGCGTGGGTCACGGCTCTCTTTGCTTTTGCAAAGACATAGGTGGCGTGAAGTTTTCAACAAGATGGGGGGAGGGAAAAGGGGTACTTCCGATCAGAACAACCTCTCCAGTGACATCTGAGTCATATGTGTCCCCCCCCAATGTTTCAGTTCTGCAATGTCCAGGGATGAGGGCTAATGACGTATAGGTGCAGGCACTGACCAATCAGAACTGTGGGAGCTGTGATGGTTCTCCTGGGAACTGGGCCCCTACTGTTCCAGGTAATGACTTCTGAAATGCTGAGTCATTGGGAGATCCAAGGTGGCCCAGGGAAAGGACTGGGGACACTGTTGGGGAACACGGGAGCCCTGGCGGGGGACCCGAGGGGGTAGTCTGCTTTGTATCGGTGTGAATTCTCTGACTGCCTGTGAACCCTCTGGCTATCCCCACGGGTGTTGGGTTTCCCCGCTGGTGGGACAACTGGTCGAGAACCAAGACAGCTGGTGGGAAATGAGAGAAGTTCTGTCTCTTCTACTTCCTCTGGCCTGGCCAGTGCTCAGCAGCCTCAGTGTCTCTCCACGGGCCCCAAGGGCTTCTGCTTTGTGTGTGTGTGTGTGGGGTCTCCCTGGTTCCTGTTTACCCCTAAAGTGGCCAACGAGGGCCCAGGCCTAAGGTTATGACGGTCACCTCCCTTGGGCCCACTCAACCCTAAGGATATGGGGGGAGGTCCCTGGAAGAGGCTAAATAATAAAGCTGTGACTTGCTGAGGTGCTTCCAGCTCCTTCAGCTGAACTATCTCTAGCGAAGCCCCCTCGTGGCCTGTTGGAGTGGCCCTCCCTGCCAGACTCAGCCCTGTCCTCTGCCTACCCTCTCCTTTGCATACCCAGGACGTTCAATCCTTCATGCACGATAGCTTGGACTATGAGAGTCACTAGGCCACTGGAGGCTTGTCATCAGGGAACAGTGTCCGGGGTCTGTGTCTTGGCCCCAAGGTGAGCCAAACCCTACATTCAGTTCAAGTCCCTCCCCACCTCGGTACACACCTAGGTACTGCTTCCTGGACTGCTTCAGTCGGGGAGAGGATCCGCAGCTCTGGTGAGGCCGCTTGAGGCCTAGAAGAAATAAAGGAAAGAGTAAGGGGTGAGGTTTGGGGCTGGAGAGGTACTCAATACCTTTGAGGACCTCCCTTCCACAAACAGGCAGGCAGACAGGTATATCCCTACTCAGGGACCAAGTAAAGGCAGCTCAGTGATAAGTGCCAGAGGCACCAGGGACCAGGACAAACAGTTTTGACTTGTTGGGGAGCTGGGATTATGGGGTGGGTATTTTCTGTTAAAGCCTGACGTTACTACCGTGCACACCTGTAAGTAAAAAGTTGATGCGTCTATAGAAACGAAGGTTCTAAACGCATAGCTAACATCATACTCTATGGTGAAAGGCTGAAAGCTTTGCTTCCTCTCAGAACAGGAACAAGACAAAGATGCCCACTTTCACCACTTCTAGTCAACACAGAACTGGAAGTTCTAGCAATTAGGCAAGAAAAGGAGCGAAAGGAATGGGAGAAGTAAAATCGTCTGCTTACAGGTGATAGGATCTTACATTTAGAAAACCCTAGAGACTCCACCAAAAGAAATTCGTTTAGAGCTAATAATGAATTCAGCAAAGTAGCAGAATACAACATGCAAAAAAAACAGTTGCATTTCTATACACAAACAATGGACAATCTGTAAAGGAAATAACAAGAATAATTCCACTTACAATAGCATCAAAAAGAATAAAACACTAGGAATCAACTTAACCAAGGAAGTGAAAGATTCGTGTAATAAAGATAACAAAACATTACTTATAAGAAATTTAAAAAGATATAAGTAAATGGAAACACGACTCACGTTCATGAGTCAGAAGACTTAATATTGTTAATATATCAATGCCCCCCAAAGCGAACTACAGACTCCCTGCACATGCGACCCCTACCACAATCCCAATGACTTTCTTTCCCAGAAATAGAAAACCCCATATGGAATCTCAAGGGACGCCAAATAGCCAAAACACTCTTGAGAAAGAAGAACAAAGCTGGAGAACTCACACTTTCTGATTTAAAAACTTATTACAAAGCTACAGTAGTCAAAACAGTGTGTGTTGACATAAAGATAGTCATACAGACTGATAAAACAGAGCACCCAGAAACTAACTTTTATATGTAAATACATACTTTTTTGACAAGGGTGCCAAGGCCATTTCAATGGGAAAATGACAGTCTTTTTGATAAATGGAAAACTGGATATCCACATGCAAAAGAATGAAATTGAATTCTTACCTGACACGATATGGAAAAAAGTCACTCAAAAAGAGCCAAGGACTTAAATGGAATACCTAAAACAATAAAACTCTTAGAAGAAAATGTAGAACAAAAACTTCGCTATGTTGGAATTGGACAATGATTTCTTGGATAGGACACTAAAGGCACAGGTAAGTAAAGAAAAAAATAGACAATTTGGCTTTCATGAAAATTAAAAAATTTTGCCCATTAGCCCTGGCTGGTGTGGCTCAGTGGATTGAGCGCCAGCCTGTGAACCATAAGGTTGCTGGTTCTATTCCTGAGTCAGGGCACATGCCTGGGTTGTAGGCTAGGTCCCCAGTTGGGGGCATGTGAGAGGCAACCCATAGATGTTTCTTTCACGCATCGTTATTTCCCTCTTTCTCCTTCTCCCTCTCTTCCCCTCTCTTTAAAAAATAAATAAAATAAAAAAAATAAAACAAAATAAAAATTTGGTGCCTTGAAAGCCACAATCAACAGAGTAAAGAGGCAACCCACAGAATGGGAGAAAATATTTTGCAAAATGTATATCTGATAAGGGATTAATATCTGGAATATATAGAGAACTTCTAAAACTCAGCAACAAAACTAATCAAGCTGATTAAAAAAATGGGCAAAGGATTTGAACAGACATTTCTCCAAAGAAAACATACAAATGGCCAATAAGCCCATGAAAACATGCTCAGCATCACCAATTACTAGGGAAAGGCAAATCAAAAGTACAGTAGAGGCCACCTCGCACCCATTGAGACGGTTACCATTATTAAAAACAGAAAGTAGTAAGTGTTGGCGAGGATGTGGAGAACTTGGGGCCCTTGTGCGCTGTTGCAGGAACGTAAAACGGGGCAGCTGCCATGGAAAGCAGTATGGAGGTGTCTCCAAAAATTAAAAATGGGACTGCCACAAGACCCTGGGTTCTAGATACATACACGAAAGACTTGAAAGCAGGGTCTTGAAGAAATAGCTGTTCACCCATGTTCACAGCAGCATTATTCATAACAGTTAAAACACGGGAGCAAACCAAGTGTCTGCCCAACAATGGCTAAATAAGTAAACTGTGGTCTCTCCACACGATACAGCATCAGCTTTGAAAAGGAAGAGAATCCTGACACACTTTCATCAAGGGATGAACCCTGAGTACCAGTTGAGTGAAATAAAGCAGTCGCAAAATGACTCCACTTACACAAGATACTTAAGAGTCGTCAAAACCAGAGATGCAAAGCAAGGTGGCAGTTACCAGGGGCGAGGGGAGGGAGGAGTGGGGAGTTAGACGGGGACGGAGTTTCAGTTTTACAAGAAGAAAAGAGCTCTGGAGGCGGGTGGTGGTGATTGGCCGCACAGAGGTGGGAGAGTGAACTGTGCACCACTGAACTGTGCACTTAAAAATGGGTCAGGTGGCAAATTTTCTGTTACATGTATTTGGCTGCAGTAAAAAGAATGACACATTCTGAGAACGGGGCGTGGCCCAAGATTCAGTGAGGTGGTCCACATTTGATCGTGGGCCCCTCTGTGCTCCAGCAGAAAATCGCCGGAGGCTCCCTGGACGTGGGCAGCAGGGCTGGAGCCTGAGGCCCTGAGGCTTGGGGACAGGAAAGCGAGAACCGGCTTTTCCAAGTGAGGCCAGATAGAGGATTCTGGTAGAGCCAAGGAACCGACACTTTAAGAGAGTCTCCTGGACTCTCCCAGGAGGCTCCGGGCTAGAGCCCTGGGGCAGGCCCCGGCCTTGAGGGACAGAGAAGGGAGGAGGTGGGAGCCATGGTGAGGGGCAGCGGACCAGTGCAAATGGATCGGGGGATGAGGAGGATGGTTTATGGGGCATGGCCGTGACCGGTCCCCATCAGCCTCCTCCAGGTCTGACGTGGGAACTTGCTCACCACCCGCCTCCTGCTCCCCAACCCAGGGCCTCACCGTGGCCGAGCTGAGGTTCAGGTTCACTTTCTTCGCCAGTTTCCAAAGGACTGGGAAACTCTGAATGAAAGAGGGGAGGATATCATACACTGCTGGGATGAGCCGGGACCAGCTCATCCGGTCTCTGATGTCTGGCTCAGGGCTCACCCCAAAGCGTGGGTCCGCCAGCAAGGGAGAAGTAAAGTTTACCCTCAGTGGCCTGTGGAGGGTGCAGCTGGAGGCGGGCCAAGAAAGCAGCCGGGCACACAAATGCATACATGCATGCGTACATGTAGATTTGTGTACGGACAGGTATGTGTGTACATGCCATGTGTTTATGCGTGTGTGCACACATGTTCACGTGTTTGTGCACTGGCCAGCCCCTTGCATTTCCTGCCCGCTGCCTTGTAGTGCAGTTGTGGGGTGAGTTCTCAGTTCCCCCATGGTGCTGTATAAACAGAAGGGGCCAAGAAACACCACTGTTCTGAACAGATTCAATCTGCCTGCCCATCAGTACAGGCCAGAGGTTTCTACCCGGGACTGCTTCTTCTGACCACGGTGCAAGAAGAAACCTCTTGGGTATTATGGGCTGTTTGGAATTTCCTGGCTGGAAGGAGTTGCCCATTCTTTTTCTTCTTGCATCCTGCCTCCCTGGGCAATTGGGGGGGTACAGGTGGAAGGAGTTCCCCTGGTCTCCCACTGACATGGTAGTTTTAGAAAATTTGCTCTGGGAAGCATCCAGAAACATGGCATTTTGATCCTGGCTTGGCCATGCCTTCTCAGTGTGACTCGGGTGGGCCCCCGTGTTCCCAGGGCCTGTCTGCACCTCTCACGCACTCCCTTACCGCCTCCTTCGTGGCCCCAAGTGCTCAGCAGCAGCACCTCCAGCTCTAGGGGCACCTCCAGCTCCATGCACACACAGTGGATGAACGCCTGCCAGGTGGCCGGACCTTGGGCGTGCAGCTCCCTGAGTTGTAGGAAGACCCTCTTTGTGGGGTCTGGAGTCTCATTCCTGGAGCCCAGGTCCGTATTGGGGAGGAAGAACTTCACCTTGGCACTCAGCCATTCAGGGTCATTGCTGAGCAGCCTTACGAGACAAACCCACCGGTTCTTGGTGTCCAGCTGGAAGCTAATGGGGTCCATGAGGAGCTGGTCCTGCAGGGACAAGGTGGGCAGGTGAGCTGGGGAACAGGTGAGCTGGAAGGAACAGATGAGCTGGGAGCAGATGAATTGGGGAGCACGCAAGCTGGGGGCAGGTGAGCTTGGGGACAGGTGAACAGTGGGATAACTAAGCTGGGGGGAAACCAAAGGGGACAGTTGAAAACTCCTCCCACACACATCTGAGGGGCGGAGACTAGGCAGACAAGTGGCCTCTCTGTGGAGTCCCAAAGCCTTTGCCCAGGGATCAGTCCCAGAGATTAACTTCCTTCTTCAGCATCCGTCCCCCTCTCCCAACTGCACCTGTGTACTGGCTCTGAAACGGTCTAGTTCATTCCCTGTAGACAGTGCCCAAGAATGCTTTACTTGTTATGTTTCCATGGACCCTCTTGTGATGCTCTTTGTCTGAGCTAATCTATCTGTCCCCCTAACTTTGTTCACCCTTTCTTCCTTAGTCCTAGAACCCCTGAATATTCCTTGCCTATCTAGAATCGACTGTTTCCCAGTCTCCCTTGCAGTTACTTGTCATTAAATTTTGGCCAATGGAATGTAGGTGGAAGTGTTGTATATCCTTCTTTACTTCTTCCTGTCGGCTGGAATGTCGATGTGATGGCTGAACTTTGGGCAGCCACATTGGATCATGAGGTGGAAGCCAGGGCTTAGGAGGGTGGAGGGTAACGCTTTCTACCTGTCCTGGACTCTCTGACGTTGAACTTGTATTACATGACAAGAAAATATATTTCTATTCTGTTCAGAGCACTGTTATTTAGGGCTTTCTGCTATTCACAGTAAAATCTAATCCTAGCCAATGCAAACCCTCTTCTCTCCCTGGGCAAATTCTCCCCTTCTAAACCGGAACTCTCACACAGCCTGCTGGTAGGAGTTCCGAAATAAGGCAAAGACACTCACACGGGAGACGCCTAAACGTGTGCAGTCCCTTTGAGTCAACGGCTCCATTTCTCGCATTTCAGCCTTAGGAAGCAATCATGGATGGACATCAAATTTTTACTACAATGCTGCGGACTTCGAGAATATTTATACTACTTAAAAACTGGCAACTGCCCAAACGTCCAAGAAGCAGGGATTAGCTGACTAACTGGTTGGTTGTCATGTGAGGGAATATGCTAACATTTTTTCCGAATGCGCCTTCTGGTACTATTTCTTTAGTAACTGCAGCAAACACTGAGAAAGCACTGACTATGTGCTTGGCACGGTTCTAAGTGCTTTATGTGTCTCATCGAATCCTTACCCCAGAGACCTCCACTTCTGACTCTGAAAAGACTGAGAGGAGCCAACCTTACTGACCCCCAGAGGCAGGGGCACGGACAATGTGTCTTGGGGTTCAGACCCTGGCTGTTCCCTTGACCCCAGCAGAGGCCTGCTGGGCATGTGTCCCCCACCCCCACCCCCCTGGCCATCCCTCCCCAACCAGACTAATAAAAATAACTCCTCACTTAGGCACAGAACTTTAGAATTCATGAAACCCACTCACATCCATGGGGTAGATGGGGATCGCCCCTCCCCACTGAGCATGTGGCAACACCAAGGCCACCAAAGAGTAAAGGATGTGCCCAAGGTCCCACTGTGTGTCCATGGCAGAGCCAGGCTCAGAGCTGAGACTTCTCAGTCTGAATCAACCAATTTCCAAGGCCCTGGAGTCCTTGATGGTAGCAGACTGAGTCCCTGAACTTTGTATGATCTAGAAAACGGGGTGTGGCCATGGCCCAGGGCTTCTTTCCCGGGATATCAGGGCCAAAGTCCATGTTGAAACCATAAAGAAACCACTCAGGATAGCAAGTGCCAGGCAGAGCAAGGGGTGCCTTGGAGGATATAATTTCTGGGGTTCTTTATCCTCAAGTTTTCCCTCCTGACAGCCTAACACAATGCCTTTCTTTCCCCCACTGGGGCTTGAGCCCCTTGTAGTGAACACATCGAGCCCTTTAAGGGTGAGCTTCCTGGGAGAAAAAGCATGTTGGTCATTGAGACTTCAGTGGGAAAGAGCCTTGGAGATGGGACTACAGTAGGCAGATCCAAGGCCCCAGACTTAGGAGGCTGGACTCTGCCCCCTGCTCTGGAACTAATTCTCATTCTCTTCCTCCTCTCTAGACGCTTGGTAGAATTCCATCTCCCTGCCCCCTTGCAATTGGAAACGTCAATGGAACATGCTTTGGCTAAGACAACTGGGGCCTCAGTTATACCATCTATGAAATGGGTAGATTAGATGCCATCTCAGGCCCTTGCTGACCTTTTGTGTCCAATGACTTCCACCCTAATGCTGAATGGCAGCCAAGGGCAGGTTTGTCATGCTGGGGACACCCCAGTGGGGTTTCATCTGCATAGGGAGTAGGCGGGGCATGATGGGAGAAATAGGAGAGGCAAAGGGGAAAGGTCACCTACTTGGCTTCCTGGTTCATCATAGATGTTCTAGGGCGTCCACGGAGAGGGTCTCATCGGCGGCTGGGCCAGTCCCGTTTTTGCACATTGAGCTGAATTTGCACATTGTTTCCATAGGGCAGGCCCCTGAGGAGAGAGGAGGCAGGGTGCTCGGTCCCGGGTTCCAGGATCCGAGAGGAATGCTGTAAGGAGGCACCAGCCTGTCCCTGCCTGGGCAGACACCTCGCAGGACAGGTGGCCCCGCAATAGTCCCCTTGCCTTCACCCACAGATCCGTTTCTCCCAACCACAGCTCCTCGCGTCCCTGGACGGGGCACTACTTGCCCTGCCTGGGGTCCCCACCTGCCTGCCACGCCTGGCCCAGGGGAGGTCCCTCTTCCTCCTCCAGCTCAGACATGCACCTTACAGGGACTCGTGGTGCCCCATGTGCCCTTCGAATATGGCGACTCACTACATACAGCTCCTCTGCCAGGAGGAAATGGCATAACCCTCGCCTCAGCTGCCAAGCGCCCTTAAAACTGGGATAAAAGTGGGATAAAACTAGGAATTTTAGGGTTTGCGAGTCTCTGTGTAATTACACCAGGAAGTAGTTTTTACACAATGGAGCCTCCACGCTGTTTGGGAAGAGAAGACCCAGAGGCGCCCATCACTGCCGGCCCCCAGCAAATCAGTGCTGCGGCTCACACGTGCAGGGTACAGCCTTAGGGACCGTCGCCTGACACCTCGGGATGCACAAGAAAAAACGATGGCCAGACAGTACGGAAGGAAAAGAAAGGCTGAAGGCTGGGAGGTGAGCCGGCTGTGTATCTGAGACAGACGGGGAAGCTAACTGCAAAGTTCCAGAACTTTAGATAAGTCTGCTTAAACTGGGCACATCTGACCGTAACAGAGACCAGTACTGCAGTTAGAGATGAAAAAGAGAAACAAGTTCTGTTGGAGAGGCACTGAGGGCACTGATGACCTTTCTTTAAACAAAGGTGGCAAACGCTAAGGGAAGAAGTGAAGAGAGGCCCAAGGACCTCGAGATAAAGCCTCACTCGCTGGCCTGCCCACCGTGGGGGTCTGCGAGCCCCGCCCTCGAGGCTCCCGGGGGCCCCACCCCTGGACTCTCGCTGACTCTGCCCAGTTGAGGTCTGGGCCGAATCCAGGACAGACTGAGTTGTGTGGCTGTAGGACCAGGGCCATTTTTCCATAGCACACCTGACCGGACGGGTGCAGAGCCTTCCCTTCACACAGACAAACCTGGGTCTCTTACGGCCCGACAACCCCTGCTGATGGCCGAGACCCCGCCCCACCACAAAGGTGTGCAAGCACCTAGCAGGTAGCAGCTAGACTTGGCATGACCTGGGACATTGCCAAGTCGTCCCACCTCATGCCACTGTTTCAGTGACTGAGACTAACAGGCAGCGGCAGGTGGAGGCAGGTAGAGGCAGGTGGAGGCGGATGGCAGGGTTCCTGGAAACTTTTGCTTGCCCTGCCCCTGGTGTCGGTGAAAGCCAGCGTGGGCACGCAGCTCAATCCTCCCCGTGCACACCCAGGCCCAGCAGACACAGCCACACACTGTAGATCTCTTTGCAGCTCCACACGCGTTGTCCAGGGCCAGCGTCTGACATCAGGCTGCACCGCAGTCCCACCTGAGAGGCTCCGGAACCAACACAGCCGGTGGCCAGCTTCAGACGGCATCAGAGCAGGCCCCAGTTAGCCTCACCAGCGGCATATAAAGGGGGCAACTCAGCAGGTGCCAGACCCTGCAGAGGCGAATAGTGCCCTTTGTGGTCTTTCCCAGTGCCCCTCAGGGGATCCTTCCACCTTAGGCTGGGATTCGAACTCAGTTTCATCAACATCACGAGGACGTCCGTTTCCGTGGCTCTGCACCGTGAAATATCACTCAGGGACAGGTGTGAACCACGAAAACACTGTGCTCAGTGAAAAACTTCCAGTGTGTTCTAGTAAGTCAATTCAAATGTTAATGACTGCAGCACGTGTTTAAGTGTGCATGCGTGTGTCTGTGTGAGTGTGTCCTTGCACACATAAAGACTGACTCTAGGGCTACCTGAGAAATTGGTGACAGGATTGTCTGGGGAGGGGACCTGGGGACACAGGCAAAGGACAGCCCTTTACACTGCCCTTTTGGACCACCTTGTACCATTCAAATTTTTCGCGGGTGTGTTTAGATTTAAAATAAAAAACCATGAGAACATTTACATTAATACAGAACATTCCCCAACACGTCCTTACGAGATGTGCATGGTGATGAGTAAGCACAAGAAAGCACCAGCGGTGCCTCGCAGAGAGGGAAGTCCCGTGGGCAGTGGGACCAATGACATTAGCACGGACTCGGGACGGCAAGGAGGGAGGTGAGCGTGACAGTCAGATGCTGATTTTCCCAGCTCACAGTTCATACATCTGGAGGCCATATTTCATTCTGCGTTTCAGTTGAACGTTTTTATGTGTGTTGTGGGGACAAAACTCCATTTTCACTGGCGCTGAGGAGGTTGAAAAAGTTGAACAGAGAATGCAGTGAATATTTGCTAAAGGGCAGGCACGAGCCTTTAGACTTTATCTGTTTTAATTCTCACAACTCCTCTTGGATGCCTGGTGTGCATTTAAAATTTCCAAGTCCAGCCCTGGCTGGGCCTGGGTGCCTGGTCTCCCCTTCAGAAAGCCAGTTCCTGTCCCCACCTACCTCACTTCAGAGCAGGGTGGCCTCGTGCTCCTGGAGCTCAGGCCAAAGGTGGCGTAATTTTTCCGAGGGCATCACAGGACCTCACTTTCTGTACCGCTGCCGCCTACACCTGGCACCGGCGTCTCTCACCCAGATTCCCGCACCGGGAGAACTGGTCCCCCTTCTTCTGCCCTGGCCCAACATCCTCCATGGGGGGTGGGGGTCAGATCATCAAGTTCAAATGTGGACCTTGCCACATACCTTTGTCTCTCAGAACCTTCTCGTCTCACCTTGCTTGAGAACCAAAGATTTTCCCCACACTAGCAAGATGTTTGAACAGGTTTTTTTTTTTAAGTCAAACTTGATGACTTTCAAATTCTCTCATTGTGGAGGTTGTTTTGCACTTATTTTTAACTTGACCAATTGACGTTTTTCTGAGAAAATTGCCCATTTTGTCAAGAATGTTCTTAGCACACGGTCCCTTGCCTTCCATCCGAAGTGTTACCTTTACCAATCGTCATCACCAGTGTGTCTGCGGGTGACTCGGAGGGAGGCGGTGAACGGCCTAGGGCCACACAGTCGGCGCCCAAAGGGAGCCTGGGTTTGCAATTCTGTGGTCTTGCCACTCCAGGTCCAGCCTGCAAGGGGAGAAGGGCAGGGGCGTAGCTGCCGGCCCTGTCTGGGCGCTGGTCTCACTGAGGGTCTGCATGGGAGCTCCCTTCCACCCTGTGCTCTGGGGGACTCTTTCCTGCCGCCCTGGAGGTGCTTACTGGCTGGAGATCAGAGGGGAGTGGAGCACTCAGGCCACTCCCTCACTGCGGCCCCAGGCCTTGGCTCTGGCTATTCCCTTTGTCTGGGGAGCCTCCGCCTCCAACCCACACACCTGCACACGTGCACACACGCAGGTATGTAAGCACAAGACTCCGCTCTGGTCTCACCTCATTTCTCTCTATACGTCCTCTCTGCTTCCCACCACCTCCAAAGGAAGTCACGCCATGTTCATAGGACTTCCACAAAGCAGGTGTCTGAGAAAGGTTGAAGGATGCATGCAAAAAATGATCCTTGCCACCTGGCTCCTGGCCCCCCTGGCCCTCACACCCCCATAGCCGTGGCCGTGACCGCACTCCCAGCCCTGTCCCCAGTCCTCCGGTCCTTTCACAACACCCTGCCTTGCACAAGGACCTTTCTTTGCCTCAAATGCCCTTCCTTTTTTGCCCCACCTTGCACACTCCTCCTCCCCCTGCCAGACCCGGCTCCACCTCCCTTCTCAGGGAAGCCTTCCAGGCTGCCTCCCCAACCCAGCCAGGCCCACGGTGGGGCGTCACTTGGTAGCGCTCTCTCCTTTCTCTTCTCCAGGGTAGAGAGGCCTTTCCACTTTGCACTGTCACTTCCGCTGTGCAGACCACCACCCCTCAGCAGGCTGGGGACACCAGGAGGGCATGAGCAGCGTCTGACTCTGGATGAGAGCAGACCCCCTGGCCCTGGGCCCTGGGTCTGCGTCTGTCCTAGTTGTCAGCTGCGGAACTTCCACCAGGCTACTTTACCCCTTGGTACCCCGGCATCCTCATCTAGAGGCTGGGGGTGTCCTAGGTCAGGCTTCTGGAAGCAGAGCCCAGGATGGGTGTGTCTATAAAAGCTATTCATTGAGGGGTGAGGGAGGCAGGATAGGGTGGAAGAAGAAGCTAAGCAAGGATGTGGTTTCTGGAACAATCTAGCTTCAGCCTGACCCGTGGGGAGCTCTGGAGTGTGAACCAAAGGGCTTTCTACCCAGGGACCCCCTGGGGTTTCCAGATGTAGCTTCCTCAGGGTCCAGGGTTCCCCAGAGCCAGTCCTGGCCTGGCTAGGACAGCAGGTGGCCAGGTAATGGCCTTATCTGTCTCGCTTAAGAGTTTGTCCTGCCAAGCAGGGAGAGGACTGGGAGGTTACGCCTCATATCTGCCAGTCACTGGCTACGGTGTCGCCCAGTGGGTGGAGGAGGAAAGGGTGTCAGAGGCGACTGCTGTCAGCCAAGATTAACCCTTTGGGGAAGGAGCAGACATTACTGTCTACTCCCACGGCGGATGGGGGATCTAGCAGACACAAGAGGGAGTACGCACAGTGAAAGTAACCTCTAGGTGGCAAGGATGTTGGCAGATGGGAGATGAGATTCTGTGATGCCCTCGGAAAAATTAAAAGTCAAAGCCCCAGTGGGGCCAGCACATGGGGCAAGCTCAGGACCTGTCCACCGTCATCACCGGTGGCGCTTTTGTTTTCAAAGGAGGCCCCGCCCCTGGTGCGGGGCACAGGGAAAGAAGGGACGGGCTTGTCGGGACCTGTTTCCTCCTTTCTCCAAGGGGGCACCACCGGCCTTACCTGTTCTCGGTAAGGGCCTGGGGGTGTCAGGTGGAAGAGGGAGCCTGTGAAAGGCCAGAAGCCCCATTCCCATGGCAGACCGCGAGTTCTGCCGTGGGTTCCCGGGCCAG